CGGCGCCCACATACACAGTACTGGCAATCCCGCATGCGGCGGATCACCTAAAGTTGCCGCGTCATGCACCAGGCGTGAGACAAAGATCGTTGCAGCAACGACTCAATGAACATCCCAGTTAATTGACGTCGGAAGATGACAACTCGATGACAAATAAATAAAATTGGGATTGCGAGAAAGTCCAACGCGAAAAACGCGATGACGCGATGACGCGAAAAAGCTAAACGCGAAAACGCGGTAACGAGACGCCACCGTCCGCGACACGTTGACGGCACCGACGACGCGAAAGGGTACTTAGCTTCCTCTTCAGGCTCCTTGAGATTTATTCTAAATTAAAAAATTTAAAATAAACTTCAAGGCACCATCCAAGTACTAAGCCCTCCCACCGCGACAAGGTGTACCCCGTGGGAGGGTTATATTATATATAATTTTATATATAATATAATATATAATTAATAGATATATAATTATAAATCTTCTTTATAAAACTCAAAATAATTCATTTTGTAAAACTAATTATTATGCGTAATGAATTTGTTGTTATATATGCAATACATATGTATATTAATACGATTATAGTCGAAAGTTTAATATAATTGAAAGTCACGATACAATAATCGTTTAATTAATAATTAATTTAAGAATATACGACGTATTTCGCACTACGATCTTTATTTCTCGAGTGTCGCTTTATGAATGATACGAAGGCCATACGTTGTACGACTAGCGCGCTATTGTTTACGTCAAGATCGAATGCCGTGTTATTGTTCGTTCGTCATATCGAAATATATTATATTATATTTTATATTACAATATAAGGTAATATAAATATGTTAACGTAGGATATTTCGATGACAAACAGATAATAATATCAATCTTGCCGTAAACAATACGTATTTTTATTATATTATATCATATTATATTATATTATATTATATTATATTATATTATATTTTACATATTTTAATACAGCAAATAATTTTTCGATATTGATCGCGATCGCGTCTAGAAAAGAATTTAACGGAGCGTCTTATACTACTACTTTACTCTTTGAGTGTCATCGCGCGAATGATAATAGAACCGAACAAATTAATCTAAAAGACCGTGTTATTATTATTTTTGTACCGAAACATTTTTCAAGACTATGGCATATAAACATATAAGAATATACGACATATTTCGCACTACGATCTTTACTGCTTGAGTGTCGCTTTGTGAATGATACTAAGACCGTATGACTAGCGTGCTATTGTTTACGTCAAGATCGAACGCCGTGTTATTGTTCGTTCGTCATATCGAAATATATTGTATTATATTATATTATATTATATTTTATATTATAATATAATATAATAAATACAGCAAATAATTTTTCGATATTAATCGCGATCGCGTCTAGAAAAGGATTTAACGGAACGTCTTGTATACCACTACTTTACTCTTTGAGTGTCGACGCGCGAATAATAATAGAACCGAAAAAGTTAGTCCGAAAGACCGTGTTATTATTATTTTTTTATCGAAACATTTTACAAGACTATAGCATATAAACATTAGCGTGCTATTACGGCACCAAAGTCGGTTATTGTTTGTTCGTCATCGAAATATTTTACGTATTTTAATATATACATATATGTATATATGGAATATATTTAAGTATATAACAGTATTTTAGATTACATAGATTTTTTAATTATAGGATTATTTATTAAAAGATTGATGTATGGAGTCTTTCATTATGTTTAGATTCATGATTCAATTATTTTATTGTGCGTTCTCACAATTCAAAATATTTCAATGATTGAAAAATAAAGCATCGCAGATATATTGTATTCTATAAATATCTATAAATACTAAAGAAATAATTTCTGCTCGTAAAAATCGATTTCATATCGAAATAATAATTTATTATTTTAGATTTCTGTTACTATAATTCTTAGTTGATTAAATGAATAAATTACGATTAAATGCGATAGAGAATTTTTGTCGCGATCTGTATATAGATATTAATTATGTGTTATTTATAAAAGTTAATTAATCATATAGTTATAATAAATAATTTTCGGTGTTGATCGCGATCGCATCTAGAAAAGAAATTTAACGGCGTATCATTATATTACTCATTAAAAAATATTAGACAATAACATATAAATTATATAAATATGAATAAATATGAAATTATATAAATCGTTTCATAATCGGCATGCAGATATTACAAATGCTATCTGCATCTGATTTATATAATTTTTCATATGTCATTGTCTAATATTTTCGAATGTGTAATAATATTAATGTCACGTTGAAGGTAGATTAAAAGATAATCCGAAACGTTCGTATTTATTGTATGTATTGTGACGAGTAATTTGAAATATACTAATAATTTGAAATATATTAATAATTAAAAGCGAAAGGATTTTTCTTGTGCTCCAGTTATCGCGCTTTTTATTGGCTCTTAGTTATCAATTGTTTAGTTAATTTTTAATTATTATTATTTGAGCCAATTTTTTATTTTAATTTTAATACTTATATTATTTAATATTTAAAAATAATATTTAAAAATAAACTAGAATATTTTTTGTTATAATTTATTTTCAATGATGAACCGTTGTGATAAAGATCACGTAAAAATGGCGGTGGCGATGGTGATGATGGATGATGTGTGATTAATATATTGTATCAAGGAATATATTAATAATTAATTATATTATTAATACAGGGAGAGAAAGACCACCCAAAACTTTAGATTTGTATTAAAAACTTAGCGTTTTGCATTATCGATACTTGTGTTACTGACGGAACAGTCCAAAATAATGTTACCTACTGAAAACATTCATGATTAGCTTCGTAGTTCATGTCCACGTTTTTATTTCAGAGGGCGTATTGCCTTTAGGAATTACCCAAGTGATCTATGATGTTTCTTGTTCTTCTTTCTGATTGAAATTAATTGAGGCAAATATTTTTTTAATTAAACGGTAATATATATTAAATTACATATAATAATGGCGATGGTGGTGATAGATAATGTGTGATTAATATATAATATAATATAATATCGGGTAATATATTTTAATAATTATACTTGATAGATAGAGATAGATAGATAGATAGATAGATAGATAGATAAATAGATAGAGAGAGAGATCACAAAACTTATTTATATTACAAATTTATTTAATATATATAAACGTTTTGCGTTACTTATGTTATCGACATTTCGTGTACGAGGCATGGAATATAATCCGAAATTATGGCCGGTATTCATAGTCCGATCTTATATTTAAGATTGTCTTACGTAGTTCATGTTTATATTTTTTTGTTTATAGGATGCATTGCTTTCAGAGATCGCCTAAAAGCAAACTATGACAAAACAGAGTGAAAACTATGAACAATTTTGTTGTTTGTTTTATAGATTTTAAAAATGGTTTGTCGTATGCTACATATTTGTAGAGTTGTAAATAATTTGATAAAAATGTTCAATCTGTAAACAATGGTAACGCAAATAAAATATATCATTGTCTCTAAATCATTATATGTAATTAACATATAATATGTATTTAAAATTAATTTATCAATTTAATTCTAATAAAATTATGAAATTTTTTTCAGGTATATATTATTGTTTAATATTGTTTAATTTATTGCTTGTCAGTCATTCACATTTATTAAAAATAGTCACTTTATTAAATAATGTGAGAAACTCAATGTTCTTTGCAAATAGTAAGTAGAACTTTTATGGATATAGCATTTTGATAATAGTTTATATTTACAGTAGAAAATAGTTTGTATTTCACTGTGCTTTTGTTCTATAGGACCTGAAGATGAATTATGAAAGGATGTGACAAGTATCAGTAATGCAGGAAGACGCAGAGGTAGAGCAAGAAGAGTAGTGAAAAGAGAGACCTAAATAAGGAACAAATTATTGGCATGGGAAAAATTCTAATACAATTTCCTGGTCTGAACACTTCTGTGTTTAGAGGAAAAGAATTAATTCAACAGCTGAAACTGCTTGTAAATCTTGAAAGAAAGCAAAAACTTATGGAATTACCACAAAGTCAGACCAGACCAATGCAAATAAAATTATCGCCATTGGAATGTGGTTGGAGGAGTGTTACAATGGATGGCAGAAGCATTGAATCAGATCTTATTGGAAAAGGTTAATATTTATGCTATTATTGGATTATAATGGTTAAATTACACACATACAAAAATCATGTGATACGATGTCTATTTTCAATTTTTTTTTTTTGATGTTTCAGTTCTAAATATTAGAATCTTATATAATTAATATCTTTGTTTTCTGCAAATAAATTTGAAAGTTTTGAAACCTGGATTTTGGAAAACAAAATGATAACTTGTATGACCAGTAATTTAGCACGTAAGACTAGAATCAATTCATTTATAGTAACTGGGAATGGAAATGGATTGGCTGGATTTGCGTTATCAAAAGCCAAAGCATCCCTAAAGACGGTTAAAAAAAGGGCTGGTCAAAGATTAATGTATATTCCTACATATAAGGAACACACTAGTAAGAAAATACTTGTCAATACTATATAATATAAAATTTATTTCTTCTCTTTTAATATCACTTTGTATTTTTCAGTGTTACATGATTTCTTTACACAGTTTGAGAATATAAAAATATTTGTAAAGAAAATTCATGAAGGATAATGGGCTTGTTTGTCATCATGCGATAAAAGCGTGTTGCGAGATAATTGGCATAAAGGATATGTATGCCAAAGTACAAGGAGGAATGTAAAAACATTCTTTATTGGTTTATTGCAACAGGTATGTATATAAAGTGTTTAAAGGCATATTATACTTTTTATTTAATTTATATTAGAAAGAAACATTTTTTATTTATAAAAATATATATACATATATATATATATATATATATATATATATATATATATATATATATATATGTTAGACATAAAGCTAAAAAAAAACGTGGATTGTGTCGATTAATTAATTAATTGTTTTATTTAATTATCAATTTATATATGTATATTATTAACAATAATTTTTTGTTTACTTAAACTATAAGGTATAAGGTTGTACATAAGAAACAATTTTTTTTATTTAGTATTTCAAGCATATTTTCATAGAACTTTAATTTAATTATTATATTATTAAAAATATTGAACAAAATAAAGAATTAAAGCTGGCTTTCTCTGCAGTCTCATGGCAGATTATATCAGAAATCATACTTTAATTATTGCAATATATCATGAAACAAATCAATCTCAAAATAATGGAAATATTTGCAGAAATATCAAATATGTAATGTAAATATTTTAATTTTTTTGTATGTGATCTATTTTTTATTCTATCGATGTTTTCATAGTGATGCACCTTGAGCACTTTGCTTCACATGTTTGCAATAAAAATATATTAAAGCAAATTATTTTGCAAATTTATTATTCTAATTTTTATTTAGAAAGACTAAGATTAAAAAAGACGTATGCATTTTTTTCAGATATTTCTATTGAAAAAAACGCATCAGATAAAACTTTCCTGTACACTTTAAATGCGCCAAAAGATTTGCTCTTTATTCCACTTACTGCAATAATGTACATTAAAAATGACAGATCTATATTAAAAATGATAGATCTATATTTAGTAGTTGGAAAAAAAGAGAGGAGAAATGAAAAGTGCATCTAGAGAATTTAAAAGAATAAAAATCTAAAAATAATAATACATAAAAATTAATATTATGTATTTTTTTCATGAGGAATGTGGGGCGCACATTTATGCATTTATTTATTTGGATGAGATTTACTTTAGAGCACATTCAGTATTCAACTTTAATTTTATTTTCTCTTTCTTATGATATATAAGTATAACATAATTACCTGCAAATGCTATCACTTTGTGTGCTTACAGTGATACAGAAGCAACATTACAAGTACTATATTTACAGATAACATCTGTATAATAAAAAAAGCACCAAAAATTTAATGATGAAAAAAGGATAAATATTGTAGACCAGGATAAGCATCAACCAATTATTCCACCGCTCTGTTTCATTAGAGTTGCAATTTTCTTTTATATCATAAATATTATAAATAAGATAAAGATTTCCATACGTTTCAAATAAATTTATATATTTTATGTATGTAATACTGCGCACACATATTAAAAGGTGATAATATCGCAGTTATAATAAGATACGATCCTGGCAATGTAGTGATTTTTGGATACCTACTTAAAATAAGTTAATTTGATTTATTTTTGAGAAATGCGTATAATACTTGAGAACAAATTATTTTTGTGCCATGTATTACCTGTGTAAAATTCCACACACAGTATCATATTGTCTGCGATATATGAAAAGCTTCATCGATGAAATATGATTGAGATATAAGAAAAGTAATATAGTACTTGTAATGAATAACGTTAATGTGGAATACAGAAATATTTTATATTTTAATTTCATATAATCAAGATGAGATAAGACACTCATGATTACTTTAAAAATGTGTCCACAAATATCATGTAACTTCAACAACTGCACATTCGTCAAATTAATCCTATTACGTTAAATGAATCACAGCAGCTTGTTTTAATTTAATCTAACCTAACCAATTATATTATATGCTTCTCATTAAAATATGTAAAACTGTACGTCGCACATTTAATACGATTAATATACTACGTAATAAAATGTAATACACTAATGAAATAATTAAATATTATTTTTGAAAGCATGATAAAATCCAGGCAGCATACGCTTGTGTTTACATTCGACATCCAAAGCACTGACAGGTTAGGTTAGGTTAGGTTAGATCGAAAAAATTTATAGTTTAACAGTTGGCAGCCCTACGAGATAGGCTGTGCAGCACTGCGCGTATATAAAATAAATTTGAAATCGCTTCTAGCCTAACCATCTTCACGCGATCGACTTTATTTGAATTACACGGCATCGCATCGAATTATGATGCGGCGCCGATTTGTTCGAACGTAATTCGGAACATCGCGATGCTGTATAAGCGTCGAATGAGCACGAATTGTCACGCAAATATGATAAATCACATCTACTCACCGTTCATCGGTTGTTCCACAGGCCGCTCCACTCGCTCGCCTCGGGACGTCCCATTCCGATCTTGATGCACACGATATCATCAACGCGAACGCGCAACACTTTATTCGGCACTCCCGATATTCGCTCATATCCGATAATCATCATCAAGGGTGCAAATAACGCGACGCGACTTCGCTCCATCTTCGCGATCGCGCTATCACTGGACTGTGAAAAATAGCTGTCGCGCACTTTCACCGACATATTATGAAAGTCGCACGATCATCCTTGGACACTTTCGACGCTCGTTCACTCGCGATATTCGTTTAAAAACGGTTAAAAGACGCGAAAAATGCGGACGTACGACGATCCGTGTAACTGCGTATGACTCCGATTCACGTATGACGCGTATGACGTAGCAGTCACGCGCCAACATGGCGGTCGAACCAGTGCGCAAAACGAATGCGTACTGGTTCGGCCGCCATGTTGGCGCGTGACTGCTACGTCATACGCGTCATTGCTACGTCATACGCGTCATACGTGAATCGGAGTTATACGGAGTTACACGGATCGTCGTACGTCCGCATTTTTCGCATCTTTTAACCGTTTTTAAACGAATATCGCGAGTGAAAGAGCGTCGAAAGTGTCCAAGGATGATCGCGCGACTTTCATAATATGTCGGTGAAAGTGCGCGACAGCTATTTTTCACAGTTCAGTGATAGCGAAGATGGAGCGAAGTCGCGTCGCGTTATTTGCGCCCTTGATGATGATTATCGGATGCGAGCGAATATCGGGAGTGCCGAATAAAGTGTCGCGCGTTCGCGTTGATGATATCGTGTGCATCAAGATCGGAATGGGACGTCCCGAGGCGAGCGAGTGGAGCGGCCTGTGGAACAGCCGGTGAATGGTGAGTAGATGTGATTTATCATATTTGCGTGACAATTCGTGCTCATTCGACGCTTATACAGCATCGCGATGTCCCGAATTACGTTCGAACAAATCGGCGCCGCATCATAATTCAATGCGATGCCGTGCAATTCAAATAAAGTCGATCGCGTGAAGATGGTTAGGCTAGAAGCGATTTCAAATTTATTTTATATATGCGCAGTGCTGCACAGCCTATCTCGTAGGGCTGCCAACTGTTAATGTGCAATTTCATTGACGCTAAAAAGTAGCGACAATGAAAAGGCCGCTGTACACACTGAAAAAGTTGAAACTGTTTGAACTTTATTTTATTGACGCCAAATCTAGAGAAAGTCTAGTGATTTTAATTTGCCGCTGGTTTCTAGCGTCAATGAAATTGCACCTTTATTACGGATAAATCGCACATAGCTGTGACGCAAGCCTGTGATTGGTCAATTTTAAAACTCTGAATTTCGCAAACTATTACCTGAGATGCAAACCTTTATTTAATTATTCGATAATTTAAGTATTTAATTACGCTAAGATATTTACATTCTGAAGAGAAATATTTTTCCGGGATATGAATTTCACATATTTAACTATTATTTTTGAATAAGTATAATAAATATATTTACTCACTGAGTCTTGCGTGTGGCGGCCATTTAGAGGTTCTTCGAAACACATTTTATCACATCGATATATAAGTATTTTATAGTCAATATCAATCAAAAAATATTATAAGTTTAATCAGAAAATTGTTCACTTGCTTACGTTACTGTACAATAAACTTAATCCCTAAAAATATCGTAAATTATTGCACTGAACTAATGCTAAACGAGCTTCGTCTAACACTAATAACCGCGGGAAGTGCGCGGGAATTAATTTCCTCTATACACAACTCATGAACAGGCCTATGATTGGCCAGTTTAAAACTTCATTTCAAAAATTACTACTTGAGATAAGAGACTATTAGGACTTTTATTATTTAAATTTTAGAAAATTTCTTTTTTGTATAAAGAAATACTCATGAGATAAACAAAAATATTCATAATGAAATGTTATGGAAAGAGAAATATATATATACATAACATCATGAACATTCATTCTTAAATTTTCAATATCTTACTCTGGTCAATCAATGCCTTAATAATACTCTTTTCTTTAACAGGAAAGAACATAACGTAGTATAATAATAAAATAATATTAACAATGTGTAATAATCATGGATCATGGGATTCAAACACAAGTTAATGATACATGCTTTGTACATTAATTATGTGAAGAGAAAATATATAATATTGAAGAATTTTGATAGTCAAGTTTTTTATTTTTAAACCATAATTAATACAGAATAGTTCAATTATTTTCTCATTTATTTTTATTTTTTTTATATTTGTAAATATACATATTTATTTGGAAATTTAATTTGAGCTACATAAAGAATTGTACAGATTTAATAAATGAAATTGTACTTTATATATTGATACTGTGCATTATATCAAAAGCATAGCAAGAATATAGTAAAATGAATAATGTTCTTGAAATCTCAAAAATTTCAACATTCTGATCCTTTTACAACGTTATTACACGCAAATATGCATTATTTAAGAATTGAATAACTAAAATAATATATATATCACATTACAGAGTTTTTAAGAGATATGTGGCATTATATTTTTATACAAAAATATATACACACAACTATAACAAGAATAATCTTAGAAATTTTATATGTTGGGATTGATAAAAAAAAATTTGACTATATACAAAAATATACTACACATACTTTTCTTTAAGCATATTCTAAACAAAACATCTCTAAATATTTGTAACACACAAAAATAAATTCTTTTTTTGATATATTAACATGGATACATTGTCCAAAATAATTAAAAATGTATAGGCCACACAAAAAAACTTTCTAGTTTTTATGTCCCTTTCATATTTCATTTTCAAACATACCCATTTTCTTTTTGCTTCCTCTATATGTATTCTAATAAAATTTCTGACTACTTATAACAAACAAAACTAAATTCTTTCTTTGTGACATGTTAATATCCTATTCAAAACAATAATATTGTCACATTTTGATAATTCTATTAAACCAAATAGCATAGAAGAAAATTGGCAAAACTGAACTTATATAAAAACTAAATTATTAAATTAAATTATTTACTAAAAAATAAAATATTTTATATCAATAAAATTTTATTTGAAGCTTTGTATCTATTATATAGATATTAATCTTTAAAAAGATCATCTCCAACTGTTTTGAGAAATATATAATGAAGCATATAACCAATTAGTCATCTAAGATCATTTGAAAACCAATAATGTCAGTGATTCTACTTTTATAAAATATTTATGCACTTTTCCCTTTTTTCTTTCATAAGTTACATATATATAAATACTAGAAAATTGCACATCTCGGATATTATTTTACATCGCGCCATGTAACTTCTTTTACTTGATTGAATTCTGTGATCCAATCAGGGGAAAGATCTGTGTAATTGTGCCAATTCCTTTAGTACGTCCTTCTCTGAACAATAGTTGCATTCCAACATGAAGATATTCTGGATGGCTAACGAATCTAAATAATACAGAAGCGGTGTCGTTTGTCTGCAGTCCCCTATTTTTCACATCCATTATCCCTTCAATGACACAAGTTTGCCTCACGTTACCTACGTGTACTGTTGTTTGAAAACCGGAGAATATCGCGGTGGCATGATATACTATCAGTACTGTTGCCTGAAACAAAGTATTTACAGTATTTAAATTTGGTATTTAAATATGCAAGTCTAATCGTGTATGTAAATTGACCTTCTTGAATATTCCTATTTTTAATAAACCTGTTCATGTTTTTTAAAAAAATGATATCTTGATAATATCAACAAAAACAAGAATTTAAATCGTTATATTAACAGCATAATTTGTACAGTTTATGCAAATAGCGAAGCTTCTGCACACACCTGAAAAAAAAGTGTCGCATGCGGTCGATCACGTGGAGAGACTAAAACCATTCCCGGGCGAAGATGCGGTAGGGGAGGACTACGATTTGTCGGTGGCGCTAATGTCAAACTGGCGCTTTGCGACGCTCTAACTAAACAGCACGGAGCTTTATTACGATGTAAACTAACTACTCTCACTGGACTAAATTCTCCATCTGGTAAAGGTCCCACTAATAAACGAGTTCCCGGTGCAATCGCCCCTTTAACGAGTAATCCTCCTAAAACTGGTTGTTTCAAACCTGCTACCCTATATACATTAAAATAAAAAAGTCACACTTGTGTAATATTTATGACAGATTTCTGGAAAAATCGCGTTAGTTTTGAAGCTAAAAATATTTGTAAAAATTATAATTATTAAACTGCAAAATATCAAAAATTCATAAAATTAATGAATAATAAATAATTAATAATTGTTCTATTATTTCATCGTAAAATATAAAGTTTGCAGAGATCGTTACACACACCTACCTACCTAAACGTTTCATCAATTTGAAATAGACACGATTCCGGATCAGAATCAATTGAATTCATCTCGTAAGGTGCCAAATTTTTTATAAACGCGGTTAATTCCTCAAGACCCTCACCAGTAACACAACTGACACTAAATACTGGTATCACATCGGACGTATAGTCCCATGACGTTATATCATTATTGCTAAACAATACTAATTGCTTAGGATATCCCTGCGTCATCATAGCATCCTCAAGTTGTACTAGAGTCTCAGACATGTCGCAAAATCCTAAATCGATTTTATTCACAACGATGAAAAATGGAAGTTTTAAAGCTAAACAGAGAGCCATGTGTTCCTGCGACGCTTCGTTTAGAGGTGGTGCTACAACTAGCATAACATGATGTGGCGAATATCCTAAGGAAGTGAAAATGACTATTTTCAAATATATATATATATATATATTATATATTTTTTATTATATTATATTTTTTATATTATTATATTTTTTAATAACAAATTTTTTTATTACAAAAATATAAATTATTTGTTATAATATACAAAATATATATCATATAATTACAAATTTTTTTTAATTACATACCTGTGAGCCCGAGTACCGTCGTCCTCAAGTATTTTCGATGTCCAGCTAAATCGATGAATGTAACAACTTTCGAGGCATGCTCACATATCTCTTCGGCTGTGGCCATTTCGGCATAGTTCAAGATGTGACCTGTACTATCGAATCCGATGATTTCGTGCGATATCGATGACGTACGGCCTGTTTTTATCTCGTGCAGGTGACGCAACATATTGAGTCTCGCTCTACCTCTACCATTGTCCAATTCACCCTGCGTCAATACTCCTAAGCACACCCATTGAGACATATTATTATTGTTATTAATACATGTTATTTATATAATATTAATTATATAATCTGCTCTTGATGAATTCGTACATAAAATAAGTAGATAATTAAATAGCAGAGTGTAGCATAGACTTTCAGTGCCTCTACCTTAAATATCCTCTGCTAATTCTCTCACCTAAGAGAGTCGATTTCCCAGCATCTTGTGCACCAATAACGGCCAGTCTCAGATCTACAATACTATCCTCTCTGTCGTCCTTCCGCAATTTTTTCACTAATACTTCAGCAACCTTCTTTTCCTCCTTATTAATATTATTATTTCTATTTTGAGATGCCAAAGTCTTATTTGTAGAATTCGTGGCTACACGCTCGCGTAATATTCTTATAGTAGCACCCAGTCTGGAAGCCATGTCTTTTAGAGTCTTCAGGGACGCTTTCATCTCCTCCTTTGTTAAACCTGCCAATTTTCCATTGTCTTCCACTCCTATATATATCAAATATTAAAAAGATAAGCAGAAAGAAAAATAATATAAAACTACAGATATTATAATTATATGTACCAATTTGATAAATTGCCTCTCCGTGTCCCTCTCTTAGCCTCCATTTCATCTGGGTAACAAGATGTTCAAAACGTTGACTAGATGGATTTATTAATTTTAATTTGTATTCTATGTTTCCTTGTTCAGGCTCCGGTGGCAGACAGTCCTCTTGATCTTCGTCAGTACTAGAAGTCTCGCAATCCGACAATCCATTTCCATTATTTTCAAAATTATTCCACTGCCTTTTCCTTATATCCTTATCATCTTGTGGATTAAAAAGTTGCAAAAACGATTCCATATCTGTAATTATTAATTATAAAAATAAAACATTTTTTATTTATTTAAAAATTTTATTATAAAATTTAATTAAACATAAGAATGTTTTTGTTTATAATTTTTACAAATATAAGGCAAAATAAAAATATTTCTCTTTTTATATTTCTTAGGCAATTTTATTATAAAAATAAAATTTCTTGAAATATATTATTAATATGAAAATAATATAGTATTGTGAATAAAATTTGAAATAAAAATCTTATAATGTAATATCATGTAGAACAAAGATTGCATCATATTCATACATATTTCACAATTTTAATTGTAACATTTTTTATTTTACTTATAATTTTTAAATAAAAATATTGCAAAAGATCAAAGAAATTACTGTTAAAATAAAATCTAATTTAGATTAGCACAAACAAAATTCTTACAATTTTCAAAAACTAATTCTTTTTTTAAAGAGATGATGCAATAGCTAGAAATTTAAGATTTATATGATTTTATTTATTTATATTGTGTCATTTCCTTCAGTTATATTTTCCACAACAACAAAATTTACATAATTATTCTTTTATATACTTATTAAATCAGTAAAAAAATATATGTTAAATGTGATTATTTACACTGAAACTTCTTCTTTCAAAGTAAGGCAATATATATGTAGGTATATTCCTGGCTACTTCAAAAGATCTGACAGATATGGACGTGTGTTATATTATGACACATTACGTTATAGCATATAAATAATGCTAATGCCAACATTGATAAGGGACAAAAAAGATAAGATCTAAGTGCCTATTTTTATCAATTTCATGAAAAAAGAGATCGATACGACAGATGAAATTGATTAACCATATTGATAAACAGCTGTTTTGAAAGTAAAAGTGACAAAGGGAAGAAAAAAAGAGAGGGAACTCGCGCAAAAATATTTTTAGCGCTTTAGCGCGAGCTAAACATATACTTACTGCATCTTTCCAATCACGCGTCTATTCTTCAAAAATTTAGATAGTCTTGCAATAACTGTATATTGAAGTTTTCGTCAAAATTCCAAAACATAATAAACGTAAGCGCACTATGACTTTCTTCTTTTTCTCCGTGTGCAATTAGGTCACGACCTGTCTGTCATTTTTCTATCGACCATGAACGATATGAAACGTAGAAAAGAAACTCACTTTGCAAATAACAAGTTACTCTCTAAAAAGTCTGTTCCTTTTTATGACATGTGTTTAATGTAAGTGTAAAGAGGAACAGACCTTTTAATTAATAATTTGTTTTTCGCAAAGCGAGTTTCTGCCCTATATTTCACATCGTTCATGGTCGACAGAGAAATGGCATGTTCGTGATCTAAAAAGAAAAAGAATCTATCGTGATACATCTTCCAAAAAGGATAATAATTCAATAAAGAACAAGAAAAAAAATTTTTTTGTTCATTTGTATAAAAGATTTTTGACGTTTGAAGTGAGATAGATATGTATATTTAGAGAGAGGAGAAATAAAGAGCCAAAGTGTAGAAAGTGCAAGCAAAATGAGCAAATGTAATTACACTGTAGTATCTTCCGGTTCTCATCGTTCAAAATGGTAAGTGATAATAAGCGATGTAAGTGATAATAAGCGATGAATAAGAGAATCTGATTTGATCAAAAAATGTTGCTTATTGAGGTAACTAGGTCTACCTATCAAATATTATATTGTTTAATTAATAATAAATATTTCTTTTTATAGACGATATCAATCATAAACATGAAAGGAAAAAGTGCGACAAACGGAACCAAAGTCCCAAGATGTATATTTCTGATCGAGGTAAATCGATAAATATCAATATTAAGAAAAACATCAATATTCTAAATCAAATACAAGAACTTATTGAACTTTATTAAAAATAATCAATCAACGTTTTTATGCTATTTTATCAAAGTTCATTTTCGCTATTGATTATTGTGAAATCTTTATAGCATGTCTTTTCTTTATTTATCCATTGAAAAAGTAAGAGGAATTGAATGATTGTGATTATATATAATAGCAATTTATTTTTTAAATCTTAAAAATTAGAATTGTACTTTAATGTAAGTCTATTTTTTTTAGCTGCATCTGTTATATTTTCTTTCGATTTATAATAATTTTTATTATAATTAGTTTCTTTTTACCAATATTTGCTTATACAATTCCAATATTTGATTTATTTTATTTATTTATTTTATTTATTTATATATGATTTATTTATTTTGAAATAAGAATATATTATCACATAATATAATGTATCTAAAAAGAATAGACTCTAAATTATATCTACAGAATGATTTAGTTTTACTGTTTACTAAAGAAATATTTGATCAATTGCAAACATTCAGCAGTATAAATAATCAGAAAATTACAATTGATACATATTTTTAATTCTAAATTAAAATAAAAATTTAATTTAAGGATTTAATTCTAATTTAAAATAAAAATTTCATAATTATTATTTTCAATTCTTGTCTTTTAATTGTAACTAAACTTTTTTCACCGTGGAATTCTGTATACAAAATTCTGTACAGAATCTTAATATAGAATCTGTTCTTATATGTATATATATTCTATACAATTTCTATTCCTAATTTCTAGTATAAATTATGTGTACGTACTTATTATATCATTAACATATCATATGTATGTATTTATTTCTTAGTAATAGTTTTTTATTAGAAATATTATTTAAAGACATCTATTCATTTCAATTTAGAGAAAAAATATTAAAACAGTAAATTAAAATTAGGATAATAATACTTTATTTTATATATATATATATATATATATATATATATATATATATATATACGTATCTTTTAGCTATACAGGTAAAGAGGAAAAAATTCGAAGTTTAATTACATAACTTTGAAATGGTTCTTTACGAACAAAATTTATGGACTATCTATTTTACTTATTGATGAAGGAACCTAGAAGAAAAGACTGTATTAATTGCAAAAATTGTTGATATTATCACTGGCGACATTAATATCTCTGGGAGCTTAATATTGGTAAATATTTAATATTTATTATTGCAAAAATTATTTTGTAATATTGTAGTAATATTGTAGTATTATAGTAATATTGTAGTATTATTATTGTCAGAATATGCAAAGTAAGATTATGTGTAAATACGATAGAGAGAATATGATAAAATGATCTTGACATTAAATGTTTTTGCACATATTCAGTTGTTGTATAGGACACAAAATTTTGAGACATTTTGATGTGTTTCATTTTTACACGAAGTCATATATGCTCTAAAAATCGAAAATTTGAAAAGACAAAAGGTTACAGGCGTTGCATGAAAAAATCCCATTTAATCTTTTTATAGAAATTAAAATAGCTAGAAAAAAAAATTTAATTTAATATAATCTTTATTCTTTATTTTTTCTTGCTATACTGTACATTTCACAGTTAGAATTTTTAATAATTTATGAGTAATCTTTCTTTCTCTTTGATATTATATTATTATATTATTTATTAAATTTTATCTGTAATCTTGGAATTAAAAGTTGTTTATTATTCAATTATATTTAAATTTATTAGATAAATTTTTTATTTTACTATTTCTCTTATATAAATCTATCTGCTATTAGATAGTTACGTTGCTGCCGTATCGTCTTGATGCTCTTCCAATTCCTCGAGTTTTTCTTCGTCGTCCGATTGTGTTTCCTCTACGGCTGTAACATCCGGGAAATATAATTTGGACTCTTCGATAGCTTTCTCTGGATTTTCACTCACATGATAAGGTCCAATTCCGGCAAAGCCCAAAAATGCTTCGCAACCTACTTTCTTCACTGTGCAGACGAATACCTCGTAACTGAATAAAAGATGGAATAATTTAATAACCAGGTAAAATAAATTCTTCTATTATTAAAGATGTGAAGAATTCAATACACATATTTTTTCAGAATTGGATAAAATTATTCAAAAATAAATTTAATTATATAATTGATAAAGATGTAAAAATAAAAAAATGTTAAAAATATTATCTAGGAAATTATTTTAAAAATAGAATTAAGTAAATCTGAAATATCATGTATATATATCATCTGATATATCATCCAAAAAAGAAAGTCACATAATTATAAGATTAGTTTTTTCAAATTCTGAAAGAAAAGTAGATTACATCAATTTTTTTAGTTTGATATATATATATATATATATATATATATATATATATATATATATATGTGTGTGTGTGTGTGTGTGTATGATAAAAGAAAAATACCCCGTTTTCTCTTCTGTACTCATCTCAAATGTCTCTATACTTTTGGCGATTATCTTAGCCTCAGGTGGTTTATCATATTCAAATATACCAAAATTAATGACCTCATCATTGAACATGTCGAGCACCATTTTTAAATCATTTTTACGTGTGTAATCATATTTGAAGATGGTTATCGGCACTTTTGTCATTTTATCTTCATACTGTGAAAAAAATTAAAATATATATATTATTAAAAAAGTGCATATGTTTCAATAAATTGTAAATTAGGAAATATAATATTATTGTTAAAGAAATATAATATTAAATCAAAGCTAATATATATTTTAAATTTTGTCATATAATTATATTCTTTAATTTTAAATATAATTAGTATCTATGTTTTGATACAAGTACTTTATAGATTTCTAGAGATATTAAATTTCACATATACTTACCGGATATGTTGTGTTAGTGTAAACATTAAATATTGTACGAAAAACGATTGCCTTGTTTCTAGGATTTGGAGGAGTCCAAACAAAAGGAAATTTTCGGTTTTCCTTGTCAGGAATTTCAAAAGCCGGGCAATGCTTTCCGGCATAACTATATAGAGTAATTAATTTTAATAATATAGATTATAATATTAATTGGAGAGAGAAGTATTATTATTAACTTTCAATAGTTTTTTATCAGTATTATTTTGTAAGAAAATATTATGGTATTATTTTCCGATTATATATATATATATTTTGTATTGCAAATCAAATTCCACATTGAGTGAAATCACATACCATTCTTCATTTAAACACTCATCTGTTTCTGGTAATGTTGGTTCATTGAACAGAATACTGCACAGATAATTATGAACTTCGAGATTCTTTCTCCCTTCGATAATCTTCAATCGTATAAACATACATTTACCATCAAAGAGCAATTGTTTGGCAGTTTCCGAAAAGCTATACGTAGACTACATGTTAAAAATAAAACATTATATTTTTATTAACAATAGCAATCATGAGACTGTTACAACATAGGAAAACAAAAATACTTCATCGAGCATCTGTCGCAGCAAATCCTCATTCAGTCGTTTGCGTATCTCTTGTTCCACAGTGTAATTTTCCGGTAGTATTTCCTCAATTAACTCCACGTATTGTGGACTCATTCTCTTGTCTCTTCTGCGTCCTTCTTCATCTTTGAATATCCAGGGAAACAGTAGCAAACAAGTCTCGTTGCATAATGATGTGGTTAGATGCAGCATCTCCGCCTCATATCTCGCTTTAGTTTCAGCTTCTATAAAACGATATTTTTACTATATTAGACGATAAGTAATTTTTGATATAATTGGATTTTGTCTCAGGCGGAAGCTGATTTATTTAGTTATTAACTTATTGTTAATGATGATTTTACCTTTTCGAGATTTTTTCGCTATTTCCTTGGCTATTTTTGCCTCTTCCTGGATTTTCAATCGTGTTACTTCTTCCGGACTCTTCTCGGAAACGTCTATCGAAAACCTGTATTTTTTGCATTATAAAGAATTCAAAAGTAATACTGAATTTTTATTTTTTAATATTGTATGCAGTTAGAACGTTATAGAATCCTTCCAATTAATTGATATTTAATGAACAAGTCCATTTTTAATGGTTATTAAATTAATTTTTTCGATTAATCTAGATATTACCAGTATTTATATAATAATGTACAAAAATTTTTGAGATGATTTCCTTACTCATGCTCGCCGCCGTTTTGAATCCTGTCGAGCTCGGTCGTCAACATTTGTATGAACTGTGGACAATGCGCTCCAAACATTAAATTGATCATTCGTCTTTCCTGCCAAAAAATAGGATTTCAATAATAATTGTTTCTAGCGCGAATCATTTGAGGAATACTCACATGAATAAACATCCATATAGGTTCACTCTTTCCTTGAAATCTCTTTAAATCGGTGACGCGATCACAGTTTGCCTGAAAACGATGAAAGAGAATTTAAAAAAATACTTTTATATGATTAGTTGAAGATTGATTGTGTGTGAAAAATAATTTTAGTAAATATATTATTTCTAAAGAATATATCTTGATTTATAATGTTAATTAATTATTTTTTATTCACTCTCTTATATTGATATCTATAATAATCTATTTTATATCACATTTTTGACAATTACCGTGGCATAACTCAATGCGTCGCCTCCAATTTCCATTTTTATTTTTTTCAGGATGCTCACCATGCCTGTACAAGGACCACTCCAATCCGAGTACACGTCCACTACTAAATAAAGATGGTACATTAAAAATATTTAAGAGTCTAATCGAAAAGATATTTCTCTACATTCATAAGAGATAAAAAGACTCGCCTATTAAACCTTTCCGCGTCAATACCTTCGCCCATTCTTCGTCATTAATAACTTCTGTCTGTAATGCCGTGGGTGCCACCTTCTTCGCCATTCTTCTTGTCGTTTTTGCTCCACCCTAAGATAAAAAATTATGTTAATCCAAAAATATTATGCATTTCAGGAATAATCTTCTAATAGTTCCAATGTTTAAAACTTAAACACATTAGAAAGAATTCAAAAGTAAAAAATTCATTTAAAAAACATCTACAAGATATATTTTAGATATTTCTTTGCTTTTCCAATTTCCGTATTGTTTAAAATTATTATAATTTTATTGAAATTATATGTAATTTATCTAATTTTTTAGACGCTCCCGATTTTCTCTATACCCTTTTATAACGCAACATCTTCGAAACTGGAAGGATGTTAATCTCACGGATCGCGATTATGAAATAACTAGTTTTTTTCGCCGAAGATGTGAGCTTCAATATCGGATCGATTGATCTACGACAAAGTGGAGAGAAGTACTGCATTAATCGTGTATTTTCTGCTCGTTTACATAGGCTCGGCTACACGGGGACATCGGCGACATGGTAGGCACGCGATATAATATAATGATTAACGAGCTCGTGATACAAATACATGCAGAGGTAATTACGGTGCAGAAAATCGAGGGTTCTGCTAGCAGGGTTCTGCAAATTCTCCTATATAATAGCCTGTCTCAAGACATTAACTCGGATATGTCTTTAAAAAGAAACCTCTTTCTTAACAAAGGAGCGATAGCAACGTCTAGAATTGAAAGCCATTTGGTTTAATATTATCTCTCTGCTGTTTTTTTATATAAAAATGATAGCAGATTTCTTTTCTCCATTTAATATAATTGCATACTTTAATATTCATAGTATTTATATATTTATATATTATTTTTAAATATTAAAATTATGAAAATATTGGCACAGATATATTAAATATCACATATACGCATATATCATTATATAATAATTTATTCTTTCTTATTTATATATAAAGTCTAATATATAAGAATTATAGATTATTTATTTTCATGAATTAAAAAATCATAATATTTTAGAATAATACTAATATTTATATACATATATTAATATGTATATACAATATGAAATAATGTAATAAAAAATATTACAAACAGAATCATTCTGATTCTTACAATGCATAAGAGTTAATCTTCAACATATATAATACTAAATTCGACAATTTGTAATCAGTAAGCAAGGACAAAATCGACGTTGCTACTATTTTGCATATAAAACTTCACAGTTTTATTAAAAAAAAAAAACATTGCTATATTACAAAAATCGTGACTTAATTTACCGATTAAAATAAATTGACACAATTCTGTTTCGTCGCGTTTTTAAAAAGCTTGGCAAGAAATTGTTTGCGTGTCACGACCGATTTTTCTTCAGCAATTAGGATAATTCTCGTTTAACAATTAAAGCGAGACTCACGCATCAATAAGTAACCACGATCTTTGTTGATTTTGCACCTGCTTGGTTACTATGTAGTTATATTATTATATAAGAGTCAATAATGAATTTAATTTCTATATATATCTTAAAATATATTTAAAAAATATGTTTTAGGAAAATAAATGAGAATATATAAAAGTCATTGCTTAATGATATTCTTTTTTTTTTTCGAATAATGTGAAATATAAGTGCCCACATATATATTATTTATATGCATATGTATGTATATATATATATATATATATATGTATTTGCATATAAATAATGATTATAATTATTATACAATTAATTATTGATTTAAAAACAATAATTTGCGGAAATGTATTCTTGGATGATGTTTTGTCAATTCATCACTAGATGGCATTTATATATGTATTTAAAATGTGCGTGTAATACGTAGCATTCGAAGTACTTTGCAGGTGCGATTTATTTTCCATTGTTTTCGGTTATTTTTAAATAAATTATTCACGCAAATTATACTTTACAATCATATCGGATATTCAAAAAATCAAATTTATCATTCACAGATACAGTAACGTTTAAAATAATTTATTATTGAAGTTGATAAAGATAGAAGATGTGGAATATATTAATTTTTGAAAATAACATGATATATATAGATTTAAAAATTAGATTTTATTTTTATTAAAAATAATATTTGATAATTATTTGTCAAAGTAATTATTATAAGTGCGTAGAGAGCAATGTCTTGGAGGTTAGGTTTAATCTCTCGACAAGTTTTACGCGCGTAAACGTAACAGCTGATCACGTGATAATAGGATCAATGTTTAAATTTTAATGTATTTCTAAATAACTAAAAGTTGCTAAAAATTAAATTAATTAAACGCGCGACTTTGTGTGTAAATGGAAGATAAAGATTCAAGATGGTAAATAAGGCAAAATGTATAAATTTTGTAATGAATATACATTTTATGTTACAGAGATATACATATGTGGTAAAAACTTTAGCAAACGTTATAAAATTTTATAAGCATGTTCGGAAAAGAAGCAATCAAACTCATAACGGAGCTCGATATGTATGAAGATATTCGACCATTCAATGTAAATATTACATGAATGTCATTATTGTTGTAAATATAATCAGATAAATATATAAGAAAGAGATATAATCATATAAAATCTCTTAATTTTCAGGAGCAGGTAATGCGGCAAGTTTTTAAAGAAATGCAAAGCCTTTACGAGGCCAATCTGATAGACAGGTACATTAGATGATACTTTGATCGAAACTATTTCATGAAACTATTTCACAACTTAAAAAAATTAACATAGGAAATAAAAGTTTAAAATAGTTATTGTATAATTAATATTAAAATAATAATACGAAAATAATAAATTTAAAGAAATAATATATTTGCCTATTCTTTAATTTAGCAATCAAATTTGATTAAAAACTAGATATCAATCTTTTGGCAGGTGTTTTGCCGCAATGTCTTAAACTGTCTATAAATGTTTCAGTAATGCTATACAGAATGAAGGAAACAACGAGTTATTACCATCAGTGCATTTCCGCCATACAGCCTTGCTCAGGAACAAGAGATGCATTCTGGCATATCTGTATCATCGGATTAGACGTTTACGACAGATGCGTTGGGAATTGGGCAGCATTTTGCCAACTGAAATAACCACTAACTTGCTGAATGCAGAGGTACAATGGTTTCAGAATTACAATAAGTCTCTGGCTACTTATATGAAATCGATTGGAGATAATCATGGATTGAATCTGACTGTGAATATGAGCCCTCCAAAGACGCTCTATGTCGAAGTAAGTATCTACAATATGTAAACCAGAATACAATAAGAACTGTACAAGAAAATCATTTTACTCGTTTCCTGAACTTGCTTTTTATGTGTAATTATTTCTATCTATGTGTATTATATCTTATCTATCTGTGTGTTTATATATTATATGTCGTTTATATGCATCTTCAATCTTTATATATATATATATATATATATATATATATATATATATATACAATATCACAAAAAAGTAATTTTTTTTCTGAATTATTTTCAAATAAATTTTCATCATTAAATATTTAACACATAAATATTTAATACATGAAAAAAGAATGTAGCATATTTTTTAATTTTTTGCCTTATAAAAATTTAGTCTTGCTTTATATTGTATGTGTATAAATATGTTTCTTTTTCTTGAAAATCTTTTTTATAAAAAAAATATATTAAAAGACATTTATTATGGACTTGATGAGTATTTTTAAGGAAGTAAATTATCTGTTGAAAAAGAGAGAGATATTAACATTTTTAAAAGTTCTGAAATTTTAAGAAAAAAGAGAGAGATTATTAGAAAGAATATTATGATTAGCTTTTTATCGATAGTAATCAAATACAATTTTTTTTCAGGTGAAATGCTTAGCTGATTTTGGTAAGTTGGAACTCGATGATGGCGAGATTATTACTCTCAAAAAGAACACATATCATTTGCTACCAAGAGCTACATGTGAGCCACTTATCAGACAAGGTATACTTGAACACTATAACGTATGATGAGCATTGTGATTTAATATAAAGAAATATTATTTCCCTATTTTTATTATTATTTTATACCTTCCAAAATTTATGTACTGGATACTTTATACGCATTTTGTTAATAAAAGTTTTATTTTTATTTTATTTCTTTTATTTTAGCGCAATTGCCTGTAATTACATTGTGTATCTTTCAGAATGCTTTTATGTATGTATTCGTATTTAATATTAAATGTGATTAAATTTCCATTTGATATATGAGACCGTCATATTAAATATAAGCTTAATGATAAAAGATGGATTACAAATTCAAATCTCAGATTTTTCTTACATTTTTAAATTTCTTCCAGTTTTTTTCCATCACGTTTTAATCTCAAAAGTCAATAATTTTTATTGTTATCGCGTTATCAAATGTGATATATAAAGTAATACATCAAAGTAAATATGATCCCATCACTAAAGTATCAACTCTTGATAGACTGTGACCGTAGATTTTGTGATATACATTTTACCTTGATCGTTTATCGCAACTTTACAATTTTATATGTATTGTTATTTAAACCCCCAATTGTTATTTAAGTCTTATTAAAACAATTTAATTTTTAAAGTCATATTATAGGATTACTAATCGCTGTTAATAACAGAACATGGATAATATAAGGGGAAATCCATGTATGTATGCAATATGGCAAATGAAAGCGAACCAATATTTACCTAAGATTAGTAAGACGTAGTCTCAGTACAGTTTCAGTGATGGTAAGAATGGTAACGCTTCCTTTCCGTTCCATCAACGAATCTCAAACTTATAAAATAAAGTAAGGACATTTCTTTTTCCTTTTTTATCTATTTATCTTCCTCTTTTACCTATCAGAATTTTTTAAAGATATAATTTACAAGCAAACATGATATAAATAAGAGACGAGCTTTGTAAGTTAATAGCATATAATATATATGCATATAGTATTTCACATAGTTTATTAATTTTGAAAATTTTGTAATTTCTTTCTCGATGAAGACCGATAGGAGTCGACATCTATCTCGCGCAATCATCATTTTTGAGTTTTCCTTCTCCTGATTATGAAAGACTAAGGCAGTGTGAATTTCCTGCAGTGAACGGAAGAAAGCACATCGATCGAGGGCGATATAAAAAGTACGATTTTCTGTGAGCTTGACTTGGAATGCTTTTCATCAATATTTGTCAACGATAGATGGCCAGTCAAGAAAGATTCATTGTTGGAAAAAATGGCACAGAAAAAGCTGTAAGTGTCAGTTTATAAGTTATGTGTTTCTTTATATTAGCAAGCTTTTGAATAATATTTTTACATAGAATATTATGCGTAAGATTGAAACGTTTATAGCACGTAAAGAAATAAAGATCGTAATTTGTGAGATTTATTACTCGCTTAAAATTGACCAATTATTTAACTAAATTGCGTAGATCTTTCTTCAGTTTTATCCTCTGATTATGAAACTAAAATTATATATGTAATTGATTCGGCAGCATAGAAGACTTCAAAAATGAAAGCAATATCATTAATTTAAATAAAAAATAATCGATCTTAAATGAAATAGTTAATATCACTTTTCTGTCAAATTTTTATCTATAAGTAATAGCTTCAATCAATTTTTATTTTATTTCATTTTATATTTTATTTTCATAATTAGGAACATGATTGTAATCCCCGAATTCGCGGGAAAATATATAGAAATAAATGCACATTGGATTCACATTGCGACAATATCATAAACAATATCCCGAGAACGCTATTTTTCAAGTATTTATCTACCATTAAAGTAGTTATTGCTTTCTTTTTTGCAAATATTTATTTGCACAGCCGCGTTAATTAGCGATTAATAGCTCATGCGAGTCATTGAATCGCTCTAAAGAATATTCAGGACACAAGAGAACAAAGTACATTAGAAAAAATCACCATGGAATGAGGTTGAAATGTCAAAGGAACGGTGCATTCATCTATACGCTTTGCCGTTCTTGAGTCAGCGTACTTCCCCAACTCTGTTGTATAGCTGTATAATAATGGTATCGCGTACATAATAATGGTATACGAATTTAAAAGTGTTACCTTTCTTTTTTGTCTTATGTAATCGCGACTTAATCGGTTTTTTGTAAACATCAAGTAATTTTCCAAGATTGAGATAACTGACGCATTAAACTTATCATATTAAACTTTAAGTGTAAACGCTTAAGTTTTTAATACGACAGAAAATAATACATATTCGTTCAACGCTATTCAAGTAACTTTTTATAAAATAAATCTACATTAATGTATATTTTCTAATATATTATACACAAATCAATATAATGTAATTAATTACAATATAAAGATATAATATAAAATATTAATATGTGTAAATAATATACTATATAAATTTTAATACAAATCATATTAGCAAATGCTGTAATTAATATATATACATATATATTAATTATTAATTTATATATAATATTATATATTTAATATTATATATTTTATATATTATATATTTAAAATGGGAAGACTTAGTATAAAAAAGTGTATTAGATTAATTTTTATTCGTGAAATTGTATTATTTCGCAAAATTAATCGGATAATTAAGATCGTAGACATCGCTTGCATTTTAAATCAAAAATATTAGTAAAATCTAATAAATTTCATAATGCAGAAAAAATATATCTGTAATATTTCGTACTGTAAATAGTACATTCAATGTCTATCTAGCAGCTAAATATTTTGCATCGTAAATTGCAAAATAAATTATTTCTAGAATTTCGATGACCAGTTAGTTTATCGCAAATACTTGTACTTGCAAGTATCACATTGTTTTAAGAAAGTCATATCTCGTATAACATTTATCAATGAATATTGAAATGGTATTTGTGAGTAAATATGCATGTGCACGCGATTGTATGCATGCGTGCGAATCACCGCCGCATGCAAAATGTAATCGAAATAACGTCATATCATGTATAAACTGTCGCATTTAAAATAATATAATGAAACATTATTTTTTTTTATTTTGCTTCAATATTTTTTCGAAAATTTGTATCGAAATACATATGACATTTTACGAGTATTCATAATCGTATTGTATATTGATAATTCCATAAATATATATAATAATCTACGAATATAAGCGGACTTGAATAGCTTCCGTATAATGCATATTTATGAATCGTCCAATCATGTGTCTAATATCATGCAACTATGTGGCATCCTTTAGACACGTGCTCGATCAATTGTGCGCATATATGCGGCAAGTTTGCCTGAGCTTTAATTATGCTACTAGCGTGATATCATTTTTCTATTTCTGATGAATTAAATTAAAAGATATGCTTTTTCGATTGAGACATATTGCCACTAATTGTAAGCATATGTGCGTTTCTAGCTCTTATCAGAAAAACTATCTTAATTGCTCTTCTCTCTACGCAAGTGTCTACAAAAAGTCTATAAAAAGTTTAATATATATAATATATAATGAATATTTAATAATTTATAATATTTTTTATATATAATATATAATGAATATTTAATAATATTTTATAATATTTATATATATATATAATATATAATGAATATTTAATAAATTATATGAATATTTAAAATTATATATTAAAATTATATTTTTTTTCTTGGAGAAAAAAAGTTACATTTATTATTACTCGTAGAAAAATTTAAGAATTATTGAAAAAAAACTGTATTTTTAATAGTTTTAATTGTTAAGATACGACATCTCGAAAAAATATATCGAGTACACAATGTTGAGATTACTTATATTTTCTATCGTTATCGTAGGTTTTCCCCCAGATAATCCGGATATTGATGTCGGTAATGTCCATCTGCGTCTACAAGCACGTACACCGAAAATTCTTCACCTTTATCCGTAATCAATTGACCGACTTAATTCCTCTGTAACCGTATTAAACGATAGTAAGTAAGCAAATACTTTATTATCGGTTTATCAAAGAATGTATCTATCAAAAAGTCTTGTATTGGCTTACGTGTATATATAATCCGAATCTCTCGACCGGGTACGGAATCGATCTCTCATTCTTCAAAAATATGTTCCTCTTTCAAGGCATTAGTAGATCTTGGAATTAAAAGTTATTGAGAACACGAAGGATTTTTTTGCAAATAAGATTTTATAAGTGCAAGTACATAATAGCTTTATAATATTATAGTAATAGCTTTATAAATGTATTATTGAATTTATTAATTATGAAAATAGAGTTAATGTGTGTGTGTGTGTGTGTGTTGATAATTGAAAATTTTTTTATATATATTTTGACAAAATCTATTCCAAGTTTCTTAGTCAAAAAATCAAATTCTAAAAGTGTATATTTTTCAAAAAGATTATTTTATTTTTTGTTTAATATAAGATTTATTATCTTTTTATTTAAATTTTTATTATAAATCTAATATTAATAATAATAATTATTAATACAAATCTAATATTAAATATCATAATATATTTTATGATACATATATACTATAATTTTATTATAAATCTAATATAAGAATTATTATTTTAATACTGTTTTATTTTCAGTTTTAGCAACGGCGCGACAAAAAAATTTGCTTTATCTTTCGTGGAAGGAAAATTGTATATACATATTTGGACTGTGCTGACTGAAAAGTAACAGGTAATAAATTGTTTATTGTCTTAACAGTTTATTGTGTGGCCTCGATAATAATGGGAAAACCCATGTGGAATTTTTACGATGAAGAGTCTTTTGTACGCATCGAGGTCGCATATTCGGCGGCGACGAATCGATTTCCCGGTAATGACCATGGAACGTTTACAGCGGTTCATCGTCGCGAGACCATTTCAGATAGGAAATGCCGGTGGAATTTCCGGTGAGTTCGTCTCGTCGTGCCGCTTTTACCGAGAGGTGCTACGAAGAAAGTAGCCCGACTATCACATGCGGCAAATGCGAAAGTTACATCGATCAATGTGTAAATCATGCCGTGTAGCGTCGATCTGTCGATTCATAGATGAGATGGAGATCTACTGAATGTAAAGGTATGTATGCAAGATCGTAGAAAATCGATTTAATGTTTCTCTCTTAAACGAGATTTTAGTTAAAAAATTCTGATATTATAAAGTTTATGCGCATGTACACTTAACGACAATAATTTCTCTGATTATAATGACAAAATTTATTACTATATTTTTCTAATCAATGTGCTGTTTGCCAATATTTTGTTTATTTCAAGCGTATCGCGCGTCAAACAGTGTGAGAAAATTAGCATTTTTAAATTCCGTTCAGCTTTCGCGTCATTTTCAGTGAATTGTTTTTGTTTTCTTTTTAAGATTAAAGTTTAAGTCCCTCCGGACTCTACAAGGGCCGAAAAATCCGATGATTCATTTATTTCGCGAAAGATTTAGAGAATGAATGAGAGATAATCTTATTCAAAGATATCTTTGTACGTTGGTTCCGAAAGCGAAAAGCGAAATTTTATCGATACAAAATTGCGACATTTTGCATCTGATAATTTATAATCTAACTTATGAAATGAAAGATCCACGCGCGCGTCTTATCTCGTAATTACACGATTTCAATAAGAACAAGTCACAACGATTAAAACTGACTTGCGCTACTTGTAGAGATTTGAGACTAGAGAGAGGAGCACTCTCTCTATTTTTTGTGAAGTTTTTAAAAGAACTGTCATGGCCGAGAGATACATAATATGTGTTACATACATATTGATAAGAATAGATCTGTCGCAAGAGATGCGATAACGCATACGAATTACTACGAAAGAAAGAAATGTCATGCTGAATAGAAAAAAATGAACAGCGATACGCACGCGATGATGGAACATTCTATTACGTAAAGACGCGTATTGATTTGAGAGAAACGCGAGCCTCCCGTTTTGCTTTTGGAAAAATGATGAGGATATTTATAAGACTCCAGATATCTCTTCGCTTAATAGTCTGCCTAATTTATTGCCCTTGCCAATGATTAAAAATGTAACATTTCAGATAGTTCAAAGAGAAAATTGAGACCGCTTTTATATGTAAAATCGCAGCAAGACGAAGAGATGACTCATTTTTTAAGATTACTTTCAAGAATTTATTTAAAGACGCTTTCTCAAGCTAGTGCTATATATGTAAAATTTCTTCTTCGGTGCTCTTAAATAAGCTTTCTGCAGAAAAAATAGCGTAAACTACATTTAATTTAAAGAGAGAATCTCAAGTTTCCCGCGGATTTCTAAGCAACGTGTGTTCAGTCATACCGGGTTTTCCTTCGCACTTAGTTTATCCGCGGTGAAAACCTATTAATACAACAACAGAGATATTTAATGAATATTTCCTTTAAATGTTTAGCAATATCCGCGATTATATAGAAGCGATTTTCATAAACAGCAATAAAAGTTAATCGCCTCTTTTTCTTCAAAGCAAATACTTATTACGATAAAAAATATTAATATTAATGTAAAATACATATAACATAAAAAAAAATTCAAATAAGATATAAAATATTTATTTAAAATATAAAATATAAATAATATAAAATAATTATTTAAAGACTTATTTAAAATATAAATAATATAAAATAATTATTTAAATAATTATAATATTAATATAAAATTAAAGATTAAAAGATATCAATATTAATATATACAGTTTTATTATTGATATCGTTACAATAAAATTGGATTAGATATCGAAGCATTTTATCCAAAAGAGTCTTTTTCCGCAACTGAAATTTCCGAATCGAATTCGCGATATAACGCTCGATAAAAAATAACGACGCGTTTTTTCCTCGCGATTTTCGAAATCGTTTTATCTGTAAAATGAGAGTCGCATCGTGTCTTGATTGTACGCCATACAACTGGCCCTGCCCGATGTTGATGGGTTTTCCCGCCCCTACTCCGCTCTCTTCCTCGGGAATTATACCGCTGGAGATATTGTTAAATAGCAATCTTCGTTGCGCATGCGCGTCGAGCGTGATCCAGGTCTGTATCTAATCCGAGTATAAAAAGGTATCATTTGACCTGATTTCTTTTTCTTGAACGAATTGTTTAATTCTTGTAATAAATAAAGAGCTTTAAAAATAGAAATCGATAAAGACTATGACAGAACGTAAAAACAGGATACAATACAGAATCATTTCTCGTTATTTATCATTTTTTTAAAAATGGAAAATCGTTCGCTCGATTCTGTACATATGGTACGTTACTGCGCGTCGCTTGACGCGCATGCGCTAAAGAAACGTCAGTCTGACAACAACTGGCTCGCTCTCTCTGTCGTCGATCAGTTCGTTCTGAGACGTGAAACGACGAGGTGTACATTGACGTTCATCCGACGAAATCGCTCGATTCAACAACGAAGACCTCCAATCTCTCTTTCGTCTGTCGGCGACTGGGAATCGCGCGGGTGCGTTTATCGAATTTCTGTAGGGCGTAGTGAAACGGATTTATATCGAAGAGAATCGCAAACGACGAACACGCGAGCGATGCGGAGCGAAGGTGGACGGAGATAGACGACGGGACGAGACCAAAGTGCGGGCACAGCTGTTTCGCGAAGAGGGGGAGGCCGAATAGACGCGAATCCGCGAGAGCGAGCAAGTGGAGGAAAACGTCGGATACGAGAATCGATCGAGGGTTATTAAAAGAAAAAGCCGCGGAAGTCGCGAGTATCGCGTCTGTCCTCGCTAATCCAGGGTAAATATCCTTGAGGAAAGGAGAGAGGAGGAGAGTCATTGCACTTTTCTCGCGCGAGAGCGAGCGTCCTGAAAAAAAAAATCATCCTCGGGATCTCCAAACATGTGGCATCCCAGCCGCGAGAGTAGAAGCACCCAGATGGAGGAACCTGTTACAGCGGACGAGAGGAAGCGGTGGCGTCGCGACGACCACCAGGACGACGACGTCGACGACAAGGACAAGGACGATTACGAAGCGGGCAACGTCGATTCCGGGTTCCTGTCGAGCGGCAATCTGCAGTTCAGCGACGAGATTCGCGACTCGGAGTTACCGCAACAGGGGGGGCAGTCGGGGGTAGGGGACGCGGGGGCGGGGGTGCCGACTCCCGCGCCAGCGGCCGTGACGACGACCGCATCATCATCGGCGACGACGGCGATCGCGGAGGAGCCAATGAGGGCGATCGACAGCGGCGTGGACCTCGACCTCACCGAGACCCTGAGCCAGCTCAGCCTGAAGCAGGTCAGCCTGAACCCGCTCGCCTCCAAGAGCGGCAAGTTGATTCAGGCGGTCGAGTCGGCGAGCCCCGAGCTGTCACCCGTGACCGCGAACCTTACGCAACCGGACGACAACACCAAGTTACAGCACGATGAGGCGTTTCTGTTCGAGCAACCCCAACGGGAGAGCGAGACCAGCAACGAGGAACCCTGGCAGCTCTATTATACGCAGGACGACGATGGTGACACGTTAGTGAATGTTTCGTATTTCATCGACAATGTTTGTTAATCCTTTAACTGTCTGGAGACACGTGGGTGATATATATATATATATATATATATATATATATATATATATATATCAACTATATTATTGTTCTTCTCTTTTATGTCGCGGTAAAGTTAACTTGTTGGTTCCTCTGTTTAGAATTGAACAAATTAGTAGTCATACCTTTTATATCAAACCGAAATTGATTTTATATTAATAATAATAGCGCGCTTTTTTAGGAAATGTCGCAGTAGATTGCTCGCCGCTTCGACTATCATTTACATCCACCACTTCATCACTTCATACGAACGGACTCTTCGTCTTGTGTTTATCCATCTTATAAGTCATCGAACCGTTAACTCTTAACCGTGTTAACAGCTTATTGCGGTCAGATTCGTGATATCGCGTGATCTATAGGACCCGGGTCTCTAACGCGGTCAACAGATCCAAAGAACGTATTATATCATGTGGATGCTAACAAATACTACGGGAAGTGATTAAAAGCAAATACTAGTAATAAAGTAAGCAGCAATTATTTTTCGAATAATAATGAGTTCCATCTATTTACTTAATCAAGCCTGGAAAATAAAAGTTTCCAAGAATCACATGGATTGTCGAGGAATTTCTAGAAATCTCAAATACATTTTTATAAAGCTACTAGGGATAATTATCTCATTTTTCATCGATTTGTTTATATCAACTTCTTCATATTTTTCTGTTTGATTTTTTTCTTAAATTGTAACAATAACTTTGTCGTAAGAAAGTAGTAGCTTTCATCAAATATAGGACAGTGTTGAAGAATTTCATATTTTATAATAACAGAATCTGAATAACAAAATAATTTGCATAATTTTATAAAAAAAAGAAACGAAATTTGCATTCATATTCAAATTGCGTGCTAGCACGAGGCCTTTTACAATTTGAAATTTTGACAGATAATGAAAGAAAGAAAGATTACAAGTTTTGTTTCTGTATTCTTCGAATATTAAAATTCGCCGTATAAATTGATTTCGTCACGTCAAGTTTAATCTGGCAAATAGTCATCTCTAATCTTGGCTTGTTGCAAGTTGTTTTTTTTAATGAACGTAGTTTGAGTGCATTGATTTAAGCGCGAACGTCATTATGCATAACATCGACGTTGGCATTCGCGAACGGCCTATATACATATACCTTTGACGTGTGTTCAATGCTTGACTCGAGCTCGTTGACCGATTCAATGAAACGAGTTTCTTCAATGAACATCATCTTTCGAGAATTCAGGTGAACAACAACAATGATAAATTGCAGAGTGACGCACATAGAAATTCCACAAAGGAGATGTTTCACTTATGCAATGAAAGGAAATAAGACAATATTTTAAATACACTATATAGTGATAATAAAAATCAAGCATTCCTTCTAATTATTAATTATCATATAGAAAGAAAGAATATAATACGAGGATCAAATAATTAATTGACAAAACACTCCAGTTAAGGATTAATAAATAAAGAATATGAATAACCACAAAAACTTGTGATATCACAAGACTCTTAGACTTGATTTTATTCTTATATGACATATTTATAATTACAGGCAATTGCATATCGCAATCGTACAAGGCTTTGTGGAAGCTGCGCTCTGTTTAATAAGAATGGCGCCTGACCCGTGCCTATTGGACATCATAAATGACGACTGGCAATCGCCTTTACATCTGGCAGTGTTGACGCACCAACCGCTCATTGTCAGGCACTTAATCCTGGCGGGCGCGGATCCATCTCTAAGGAATTTCCGTGGGAACACGGCTCTACACCTAGCTTGTGCGAGCGGAGATCTCGGTTGCGCTAAAGCTCTCACAGATCCACTATACCCGATGGAGAGGAATAAGCTGACGCTCGGACAACAAGTACCTGCCTTACCACAAAACTTGGAGCAACGTAATTACAACGGTAAATATATTCGATAATTATTGTTTAGTTTTTCCTATTTTTTTTGAAAAAATAATGATTAATTTTTGCGGCAAAAACTAGATAGAAGAATTAAAACGTAGTAAGGAAAATATTCGAAAAATTAAGAGAATAGAGAGAGGACGGCATTCTTGCATATTAAATAAGCGCAATGAGGATATTCGTTCTGTTTCCCGTCTTTTAAATATTTTAATGATGCTTGCACCTTTTCCTGCAATTACGATAATGATTTGGAAGCGTACAATATAATGACCGCTAATCACCGTTATAATGCAAGCAAAGATGATCCACGTCCGTGACGGTGGAGACAAAGGACGCCGAGGCGGCAACGGAAAATCCTAACTGCTTTTATCGCGCGGAATAAGTCATATGTAAGGCTCGCGAACAATGATATTACGGCCATGAACGTGGAACTATATGCAAGTTTCTTGTGATTTCATCGAGAGTCACAAGTTTCTCGCGTTCACGTTTAAAAGTTCCATCATCTCACAAACATCTTAAGAACATTCTTTAATAATAAAAAAAAATATGTTAATTTAGAAGATAATTTATATTGAAGATAATTTATATTTGAAAAGTTTCAAGTTTAGTCGTTATCTTGCGGATCTTACACTCAAAAAAATGATCTTGCAACTATAGCAAAAATTTTCTAGGTGCGAAAAATTAACTGAGGCAGATAAACGATTAGCAAATGTTGTAATATCGTATATATGTTGCACGTAATCAATCTAAATGACAGAGACAGAATTTATATTTGAACTGTTTGTGAAATTTAGAAAGAAAGTTTTTCTGTGGCGTCTATCCATGTTATGATCAATCATACTTGATATAAATTTTGGCTGTGGTATACAGAAAATACTAGCAACAAGAGACAAATTAATATATAATCCTGATACTTAATATAGTTTGTATAACGCACCTAATCTGTCTATCTCTTTTTGACAATTGCGCAACATTATCGCCGCTAGGTGGCGAAAGGTAAAAAGCCTAACCCGAAAGTAGAATCCATCTAAGACATCATATAACGCCGCGGCACAGGTCTCGCGAGTCACGGCTTATCGATCAAAGAGCGCATTAGCTCGAAGACTGTTATAGGCGCATCTCTTCCATTTTTTACGAGAGGAGCCCTAGAGCTCCAAAAATTAACTGCAGACGGTTAATTTTTTTATAGTGAATTCTCATATATGTATCGTAGAAGACAGAATAAATATCCATGCAGAAATGAATATCAAATGCGGGCAATGGAATAAAAATAAGTTAGCTATGATATCTAAAGTACATTGACATATTATATCGCTGCTGCAGTTATAATGAGCAGCTATATTTTTTACAAAAATTATTCTTGCTGCAGTATTGAAACTCATATTTATCCAATGCAATGATTAATATCTAACAATAGCATTTAAATTTTCTAGCAGATATTGCTAGAATGTTACTGCTATAAATTCTAGCTGTGACAAACGATATTCTATCAGATACAAAAAATAGCGATAAATTTTGGTTGCGACATCTAGAAATCTATCTACATTAGCAAAACATTTTTTTGAGTGTATATTTTAATAATAAGATATTTAAATAATATATATAATTTAAATAATTTGATTGATTTTTCTTACAATAAATATATGTATTGAATATGTATATATATATATTGAAATATGAATCAATTAAGACAATTATTGAAATAAGTTTTAAGATTATAATTAAAAGAATTATTTTTTAATGGATTTTTAAAGGGATTTTAATAAAAAAAGACAGAAAGAGAGAAAGAAAGTAATTTAATGTATAAAAATAGATAAGAAATATACATTAAATATACATTTAAATATAAATTTGAAAATGAACAAATTGTAAAGATTAAAACATTATAAAAATAATTTATTGAGCTTAGATTTATTTCTAGTAAAGTAAAAAGAGATAATTGATCATACATTGGCCGTAGTATCTGTTATTAAAAATTGATTTAATTAGAACAGAATACTGGATATACACCTACCTTATCCTTAATGCTTTCGTATATTTGGTAACACATTATTTTTTTGAAACATCAAATTATACACATGATAAAAATTGTCGAATGCTCTTTCGACATATTTCTAATATACGCACGTATTCGAGCTCCGATTTACGGCGATAATAACGCAGTCATTTACGATCGTGAATCGATAACGGCAAGAGAAATATATATGCGTACTCATATTCAACCCGGGGAATTCCTGCTTTTATAACGAAAGTTTGCGTCCAGATAAAGCATAACAATCGACCTCGGCGAAAGGTTTCGCGATAAAACCGCGGCTTTACGGGATTCATCAGAATAGCTAACGTCATTGTTTTACAAAACATAATTAAAATTAAATGTTATAATACATAAGTAAAAATAATCAATAAAGTATAAAAGCATAAGTTGTCTCGAAACTTTACATTTACTTTTTCTATCTCTTTACAAAAATCTTTACCTCGTACGCGAATTTATTAAATTTTCTATAAAATTTGAAATGAAAAATTGATCCTTGAATTAAATTTTTTAGTATAATTTTATGTAATTATTAATTTTTAAAAAAGAATTATTTATATAAAATTGTGTATATTTATTATTATTAATGTAATAATTACTATTAATATTTATAATTATTTCTAATATATGTACAAATTTTGCTGTAAGATTAATTAAGAATTAATCTGGAATCATATAAATCTCTTTTTTATGTATGCATAAGAGAAAAAAAGAAGTTAGAAAAAAAGAGAAAATTATTCCAATTAGCGATAATTGTTCGTCACAAAAAATGATAAACTTTATAAAAATCTCGGAAATCCCATATATATAGCGTCATCGTCATTTTATTTCGCCGCAAGCTCGCACGACGCTCATACATACATATTCACGCACGTGCAAAGCGCAACGTAATCGATCATTGTAGATCGTGAGTAATTAATCGAATCTAAAAGATTATATAAAATTGCGAATCTGTCGAAAATTCTTCACGTTAGATTAATTCGCACCTATTTGTCCAGATTTACGATTTAAATCAGTCGATGAGTAATAAAATAAGTTCTCTGTAATATAAGTTTCTCCGTTTCCACAATCGAGAAATGACTGATTCATTCGGAATAAATCATAAATCCAGGGCACTTATTTTCTTTGAAAATAGATTTCTTGAGATTAAATAATCGCTTGTCACAAAACAAGCGATAATTATTAAAACGAGTGGCGGAAAATAAATGACGAATATTATTACGATAATAATCTCTACAAATCAACTGAAATTAGATAAAGTTGTTATTTCCGCGGTAAAGCGATTTCATTGTGCGATTCAATTTATCGATGAGGATGTGACATGCAAAATTACTTTTTATCGAAAGACGAGTGTTCTATTCGTCTAACTTTAAGAAAAAGAATTGTATAAGATATGCTTAAAATAAGAGCGAAGAAGAATGTCGTAGTAGAAACGTACACGATGGAATTCTATCTTATATTTATACGTATGTGCGTGTGTGCATGTGCACGCATTACATTATGTGATGCGTCGCGACGCCAAAGAGAGCGCGAGACCAGCTGTTTTTGACACTTAAAAATACCTGTGGGACTATTTGCGCGTGCTAGGCGATATTTTCGGTCGATCGGGAAACCCCACAGCGGCGTCGACGTCAGTGACTTCGAGTTTTCACCTTTAAAAAGAAATCGATTCTCTTTCGTGCCTCACCCCAATCAACCCTCGAGCAGCAGCCTCGAGCCACGTGGTTCTATTTTAAGTATTACAAGAAGAGATTTTTCTTTTACATCACATTCCAGTATCGTCTAAGCTGCCTGAAATTCTGACTAAGTCAAATGACTCTTTCGATGACGCTGCAATCGACCACGTGTTTGATTCTTACGCAGATTAAGCAGCGACGTTATTTGTGTACTTGTAACAATTTGTGCAATTAGGAGTTATTTGCGCCCTCGTCGAAGGTGAAACGACTTTGACGCAGTATGATGTACGTAACTAGGAGATACTATATCGTGAAATTCCGCCAATGTGACTGGTAACGCGGGGTGCTTAATTTTAGCGGTTACTTTGATCGGACGCGAGCCTAGTTTGGATCGCGGGACTCCGGCCAAACCTCCGATACGACATAATGATTCACCACGTCTTCCTAGTTCTATCTATATCTCACGACGAGCCGAGACATGTGACTCGGTCATTCCGACATACCTCTCCTGGCTCAGGAGGGGAAATGATAGAAAATTCGGCAAAGTTAGATCCTAATCGGTTGCTCGTTCCATATTTATCAGTGTGATACATCTTGTTGAAATCTAAACAGATAGATGTATAGATACTTTTCTATCACACGTCAGATCCCTTTATCATTTTGGAATTGAGATTCGATTAAGTATCACTTGTATATTAGGGATTTTTCAATCTTGAATATTATATAATAGAAATACATTGTATAATAGAGATAATCTAGTAGAGATACATAATAGAGTATATATAATATATATATATATATATATATATATATATATATATATAGTAGAGATATATTGGATAAGTTGCTTATCGATATGATCTTTTCATTAATTCCAGGTGAGATGTGCTTGCACTTGGCCGCCGCAAACGGACATGTGGATCTAGTGCGACTTCTGTTGCGTTTAGGCGCCGATCTCAAGGCGAAGGAAGGTCTGGCAGGATACACAGCCCTTCATCTCGCGGTGGAGCGCGAATGTCGGCCAGTGTTCGAGCTTCTATTGCCAGAATGTCAACGAACATCGTGTCTGGACGAGCGAACGTATCGCGGCACGACAGCCTATCAATTGACTCTGGACGTCTACAGTGCATTCGCCAAGGAGGCTCGCAGAAAGCTGGTACGACACGGCGCGGCGCCGGAACCACTGCCAGAGTCGGATTCCGAGAGCAGCGAGGACGAGGAAACGGAGAGGTCATTGTGGACAGCGGATTATTTGCCCGCGATCGTCAAGACACAAAACACGGTTGGAGTGACAGTCTAAGTTATTCATCGGTCAGTAATCTATTCATTAATTCATTCAACGTTTTTGGGCGCTGCACATAGTTGGATGGAAAGAAGATAGAAAGAACGTGATGCGCATACACATGAAGATCTATCGAATCACTTTTACGAAATTATTTTAGTTTATTATATAGTCGAATGAAGATGGACGTATAATTACAGCGAACAAAATATGTATAAACAAAATTGTAAAAGTACGTCTCGCGTCTCTCTCTATCTTCTATATGCATTATATGTTACGCATGCATTAAATTGTATTTTGACTTTCAATGAGTTCACGAAATTATCTTAATTAACGGGGTGAATTTTCAAATGAATAAATCATCTGGAAAAAATAGAACAAAATTATATTTAATGCAAATCAACTTGTAACTTGAATTTTGACACGCTGGACGACGTCATTTTAAGATATTAAAGTTATTAAGACAAATAATTAAAATCAGAATTGATAGATAAGAAAAAGAATTGCATTTGGCATAATAATATGATTTTAATGCATATAATGCACAAGTAAAATCGATGTTTAGCTTTGAAACGCGTCTCTGTAATGTCATCTTAATCTGCTGGATGGATTAAGACTTATAGTGAAAAGTGGAAGGAGTTGCCAGAATTAATAAATAGCAAGTGGCACAAGATTAGCTTCAATGTGTGTTACATAATATATAATGGATGGTCATAGAAATGTCTTGAATCAACAAGTATTACTATTACAGTAGACTGCGTACGTTTTTTAAATCGATATCGGCAGCAATATGTGCAGGTTGAAGGATGAACGAGTAACGTTCGAAATCGAGGATCTCAGAAACGAACTTATACGCGACTTAACGAATATCCGATTACGAACGAAGCGACAATACGTAAGTGCGAGCTCCTAACGGTCGTTCACTTTTCCTCTAATAATCCTTTGCAAGCCAATAGGCATGCAGCAGTGTTCCGAGTGTTGTACAGAGTGTTCCAAGAAAGGCTGTACCAATAATATAAAGAACAATGTATATTTTAACGCGAATAAGAGAGAAAGAGAGAGAAAATATGTATGTGTGTATATATGTGTGTTTTCTTATAATATTGGCGTAGAATCTGCGAACAATTGTGTTAATTCTGAGATGTGTGTTAGTTATGACGAAGCGAGAATGGAATTTGCGCTAAGCCAATACTTCATAATTGTAAATAGAGGATACATTTTACTAAACTGCGTCGAATGCGAATATTCTTGAAGAAAACTCTTGTTGTCAGAGATCGTAGATCTCATAGAATAGATGCAAAGTTGACAACATACATATTTTAAATCGGAGAGAATAATCAAATCCACATTCTTATGTGCGACTTATAATATATTTATAATCATAAGTATCGAAAAAAAATCCAAAACGATACGATATTCACTGTTAATTGAATCAATGTTTCATGGTATGCAATTGTTTCCATCGATACAGTTAATCTTCCTTTCATCTCTTCGTATATAGACATCTTCCATTAGATTCATGAGTATATGTTATTTTCACGGTATGTTAATGACAATGATGACGATATCATTATATTGTTATATTCGTACATATATATAATCTATAATTATTTTTAATAAAAAAATGTTATATACAATCTCTCTTTCTTTCTCTCTCTTTCTCTCTCTTTAACGCTTTCTTTGTCTTTTTTTCCTTTGAAGAATTATCCTTTACTCTACCATCTTTTTCTCTGTTCTTGAGAACTTTCTTCTTTTTACATTTGTAGAAAAATTAGAGGCAGATAAAAAAGAGAAATAATTCTAAGGCAGGGAATAGTGATTCGGAAATTAATACAAGAACTTCAGTCTAAAATTATTTCAAAAATTGAAATATCAGTTCTCTGCCTCTTCAATTATTTTAAATTATCCACTTGACACAATATATGCATAGTGTAAAAATATTATATACATATATCTTTATTTTAGGAAACGGAAGTGAATTGGGTTTCCAAGAAGTTTCCTTCTTTTGACAAGATTGACCTAAAAAGTTACAGACAAACAAACGGGATTTTTGGAAACGCGAATGTAGAGCAAGAACCGATGGCTGCGTGTTATTTTGAACCTCGTATAATGACATTCCAAGAAGTTGGCGTGCTTATTTCTTCTCGAAGCAGCTTGATTTATAGAGGAAGAGAAAGAGAAAGAAAGTTTTCCGGCGTATTTAAATATTGGAGAAATACATGTAGATTTTTATTTGAATATGTATGTTCTCCGATATATAAACAATTATATAAAGTCACGCTTGATATCTCGTGAGAGAGACCGCACATCTCTCTCAAGAAATTCCAATGTTATACACGTGCATATCTTTTATATTTTCAATATAAAATTTTTAGTATCTTATATAGAATAAATATTTAGTTTCTTATAATGTAATTTCTGTAATATAATTATCGTTTCTCATTTATTTTGTTTCAAAGATTGTGTCAAAGATTTTTATAAGAATTTAATAGATTCTCAATCGTTCCTAAAACAATGCGATATATCTTGCTAATGAAAATTACGGAAATGAAAAGCATCAAAGCGATACTTTCCGGCCCTGCCTGAGAACGATGGGTTTTTCCCATCCCTACTTCGTGCAATTGTGTAGCTCGAAACTGCTGGAAGCTCCATCCATGCAGTTTTAAGAGACCAAATCGCGCGCATGTGCATTCGAGCAGGCACTAGCAGACGCTGTTAGATCTGTCAGTCCTGTAAAGACTTCGCTCTATGAGATGATAAGACCTCTACGAGGTCTTATTAGACTCTTGATTCTTAAAAGATGTTAAGATAAATAATTTACATAAAATTTTGTCAATTAAATGAGAAATGATGATTATTAAGTCTATAGTAATTTCTTATAGCGAGGTCATTGAATAAATACACGACCCTTAAAAGATGATTCTCTGTGTACGGGTCTGTCGCTTGGTCACGTGATCGACGTATCTCACGCATATACGCTCGCCTATACCGATCAGTTTGTTTCGAGACGCGAGACGATGAGGTCCTTCAACGCTTGCAACGACAAACTCGACCAGGCCGCCTTCCACTTATTTTTCCCATCTGTGACAAAGATCAGCTGGAAGACGAGTCTCTTCCGCGATACAATGAACGTCAGATCTGTCGTTTGAAAGGAGAGTATCGTGTTCCGATATATGGGACCGTATGTCCTTCGAGAAGAAGAACGATTCGCACAAGACATGCTAGCGATACGGAGCGAAGGAGCAAAAGGACGACGGAAATAGGGGAGAAAAACGAGACTTCATAAGCACCAGTTATACGTCTCGACGAACGAACGAAAGAAGAAAAACGCCGGAGAGGGAATTCGATTCGACGTCTCGGAAGCTAGAGACGTCATCCCGCTTGGAATTTTCGATGACAGTCTCGCTGATCGAGGCTGGGATACTTTCTTAATAGAGAACGTCTCTTCCCCTCATCTCGAGTTATCCAAAACAATGTGGTACTCTTCGAGCAAGACCGGAGCTCCGGCAGAGGAACATTCGCGAGAGGATGACAGAAAGATGACAGCGGCTGATGACAACGGATTGGCGACTGGCGACGACGACTCCGGATTCCTGTCGGTCGGCAACGTGCAGCTTTGCAGTGACACGGGATTGCAGATACCAGGGATGGGAAGTCTGCAGGACGAGGGACAGCGAGGAGTCGCGCCGATGGTGCCGGAAGCGGCAATCGCTTCCTCGATGACAACGGCAGCGAAGGGATCAGTCAGGACTGCTGATAGCGGGGTCGTGGACGTCGAGCTCTGCGAAGACCTGAACCGGCTCACCCTGAGCGGAAGGTCGATCCAGCCCGAGCCGATGACCCTGTTACACGTGGATGTGGCCAGTGGACAGCAACATCAGGATGATCGGTTGATGAGCAACAAGGATCTTTGGCAGGGTTTCTATTCCAGGGATGGCGACGGTGACACGTGAGTAAATGTCTCGTTTCGAGATTTATTAATCTCATTGATTTCGGAATTATCGGGAATTTCCTTGTCAGCTGATGCGATGCTTTTTTAACATAGTATTGGAATTAATCTGTGACACGCGCGGAAACGCAATATTCGGAGTACATTTCCTCATAAAATAAGCTCAATAAATTGCTGAGTAACTTTGGTTTTTTTATGCATAGGAATTAATCTTTGTTAGTGATACATAATAATTGAATAATTAGCTTATTAAAAATATGTGAGGATATTTTATATATATAATTGTATGTAATTATATTTTTGTTTCGTCAATATCAATTTATAGGAAATTTGCTTTTTTTTTAATTTTTGTCTGATATTTCTTTCGCTATTTTTAAAATTTAATATAATAACAAAAAATGTAATTTTATCGAGCGATAAATGTAAGTAAAATTCACATACTCCGATTTGTTTCGATTATCTGACAATGCATAGTAATATTACATCATATTTAGAACTTCTAATATATCCAATTTTCAAAATAAAAAAAAAGTTCAAAATACATTTGTTCAAATCTATACGTGTTAGAGGTGTTTCTTTAATTTATGTTATTAAGAAAAAACACGAGAGAAAGAAAGAGAGTGTAAGTTTTATTTCTGAATCATATGAACTGATCGATCATAGCCTAGCAAATAATTCTAATATATCATATCATTATTGCGAACTCTCTTTTTTTTCTCTTTTTTTTATAAGCATTGATTCACGAGTTTGTTGATCCACATGCAAATAACATTATGCGTATCACGTCAATGTTTACGTAAATCCACTGATTGATACACATATTTAATGTATGACGAAGCGCTCGATGACCGGCCCAATGAAACAAATTTCATCTTCCATTAAAGATTTTTCGAGAATTAAATGAACAAAACTCTATAATTCGCTCTCTTTTATTGCATACTAATGTAAATAGAAAGAATTGTATAGAAATTTTTTAAAAGAAAATTTTAATATCATATATCATCAAAAACGAGAATAACCTTTTTTTTAATTATTTAAAGAATAATTGCTTTAAATAATTGATACATGTACAGAGAAAATATAAGTATTAATGGATCGAAAGATATAAATAAAAAGCGAAAAAAATAACAATAATATATAATGTGTGTTTTAAGAATTAATTAAAACTGTTACGAGACCTATAATAATGCTTTAAGAATATATAACGCTTTAAGAACCACTCATTAATTTGGCCTATCTATTCTTATGTAAGCCATCTTATGTAACACAAATTTATCTACACAGACAATTGCACATCGCGATCATGCAGGGCTATGTGGAGGCTGCGCTGATTTTGATAAGTCTAGCGCCTCATCCGCACCTCTTGAACATCATGAACGATCACCTACAATCACCTTTGCATCTGGCGGTCTTGACGCAACAACCATTGATTGTCAGACGTCTAGTCTTGGCGGGAGCTGATCTATCTCTGAGGAATTTCCGTGGAAATACGGCTCTCCATCTGGCCTGCGCGAATGGAGATCTCGCTTGCGCCAAAGCTCTTACGGATCCGTTGTACCCGATGGAGAGGAATAAGCTGATGCCCGGGCAAAAGATACCCGCCTTACCTCAGAACTTGGAGCAAATCAACTATAATGGTGAGTATTCGATAAATATTGATATAAAAGAAAAATGATCGTTAGTTTGTATCTAATGAACTTGGAAAAACATGGAAATAGATTTTTCAGCGGTTTTTTTTGTACCTGGAAAAATCGGGGAATTTTCATAGATTTTATTATTCGGGAATCTTTTCTCTCTCTGATAATTTGCTCTCATATTGTAAACGAGCAAAGTGAATTATGTGTTTAAAATATATTACATTATAATTTAAAATATATTATAAATAAATATCTATTTTTATAATTTATATATTCAGTGTTTTAACAAAATATTGAATATGCAGTACATATTTTTTACTATATTTTTAATGATAAAAAATGAAAATTTTATATCATTGAATAATGCTTAACTTACAAAAGTTACTCAGTTTTTAATTATATTTACAAATTTAGCACCTGATATTAAGAGACTGTGTTTTTTCTTTATATGAGTAAAAATATTCTTTTTACCCGAAATTTTGAACAAAAGTATCTGAAAAATCAAAAATTTTTCAAAAAATGTTTTTAAAAGACAGTATTTTTAAATGAACATTCTCTGATTAAGAATAGAGGGCATACATTATGTTATCAGGAAATTGGGAAAGATTTATCAAGTTAAAACTATATATGCACACAAAGATTGAATAAATACAATGAAGAGTTCTTTTTGTCTTGTGTCGTGTTTTAAGTGTTATATTACTAATATAATGATGCCTATAATTTTGTGAATAATTATTTGAAGATTTGCAACATAATGACACGATAAGATTAATCACGATAACATTTTTGCAAGGAAATTAATCCACATCCATGAAACGAAGGATATTGATGAGATGATAACGGAATTTAAATATTTAAATATTTCTTATTAAATGTAAAACGCAGTAAACGATGATAAACGGTGAAACCGTATATATTTTCTATAATTTTATTGAAAATATTTTGCGTTCATATTTGGAGATTCCATCATTTCAATAACGTAAGAGAATTCCTTAAAAAAAATGTTAATCTGATTAAGAGGCAATTTAAATTCTACAAAACTGCACAGTCATTATATATCAGGGGACATTTATACATATACATATATTTCAATACTAAACTTCATTATTAATTCGAAATAAACTTTCTTCAACGTCGAGATACGAATAGTTTATGTATGAATTAAATGCGATTAAAATAGAAGCGGTTAAAATAGAAATTAACTTTAGAAAAATAAAGATAGAAATCTCTGTTGCATTTTCATTTAATTTTGCTTAATAAAAATATAACTGAAATATTTGAAGAAAAAAGTAATTTAAAAAAATATGTTAAATTAATTTGAAAAATTTAAAGATTTGAAAAATTAATTTAAAAAATTTTCAACTTTTAAAAATTTAAATATTGCAGAAAATAATATGTAATGCTTTTATATAATAATGCTTTTATTATTAATGCCTAACGCAAAACATGACGATAATTTTTAAAAATTCCCCAAAGGCTTATTATATATATTTATATGTGAAACTTTTAAACCCGAGGCCATTATGTTATTACGCCTTATCTAAAAATGAATTTTCATCATAATAGAAAATTCAAAGGAATTTCCCGAGTGAGTACGAATATGCGCATATTTTCGCATGTATTCGATGCGTAGAAAATTGCGATTTATTATGTCGCTATAAATCAGAAGAATAAATATGATTGAGACAGCGAATTAATGAGCCAATAAATTCATCTCCTTTATTTAAAGTTTAACGTTGAGTTAAAGATGCATTTCACCAAATATACAAATCTCTCTTCTATTATGTACACAATAGATATGGAGAAATTAATTTTTATCGATGGCTCTTTCGATTAATAAGCTAGCAATTAAAATTCCTATAATTATACTCCTATAATCGTCATTTGATTTTCAAACTTCTCAATTGCAACATTTTTTATTTTTTCCGGGAAAATCGTAATAGCGAGGGTTTTATCGACAAATGTTTCAAAGAAATTTAGCTTTCCTCTTCGATCGCAATAAGTTTAGTCATAAAACTTTTTCATTTTCGAAAATTCTCCTATATTTCTCTTTCTCTTCTCTAATAATACACATAAAAAAAGTTTTTAATAAATATGATTTAAAAAATGGCAGAAATCTTAAAAAAATATTGATTATCAGAAATTGATACAAAAAGTTCCATATATTTCTTTAAAATAAATAAATCTTTTCTTAAGAAGAAATATGAGAGAAAAAGTTGGAGAAGCCTGAAGGTATGTTGGATCTCCTTTCAAGTGTGCCGCTGCTCTCTTCTCAAAACTAGAATCTTCAATGGAATTTAGAGAGAGAAAGAGAAAATCACTCTAGTCGGCGGTCGATCGCGAAATGTTCATGGACTTTTTAAGTCTTGGAAATCCCGTATAGCGTCATCGGCACATATTCCATTGCAAGCTCGGGCTAGTAACGCACATATGCAAACACGCACGTGCGAAACGCATCATTCTGATCAATCAAATCCGAGGATAATTGTTAGCAAAAATATCCATAAAATCCTGCAAATTTATTTCATTAATTCTCTCTCATTAATTTTCTAATCATTTTCCCAACAAACGAGATTTTAATTTCGATATTGAATAATTACTGTCAAAATATGTGACAATTTTTGTCACAACAATCTATGGTACATCAATTTAAATTAGATAAAGTTCGATTGCATAAACTAATCTATTGCGATTTAACTTTTTCAAATATGCAACGTGTTGCTTCTCATCGACAGAAGAAAATAATTAAGTTTTTCTAACTTTATTTTACAAAAGTATTTAAATTTATTTTTACCAATAGGATTAAGTTTTTCTAACTTTATTTTACAAAAGTATTTAAATTTATTTTTACCAATAGGACTAAGCAAGCAAATCTGATGTTGGAAATAAATTGCAAAACTGATCTATTTTTTAATCATAGATCTAATACTCATTAAATTGACGAAAAGGCTAACTTTGGGTGTAACATTGAGCGAAGGGGAAGGTTTCGCATGTACGATGGAATTTTTGGCAGCATTTCTTACGCTTGCGTTACATCACGTGGCGCGTCGCGATGCCGACGAGGGGAGGACGAGGGAAAGAGAGCAGATGTTTTTGATATTTAAAAATATCCGCAGGACTATTTGCATGCTGCTCGATATTCTCGCCTCACTTTAGCTCGGTCGGGAAACCCCACAGCGGCGTCGACGTCAGTGATTTTCGTCAGACTTTCACCCTTAAGCAAATCGACCCTCCTTCGTGATTGAGCCTAATCACACGAGCTTCGTGCTTGTATTTTCAGCACGAATTTCTTGGGAATTTTGCAAAGGCTTTCGAGTAACGTTACAGTAATATATCACATAAATTCTCTCGAAGCTGCGCCTGATAATTTAAAGTGCAATCTTGTTGACATTGGCAACCTTAATTGGAAACAAGATAATTAGAGCTATTAATTCTTTCAATGTCGCAATAACTTATAAGAGATACTTATACAATGAGAAGCGATGATATATCGCGATTGTGGTTACGCTTAAAGCGCTTGTGATGATTCTGCGTCGATTCAATGGGGGTATTTCTGTCAACGGAGATGATATCGACGCAGTATGCACATATAATACCGCGACATATATATTAAATTCCGCCAATGCGACTAGTAACACGGTGCAGTTAATTTTAGAAGTTGCTTTGATTGGCGCGGGCCTAGTTTGGACCAGCAAAATCTCCGACGACAATGATTCATCGCGTCTTCCTCGTTCTATCTATATCTTGTCGAGGTATGCGACTTGGTCCCATACATATCCGCGCACCCCCGTGTCACTGTCTCCATAGAGGAAGAAGATCAGGTGCGACTCGGTAGTTATTCAGTTGTAAAACTAAGTGACATCTATGACATGCAGAATATGTGTAGAAATCTACAAATTTAAAAAGTGTCTCATTTTATGAATAATTTCCACTTAAGAAATTTTTTCATATAATTATTTTAGAATTTATAGAGTATTTTTTTGTGACAAAATGTCTTGTTTCTTTAAAATTATTAATGTAAGAAAAAAGTTACTTCTTTTTATCCATCATCATCAATATTGTGCCATCACTTGACCTCATGTTTTCTCTTTGATTTCAGGCGAGATGTGCCTCCACATAGCCGTTGCTAACGGACATGTGAACCTAGTACGTCTTCTGCTGCGTCTCGGCGCCGATCTCGAGGCGAAGGAATGTCTGGCGGGTAGAACGGCGCTTCATCTCGCGGTAGAACGTAAATGTTGGCCGATAATTTCCTTCTTGATGAAAGAATGCGAACCTTGTCTGGATACGAAAACATATAGCGGTTTAACGGCTTATCAATTGGCTTTGTATACCGATAGACAGCTCGCCAGAGAGCTGCTGCGACACGGCGCGAAACCAGAGCCGTTGCCGAATTCGGATTCTGAAAGCAGTGACGATGAGTTGAATTATGTGCCTACAATTCTCCAGCTGAACAATGTGCAGAGATTAAAGGTCTGAGGGAAAGAGAAATATCCATAACTAAATATCCATAACATAAATACCGATCAGACAATTGCTGAGAGAAAAATGGAAAGAATATAAGAATATAAGAAGATATATAATATGCATAAAGAAAAAATATATCTTCGAGTTGCATAAATGAAATCCTCTTCATCAGACAAATTGAAATCAAAACGTATAATTATAATGGATAATACAGTTTGAAGAAAACGAAAAAAAGATATCAAAATTGCATTCTTATTCTTCTTTATTCAGTTGTTTATAATGGATTTCAAACATCTTTTTCAAATCGATATCATCGATAACGTATACAAAATAAGCTGATGGGTGAACAACAAACGAGCAATATGTGGAAAGCAAAGATCTCAGAAACAAACTGACACACGATTAACGAATATTCCATTACGAACGAAGCAACGATGTAAGGGCTGTCTTTTATAGTAGTTCTTTTTATTATTAATTCATTGCGGCAGCCGAATATGTAATATCCTGTAGTAAATAGAGTGTTTCGAGAGAATGTACAAATAACACAAAGGACAATCTATATTTTAATTTAATATTTTTTAATCTAACAATATTGATGAAAAAAATCTATAAGTGTCAGAGAAAAGAGCGCTAGACATAGAATGTATGACGCGAGAATGGAATATCTGTTTACTTAATGTGCATATTTTACACATAAAAAAATTTGCGTTTGAAAAAGGAAATTTTGTTACAAATGATAGATTATAATAAGATAGATGCAAAACAAATGCATTATATGTACAAAATACATTTTATATCAACCAGAAAGAAATAAGTTCATGTTTTCACGCGTGATTTATAACTGTATGCATTAGATGTATGCATTAGATTTAATCAATTAATGTGCAAATAATATTATATATATGATATATTATTTAGCGAAAAAAGATTTAGAATAGTACGATGTTTATCAACGATGAACATTAACCAGATCAGTGTTCATTTAATAGTTAATAAGATTGCTTCCATTGACATATATAAATCTATTGTAATCATTTTTCTGTAAATAGCTACTTTTTGATATAGAATCGTATTGCTATCATGAAATATCAATAACAACTGTAACGAGATGACGATATCATTCAATGTTATATATTCGTATGTAAAAGCCATATAATTATTTTTAATAAAAAAATGTATCGCAAAAAATCCAGCGCTTCTCATATGTTTGCTTTTATTTTTCCTCGATCGCGTCTGACATTATTTACGACGCAAAAAATTACACGAAATGGATATCGCTGGGTCAACCACATCTCCATGAGGAAATCTGGAAATTCCCACATCACAACAGGAGATATAGATTTGAAAGAAAGAACATATATAAGAGAAAGATATTGTTATAAAAGAATATTCTTTTTCCGTATAATGTAAAGAATATATTTTATAAAATATATACGTGAGAAGTATACAATATGAGAAATGGATACAAAACTTTATACTTATTTATTTACAATATTCAATATATTTTGTTAATTCTTCTCATCTTCGAAATATTTTTCCTCGTTAAATAAAAAAAAATATACATACATATATATATATATATATGTAACTATAAATATGTTAGGATAATTATTGTTTATTAATACAATAATATTATTAAATTTATAGAAAAATATAAAATATGTACAAAACAACATAAAGACATAATGTACTTTTTATAAGTGCTAGACACAAATGAAACAACGCGGTTAAGTCAGAAATAGCAATGTAAAAATGTAGAGCAAGGACCGGTCGCAGAGTGTTATTTCGAGTTTCGTGTAATGGTCTAGGCATTCTAAGAGTGAGTGTGTAAATCTGTAAATGTATCTATATATGCGCGAACATTAATATCTCTTTCTTTAATATATGGTATACTTAAAAAAAACTTCCTCTTAAATTAAATATATATCTTGAATAATACTGAAAATGTGTCATTGTCTTCGAAAAATGATAAACTTCTTTTATAGTAAATTGAAAAAAGTAATATTTAGATAAACTTCATTCATAATATTTGCTTTTGTGAAATTTCAAAAATATTTAGCATTTAAACAAAATGCAATGTACAATATTTTATTGTCTATTATTGTAAAAAACATTGTGTGATAAATTTCTGTAACTATTAAAAATTACACCTACAAACTTATTTTATCTAATATATATTAAAAAATATATTTAATGATAAACATTAATATAAAAATTTAAATTAATATTAAGTGCGGAGTGATATTTGTAAATAAAACCATAAGATTTAAACACCTTAATTAAAGATTAATAAATCACAAACATTGGAAAAAATTGCAGATAGGAACAAATATTATAAAAGAAATTTATCTAATAACTATTTTTCAAAAAAAGTTACACATTTTTAATATCATTCAAGATATATATTTAATTCAATATATTTTTTTAAATATGCCATATATTTTAAAAAAATTGTATACATATATATATATATATATATATATATATATATATATATATACTCGTATATATATATATATATATATATATATATGTGCTTATATAAATAATGTTAATAATGCATTTAGAAATTATACTTCTAATTAAACTGCATATTGAAATATTAAATAAATATTTTAATAATAAAAATCTACGAAAAATAATAAAATATAATGTCATTTAATTTTTATCATTTATTTTAAAAAGAAATATCAATGTATTACATTTTTCACATATTTTAATTATTAATAATACATATTAGTGAAATTAGTTTATTTATTTATTTTTGAAAACATTATCTAATTAGATTTGTTTTATAAATAAAAACTGTTTTTTTCTATTTAATGTCTCTGATTTTATGACTCATAAATGATATTCTCATTAATGATAAAGTGGTGTTCATCTATTTATCATCAATTTATTTTGAATGACACATCATATTATTCGATGGCTTTCGCGTTAAAATGAAAGCTAAATGAGACATACAAAAGAGATTCTGAGAAAAATGAAAGTTTTATCATTTGTTTAACTCCTTGAAATTTAATTTCTCCTCACTTTCTCAATTTGAATTATAAACAGAAAATATCGATTCATTATCGATTTAAAAAAAATTGCATGCGCCGAATTTCGAATGTCATTCTTTCGAATACGCTAGAACGCATGCACACACGCACACACACGTGTACTATTGATATGTATGAATTCATTGTCAAAGGTCATGCGCAAACGTAGCGATAGACAGCGAGAGGTCGCTACCCGCTCATTTCTGGAGCTTTCCGAGCCAGCGCCGGCACACGCGAGTAAAGGTACAACACGAGTGAGGGGCAGAGAGGATTCACGAGGATTCGCACGAGTCATCGTATATCAAACCTGTCTTTCGATAGGAGGAGACGAAATAACGGTGGAACGTTGCATTCCCGACGTGCACGATGGGCGATCAGGTAAATGCGAACAGCTGTCAATTTATTCGCGCGTGATCGAGCAAGCGAGAGACGCGCGTGTCGCTTCCTCGAGGACGCTTTTCGAGAACCTTCAGGTCTATAATTTATTCCGTCTCCCGATTCCGTTCCCCTGATTCTCTCCTCCAAACACGTGCTACTTTGTTTACTCGTTTCTCTCGTCGAAACAGGTCGTATAATAGAAGAATCAGAATATGGGGCTAAGAATAAATATCGACGACTATAAACTAACCCCCCTATCATTATCCGATTGAAAATATATTAAAGCTTTTTCGATAATATCTACGAAATATATAAATAAAAATAAATAAAAATAACATACAAAATAAAAATAAATAAAACTAATATATACAAATACATACAAAAAAATAAAAATAATATGTACAAATATATACAAATAAAAATAAATAATAAAATCTAATAAAATATATAAATAAATATTATATAAATAAATATTAAATTACATTAGAAGAAGTATATTTGTCTAATGTTAATATACCACTTTTTATAGGTGATTTCCTTGAAAGAGAAGGGAAATGCTGCTTTACAAGAAGGCAAATTTGACGAAGCTATCAAACACTACTCTGATGGAATCGTCCTGGATGGCAATAATCATGTTCTCTACAGCAATCGTTCAGCGGCATACGCCAAGTCTGGAAAGTATCAGCAGGCATTGGAAGATGCGGAGAAAACTGTCAGTTTGAAGCCAAATTGGGCAAAGGGTTATTCCCGCAAAGGTAGTGTTCTTGCGTATCTCGGCAGATACGATGAATCCATCAAAGCTTACGAGAAAGGTCTACAGTTGGAGCCTGAAAATGAACAGCTTAAAAGCGGCCTCGCCGAAGTGAGAGCTCAGAAAACAACCACCGCATCTAATCCCTTCAACTCGCCCGATATTTTTGTGAAACTAGCGAGCGATCCTAGAACGAAAAAGTTTCTGTATGATCCAGAGTATCTAAAGATATTGCAAGAATTACAAAGCAATCCACAGAGTCTGGGTACTAAGCTCCAAGACAGCAGAGTGCTTACCACTCTTAGTGTACTTTTAGGTATGAACACTGATATGGAGGAACCAATGGAAACCGAGCCGATGAATCCACCGGAACCACCAAAACCCAAACCAGAACCCAAGCCGGAGAAGAAGGAAGAAAACAATCTTCCACCTGAGAAGAAAGAAGCTTTAGAGGAAAAGAAACTAGGTAACGAGGCTTACAAAAAGAAAAGCTTCGAGGAGGCTCTACAACATTATAACAAAGCTGTAGAGTTAGATTCGACAGAGATTATTTATCTGCTGAATATAGCAGCAGTATACTTTGAACAGAAAGAGTATCAGAAGTGTATTGCACAATGTGAAAAGGCTATCGAAGTCGGTAGGGAAAACAGAGCGGATTTCAAGCTAATAGCTAAAGCGTTCACGAGAATCGGACACGCTTACAAAAAAATGGAAAATTGGAAGCAGGCTAAAGTATATTATGAAAAATCCATGTCCGAACACAGAACTCCGGAAATTAAGACTTTATTATCAGATATAGATAAAATAATTAAGGAGGAAGAACGAAAGGCTTATATCGACCCGGTGAAAGCAGAAGAGGAGAAGGAACTCGGTAATCAAAAGTACAAAGACGGCGACTATCCCGCAGCTATAAAGCATTATTCCGAGGCGATCCTAAGGAACCCGGACGATCCCAAATATTATAGTAACAGAGCGGCTTGTTATACCAAATTGGCGGCGTTCGATCTCGGCTTGAAGGATTGCGAGAAGGTCGTTGAGCTAGATCCAAAGTTCATTAAGGGTTGGATCAGAAAAGGAAAGATTCTGCAGGCCATGCAACAGCAGGGGAAAGCTTTAACGGCATATCAGAAGGCTCTGGAATTGGATCCACAAAACAGCGAAGCGTTAGAAGGCTATCGCTCCTGTGCCGTTTCCGCTAGCTCTAATCCAGAAGAAGTCAGAAAGAGAGCGATGGCGGATCCAGAAGTCCAAAGTATATTGCGAGATCCGGCCATGAGGTTGATTTTAGAACAAATGCAAAGCGATCCAAGAGCTTTACAAGAGTAAGTAATATATCGATTTAGTTATCTTGTTTATCGTTTATCATTTTGGAAAGAATTTTATTTCAGAAATTGAAAATCGATTAATTTAACATTCATCTGTAAAATGAAAGTTTTCTTATTATATTTATGTTTATATTATCAAATGTTTTTTTTTTAAATCAAGAGAACATTATGCAGTATATAATATTCTTTTCAAATGTATAATTTGTCTTTTTTAAATTAACACAAATATTGATAAATTTTTTTCTTCTTTATAGTCACTTGAAGAATCCTGATATAGCTGCAAAATTACAAAAACTTTTGGAATCTGGTCTCATAGCTATTCATTGAAGATGTAAGGAACTGGACATATACATAGTTATAATAAAAAAAATAAATAAATAAAAAGTAGCACTTTACTATCATGTTCCTTTAATATTAAGAAAATTCGCATTCGTGTATTGCAGATACATTAGCTGTTGGGATACTTATCATCTTGCTCTTAAAATCTGTGTTCAAAACGCCATTCATAATAAAAGTTACATTGTACAATGGTTCTTTCGTGCAAATACAGTGGCCTTTAGTGTCATCAATGACTTTTGCATTGCGAGACTTATTACAGTGATCATATGTATAATAACATATATGAAGCTCTTTGTGCAAACAAAAAAAAAGTGTAATTGTGGAGCTGTGCGAATTCTTAATATGTAATATTTACTTATACAAAACTTGCATAATCCAATGGCTAAGCCATGAATATCAATACTGCAATATATTATATTTTAGGTATAAAAGTTATCTAAAATTCATAAAAAACATTAATCCTTGAAAATAGTAAAATGGAATTATTTCTGTATATGATGCACTTGCTAACATTTATTTTATCAAGGTTATTTAGATTTTAATACTAAAATTAATTATATAACATGTAATTATACATATATAATGTGAATGCGAAGTATGATTAAAGCAACAAATAATATGAGAAGAATGCTTCAAATAAATAAACTTCTTTTTAAGCCAAATTTCTCTCTTTTATTTTAGAACAATTTATTGTCTTCTTATTATTATCTCTCTTATATTAATTTTAAAAACTGCCATAAATAATGAAATAATTACTCTAAGATTTTTCATATACAAACTAATTATATTTATATAATTTTACTTTTTTATCTTATAAAATTTAAAGCATTATATTTTTTATTCAAAAACTTGAATTATATTTTTTACATATTCGTATATAATCTTTTGAAAATCAAATATCAAAATTCAATGTTACATTTTACATATTGTTTGCTTTAATTAGTAATTTGTAATATAATAACAAACAGTGACACATTAAATCTTTCTTTTTTTATTAATTCATATGGTTTCTTTGCATATTACGTACTATAATATGCAAAAAATCCAAATAAATATATAATATTAAATATGTGTAAAAACAAACTTTTCTTCTTTTGCTTATGTTGCGTCTTATATATCAATTATATAAAAAAATCATCAATCTCTTCTATATAAAAAAAAAAATTACTGCATTGTAAACATTTTCTAAATAAGATATTTCTGTATTTTAAGCGTGTGTTGTGTCATCCTCGACGAAATCAGCGGCTTCTGCCTGTGTCACGCATTCTACATGTGAAACTTTATTTCTGAACTTTACGCCATAGAATTTATTCGCATGCTGAAGCAATTCTGGTCTATGAAACAGATATATTTTTAATATTATTTTATGTTTAAGATAACAATTCAATCATTTTAAAAGCCACACCGTAGATCTTAATTTTAAAATCTCTTACAAGACTAAGATTAATTGCGTTGAATATTACCTGAAAGTCGTGGTAATGAACTGTGCATCCGAACTAAGTTCGTGGATCATATCTGCTACCGCCTTTCTATGTTGTGCATCCAATGCCTGATCGATTTCGTCAAACAAGTAAAATGGTGCTGGATCACATTTTTGTATTGCAAATATCAGTGCTAATGCTACAAGCGATTTTTGTCCACCAGATAATTGATTCATCTCTCGCATTTCACCTCTATGTGCCGTGAATGATACTCTGATACCTAAAATAAATACATCATAAAAGTTATTAGCATTTACAACCGAAATATATCACATAAATGTGAAACATAGTTAAAAGTAGTTAAAGTAATAGTAACATAGTTTTTTTTTTAAATAAAAATTTCTGCTCATGTAATCAATTTTTGAAACAAATTTTTTCTATTTTTCTCATCCTAAAGAAAAGAAAAAAAAAATATTTGAATTTTATATATATACATATAAAATTCAAATATTTCTTCTCTTTATAGCATGATGAGAAAAATTTATTTGAAAACTTAATTACATAAATAAAAATTTATATATATAATTTTTTTTCTTACCAACGCCAATAAATCTATCAGAATCAGATGGCTCTGCTGTTCCATCATCTCCTTCATCACCGTCCGCAGTTTTCATAACTAATTGTGCATGTCCCGAAGGTACAAGTTTCTTAAATACTTCACTAAAATATTTGCTCACCTTAAAAAAAAAGATGTATATGAAATTGTATTTGGACATATATATATATATATATATATATATATATATATATATATAATAACAAACTAAATATTATATATCACTATTAATTCTTCACACTTTAAGAAAATTCAAATTTTAAATACAACATATTATTATACATATGTTTCACCTGTTTAAACGTAAATTGTATTGCCTCGCATTTGCGCTGTTCGAGTACTGACATGAGTTCTTTTATTTTCTCATCACCTCGATCTAATTCTTCCTTTCGTTTTACTAATCTTTCTTTCTGATCGCTGAAGGACATGAATTGATCCAAGGCTTTTTTATTTACATGGCTAAAAATAAAATTAAAAAGTATATATAAGTGAAAATAATAAAATGAAAATGAAAAAGAATATATACAAATAAGATACAATTCTTAATTCAATTTAACAATATAATGTTAACAATTTTTGATAACTTTCGTTGTAATAAATTTATTGTAAAAAAGAATATGCACCTATATTTTTTTAAGTGATTGTTTGCCTTTTCCATTTCTTTAAAGAGCTGTTTTGTAGACATATTATTAAACTTATTATAAATTTCTTGACTCGGCAGTGCGCCTAGTTCAGTAATTTTCTGTGTACATTCCACTATTTTCTGCTGCAAGATATTTAATTTGCTTGCTAATTTCTCAAAATCTTTTGCGTCAGCTTCTATTTTTTCCTGTGCTTCTTTTTCTTTTAATTTCCATTTTTCGACTTCAGAAGATTCTGATTTTTGCTAAACATATAACAGAACAAATTATAAATTGTTTTTGCTTTAAAGATATAACATATATTTACTTAAACATTTTACTTAAATATAATAAGCGACTATTGTGCGATATTTACTCACTTTCTTCATAGCACTAGTGACTTTTTCATTCTGTACTTTAATATCCTCATTTACTTTCATTAATCTCTTTTCAATATCTGTCAATTGGTTTCTGGACGAATCGAGTTGTCGCTGTCGATCTTCAACCGATATCTCTTGTAAAGCTTGAACTAGCTCATCATTTCTTCTTACTAAATTATTTGTTAATAAATTTTCCAATTTATTTTTTTCTGCTTCTAATTGCATTCGTTTTGCAAAGGCTTCCTTGTTCTCCTTTGTTAAACGCCTTATATCATCATTTAAAGTATCGACCTATAAATCATGTATCATAACAAATTAATAAGATTTTAATCAAAAATAAAAGAAAGAAAATTGAGATGTAATATTTTCGAAAAGATCAGTTATGTTTAATTCTTTTTTCTTTATACATACCTGATGCTGATCAGCGACGGATAATTGTGCCATGAGTTCTTGATGTAATTCACTCTCTAGACCATCTTTAGTCGCACGCATCGCTTCTAAACTTGATGTGCATTGTGCAAGGCTTCTTTCTTTAGGTGTTCGACATCTTTCTATCGCGCTCAATTCTTCCTTCATAATACGTATTTCTGCTTTCATTTTGTCATATATGTCTCTGTTATGTGAATAATAAATTATATTAATTGATTCTGATAATTAAAATGTATAACTAAAAATTTAACATTTATTCCAATAATTAAGTAAAAACTAAATTTAAATAAAAAGATATTTAAACAAATTTTATATTAGCTGTATGTAATAGAATATTTTTTAATCACTTACTTGGCTTTACTATTTCTAGTTTCGGTTTTTTGCATTTCGCTAACATAAGAACTGATATTTTGATCCGCCTTTCTGATTTCATCCTTGAGTGTCGTTAATTGAGTCTCAAGAGTAGAAATTTGAGACATTAATTCCGAACGAGTTTTCTGTATTTCAAGCCGTGATCTGAGTGTATTGAAATAACCACCAGTTAAGGAGCCTTTAGATGAAACTTGATCTCCTTCTAATGTAACACAATCTAAACCAGAATCTCGTGCCAAAGTTGTAGCTGCTTCCAGATGACGACAAATTAAAGTTTTCCCAAATATATATCTATATATAAAAATAAAAATGTTAATAATGTAAATACGTGTATGTCATGAAAAAAAGATAAAGAGGAAAAATTATTTTTTTTTATTTAATGATTTTTATTTTTTATATACTTTTACCTTAACGCCTTATCAAATTTAGGATCATAATTCAACTTAGATATCATGGGTATAGCATCAGTGGTCTCTGGATAGTCGATATCCTTTACGTGAAGTCTATTTAGAGGCATAAAAGTTACTTCTCCTGGCAGTCGTTGATTGTTCATTTCTTTTAAGATCTTTGTACCGAATTTATCAGTTTCCACAATGTGATGAAACAATCGATTTCCAGCGGTCACTTCAACAGCCATATAAACGCTCTTGTCGCAATTGAAGTTCTCAATTACAGGTCCATAGTAACTGCTCACTTCTTGGGCCATATCTGCTCTTGTACTGTAGAATTAAAGATAGAATTAAAGATATTACAATATAACAATATATAGGAAGTATTTGAGAATTCTTTTTTTAAAGGCCTTATATATATCATATAAAAGAAATAAACATTTCTTACCGGAAAGTGTCTAGTACTTTACGTACACTGTCTCTGCCATTCAAAATAGGTTTGCCAGCCATAGATCTTAAGCTTTGATCTGCTTTTGCTAAATCTTCCTTTAAACCCGACAAATTTAATTGCAGTACACTTTCTTGTCGATATCTGCAATTTGATTTATATTGTAAATTTATAAGAAATTTATTTCTTAAAGATTGTTTTTTTTTATTTAGCTATTTTTTAAAATAGTCTGTTTATTAAATCTAGTCTGTTAATTAAATAGATGTACTGTTCTTTTCGAGTTGCTTGACACTGATCCTTCGCTTTAGTGAGCTCATAATATTGTTTATTATGCTCGTCTATCGATGTTCGTTGTCGTTCCATCTCACGTGTGTGATCTCCGATCTTCTTCTCCAGAGCAATCTGTTTCTCGGCATCTCGTTTTAAATCATCGCTAATTTTTTTTTGATGCTCCTCTTTATCTTTTATCTGTTTGGTAAGTTGCTTAAGCTCGTTTTGAATCCACTTATCTCTTTCATCCTATAATGAATAGATGTTCTTAAAATATTTTTGTACAATATCTTTAACAATATTTTTTCGTCTAATTATTTTTCCTTTACTATATTTTTTCTATACCTTAGTGGTAAATTGGCTACCACGACCTTGTTTAGCATACAATTCTTTACGTTTCTGCTCTTTTAATTGTAATTCTTGTAAACACTTTTCCTCGATGCGTTTCATTTCATCATACTATAATAAACATATTTTTTAATATCCAGATATGTGTTTTAGATATTTAATATCTGAATATTTTCTCACCTTTGGCTTAAGATCATTTAGTTCCTTTTCCCGAAGAGCAATATTAGCTTTTAATTTTTCCAATTCTTGTTGAGCACGTTTCTTACTATCATTATCACCTTTAACTTCCTCCAGTAAATCATGAATAGTAAAAGCCAATTTATTTTTTTCTTTTAATAGTTGTTGTTGCTCTGCACTATATTATAAATGCATTTATATAATTTTTTTTCTATTATACTTTCATCTAATAATTATTTTATATATATATATATATATATATATATATATATATATATATAATAATGTTTATTGAAATATTATTACCTAAGAGTATCTCTTTCTTCTTTAGAAGACTGAACTTCCTTTTTTGCCTCCTTTAGTCTTTTTGTAGCTGCACGCACCATCTCCTGTGCAGTTTTTGCTTCTGCTCCCAATCTTGATTGTTCAGCTCCGCTATTCGCTCTAGATTTTTCGAGATCTTCTAATTTCTTTTTATTTTCTTTGAGTTCGCGTTCGTGAATAGTATATTCTAAACAACGACGTTGTTTATCCCAGAATTGATATTCTTTCAATTCCTCTTTCTCTTCCTCGAGTGTTTTCAAACGTTCCTCTATAATTAAAAAAAATTATTTTTCTTTACATTTAATTTATTCTTATATATTTATAATTTTTATTTTACCTATAGTTCGTAGAAAATCTTCGATTTTTTCGAGTTTCCCTTCTGTTTCTTTCAAAATAGACTTTGATTCCTCCCTCTTATCATCATATACTCTAGTGCCTGCTACTTCTCTTAATAATTTTAATCTTTGTGAATCTGGTGCTGTTGCCATTTGATTTATCTGAAAATGATTATGTTGTGTAAAATTATGTTATTATAGATAAATATAAATGAACACTATATCAAATGACAAACCTTTCCTTGCTTTACAATGTAATAAGGATTAGATCTGGAAAATCCTGCTGACTCTAATAAATTCATTACATCGTTTCTTGTCACTATTTTCTTATTAAGAAAATATTGATCTTTCTTGGAACCAATCACTCTTCTTAAGTAGACTTCATCTTTATCAATCTATGAAAAAAGAAACAAGATGTTACATGTGTTTTATAATAACAAATTAATAATATTAATAATATTCATAATAATAAATTACTATATATATAGTAAATTTTTACCGGTAATCTTCCATCAGAATTATCAAATATAATTTCCACATGAGCAGATATAACACGAGGTCCAGTTCCTTCATGCAGCAATGCTTGCCTCTGCTCGGGTCTAAGATGGGAGAATTCATCACTCAAGACAAATTGAATGGCATAAAAGAAGTTACTCTTGCCAGATCCATTTCTGCCAACTAGCAAAAAAATATTAAGTATGCTATAATATATAGCTTTATATGTATGTTAATTTTGTATAATTAAATAAAATTTCCAGATACTTACCGACTACATTATGCTTTGGATCGAAGGGCTCAACAATTGTCTGTTCACGGTATGATTTAAATCCTTGAATAATCACCTGTTTTGATACAAACACTCAGTATAACACATATATCATCATTTCAGATCTATGATCTTACTAATCTCGTTGTAAGAATCACAATAACAACAAAGTATTGATATTTTAAATGGAATATCAGTCCTTAAGAATCAGTGGCAATTCAAAATTAAAAATAATCAAATCTCGATGATAATGTCTATAATTTAATCATTTTCAATAAAGAAACATAGTCTAAAGTCTAAAACATCTAAATTAAGAAACGTAGAAGACATTGAAAAATGAAGCGCAACTTGTAGTACGAACTGCGAAATTGAATTATGGTTTTGTCCGCGATACCTGTTTAATATACATGATGCGAGGAGAGATCAGACAGGCACGACATTCGTGTCAATGTTCTTCATAGAAAAAGAAAAGGCAGGAAAAGCAGTTCTCCCGATTATTGCATGCAACAAAAATACTTCTACTTGGTCTAGACCATTCACGTTTGTATAATACACGGATTGACACTCGCAAAGTATCCCTACATCGAGCGGGAGATGGTTTGTAATCATATGGCGTTTTCGAATGGTCAGGTTATGGTTACATTCTTCGGAAGAATGGCTGTGATTGGTCAATGGCCGCATTCAGCGGACTCAACCGCTAAGTAGCAATCGAATATGATTGGTTTCTACTTTCAGGTCCGACCAATCAGCGTCGAGTTACATCGGAAAATCTAGGAATGTTGCCCAACTGTTGAGTCCGTTGAATGCGGCCAATGATGTCTAGTAAACTATCCCGGAGCGATTAAACTCGACTATTCGAAAACGTCAATAGGTTGGATGTAAAACTCTGCGATTGGTCAATTGAACCTAGGATGATAAAAATCCCTAAATACCGATCAATCAGAATGTTAACAATAAAATCTTTTTTACAATAGATCAATAAAAGAGAGAAGAGATTGGTTAATGACTGACCAATTGATTGACCAATCGAGATGAAAGAAGCAAAAAGTTTTTTTGGCCAATCTAAATGCTCCGAAACTTTCGAAAAAGGAAGCGCATCGTTTGTCATATGGATGTAAGCAGCGTAAAAATTTTAAAAAGTCAAAATTAATGAAGGCACAGCTGATGCATTTTAAAATGTGTGTTTAAATATATATATTAAATATTTTATTGAAAAAGTATAACAGTGTGATGTTACATATTGCAGTTGATATGAGTGCTGTTACGTTGTATTAATTATATATTGACAATTAAAAGTACTCATTTTGTTAAATAACGAATTATAATGGCATCGAGCAGAAGTACGAGAGAAGTTTTATTATCACTAGTGGATGATATTGAGTTAATAGCAAAGTAAGTTATATTTACTACAAGTAAAGTTCAACCTTTTAACTTGCGAAATTTATTGGATTCAAACAATTTTTTTTCAGAGAAATGATAGAAAACACAATCGCTCAGAAACCTTCAAAGCTCTCTAGTACAGAGCACACTCAGCTAACCGAATTATTGGTTGCCAAAGATAATGAATTAAAGGCAACATTGAAACGAGCTGCCGAGCAAGCCAAGATCAATCTAAAGATGGAGGCTTTGAAAGCTGAAGTAGAGAGACAGGATCAAGACATTCAGCAACTGCAGCGGCAATTAAAGGAGGCGGAACAAATCTTAGCTACTGCAATTTATCAAGCAAAACAAAAATTACAGTCTATTGCACGCGCTAATAAGAGACCTGTTCCTTCAGAAGAGCTTATTAAATATGCACATAGGATAAGCGCAACCAATGCGATTTGTGCACCATTAACATGGCAACAGGGAGACCCCAGAAGACCGTATCCAACAGGTATAGATTTTATATTTATATAAAATATCATTTCTATCTCTTGCTTATAATAATTTTATTATTGTATAATTATAAACTCTATATTTTCTTTATATTACAGATATTGAAATGAGATTAGGATATCTAGGACGATTAAGTGATTTACCTTTAAATGGACAATTAATTGGTTCTCATCCAGGTATACCATCTGATTTGCATAGAGCAGGACATCCTGCTGGAGGTAAAAAATATCTTATATATACCATGTTAAAATAAATAATTAAAGAGAGCAAATCTAAGATTCTCTCTATTGTTATTTCAGAACCACCTGTGTCACAATCAAATCAATTTGCTTGGCATCCGTCAGGAGAGATTCATATGTCTGTTAGTGGACAAGGTAGTGTGGCTGTGAATACACATAAACAAGAAACCGAAGATGTTGAAGTTATGTCTACAGATTCTTCGAGTAGCTCGTCCAGCGATTCTCAATAAATGTAATATTATGTATTAGAAGAGTACATCAACATTTATTATTCATTAGAGGTACATTCCAACAGAATTTTTGGTATAAATTTATGCATCATGGCAGAAGTGTAATACATCTCAGGATTGGCCTGTAATAGAAAAAGGAATAATAAAATGGAAAATATAAAAAATATTACACAATTCCTGAATTTTGTACTAACTTGCAAAATTTCTTCCTTAAACTGCGATTTTTGAAATAAAATATTTTCATTAATAAATGTTAAGCCAAATAAGTTGCAATCTGCCTGTACCCCACTTATATCTTTATAGAATAAAAGTTTTTGTAATTTTAGTCCTGGGAATGTCAACACTTTGCTATTATAGCCAAAACTCATGATTTGTAGAACACTTCTAAAATATGTATATTTATGAAATTCATTAATTTAAAAATAATTATTTAATGGAATTTTGAATATTATTATTGGGTCATTCTTTTTCTTATGCTAATAATGAAAACTAAATAAAATATATACCTTCTAAAATTCTGTAAATTACAAAAAAATGCACAAGCCAATATTGGAGGTAATTGTTGAACCAGATAACAAACGCGAACATAATTTCTTATATACCAAGCAAGTGATATTTTTGTGGCTAATTGAATTGCCGGTGAATTTCTGTTCAAACATATAAAAAATATTCAAAATTAATAGTATCACACTACAAATATTTTATAATATATATGAATGCTTATATTAATAAATTTTTATTGTATGAATAATATCAAAAACTTACTTTAGATTTGAAGGAAGCATAAGAGCTCTTTTTAAAGCTTCCTGATCTCCGATATGGAGAAGAATATATAAAGCTTCCATTTCTGATCGACTATCGTTTAACGCCAATTTTTCAAGCTCTTCATGTTCTTCTATATTATTTCTATTATCTCGGTTATCATATAATACAAGTAACTGTTTGATACATTCTAATAAATGTTTATCATTTATTTTAGCATCAAATTCCGAAATATTTTTTGTGCAGAGCCTAGAAAGGATTTGTTGATAATATTTTACTAAACATGTAAGTGCAACACATACTGATCAATTTGTACCTCTGTGCAGCATAAATATGGAATCGGACAATTGGTTCTAGAAGGAGAATATTTGAAGTAATATCAATTCTTTGGATTACAGCATCTTGTCGCACTGATCTCAATCGGTCAAATACAAAATCGTATATTAATGTCCAATTTAAATCAGTTTTTGTGATTATCCTAAAATATTATGTATCATGTAAATAATATAATCAATGTTCTATTACAGACATGAGAGAAATAGCACTTCTTGATAATAAAAATAGTGATAACAATAAAATTAATAACAATATTATTGTAATGGATGAATCATATTTAAAAAATGACTGAAATTACTCGGTGAATAAATATCGGATAGTGGATAGTAATACATGAGGTGGACGTAATGAATAGGGATCTGTCATATCTTGACCAGCAGCAGAACGACTAAAGCACTTTATAGTTTTTGCTGGATCAGCCTTACGCTTTTTCATGTATCTTGTTTTCTCGTCAATCTCATATTTGTGCAATAAACCTTCTCTCTCTCTCCTAAATAAAAAATGTAAAACTGAGAAATATATTAGCTTATTATTCTAACATCTTATGATTGTATATAATTATAAAATAAAAATTATAATATAAATTATATCAATATAAATTAAGTGTATACTAATTAAAGTATAATATAAAAAATTATATATAAAATATATATAAAGCTTTATATAAGGCCGATATCGTTAATTACAAGGATAAGAGAATGCTCTGTTTTTGTACATGAAAAAATATTACATATTTTGTTATTTATTTATTTATTTAATTTTCTACTTTATACGGAAACTTACATCCGTCTCTCTTTTTCCGGACACATCAAGAGGCACCTTCCTATTATTGGTTCGACAGACATTTTTTTATAATTTGTATCTCTCGCAGAAACTTAACAAAATAACAACTGACAACATTCTATCCATAACAAACATGTGTATCAATCTCTCTGCGCATGCGTTCCGTTTGACACTTCGAAACTTTCGTATTGTCAAACAGCGCGTCCTTCCCCCTCCCCCCGGCGTCTATGTCTTCGCAGCTGCTGTTACGTCACGCATGCGTTTCGATCTTCGGTCTCCGGTGATTTGTATTGTTATACAACACCGGTCGGTACGTGTTGATTGCATGTATTTTTGACAGACACTTCTGAAAGATTCCTCGCAAAAGGTATTTGAGCAGCTCGAGATATTATTTCTAGAATATTATCGCGCGATCGCAATGACTACAGCAACCGTCAGACAGCTCCGTGACGTGCTGGAACCCTCCCCGCGCATGAGACGCGCGGAAGTTCCCGCCAATTCTGTACCAGGTATATTTTTCATCTCAAGCGTCATGACGCCGCGTCGTTTTTTCGTTTCGCTACATAATCGTTGCGTCCCAACATAAATAATGCGTTCTTGATGCCTGTTTAATTCATGAATGCGATATTTTAGAAGTTAACCTCAAATCGATTGAATTCTAATGTATTGCAACTCAAAAATTTGTTATGTTTTGTTATATATTTGTTTCTCTTGAAAACAAATTTTCCTATTTATAAATAATCAGATTTATTAGAAACAGAAATATGTTCACGAACACATTCTTAACGCTTTGTCTATTTAATAGTAAATTTATATGATTGGTGGATATACATTGAAAAAGTTGTTTTGACATCTTGTGTATATTTCAGATACGTCTCACAGCATGGATGTAAGAACGGTGCAGAATTGGTTAAACAGACTTCCCGATGGTTGGAATTCGCCGCAAAGTCCTGATGAACTTGTCATTCAAAAGAGAGGTCGACGCAAGTCCATAGTTTGGTCTCCTGATCTCAATACATACAAACGACGTAGCTTGCTTAGGTAAGATATATCTATTAACTTACACATACGTTAGAAGAATCAGTAGCATCTTCAAATAAATCTGATAATCTTTTTTTTTCCTCAGTTTGAGTTCTAAAGATCATACACCGATTAAAAATCCATCCACATCAAATATGGCATTGAGAGATGCAGCCAGAAAGAGACTCTCTCTTGGAGATACTAATCAGTCTAAGTTTCCTACACCAAAGAGCAAAAAAATATTGTCCTCTCGAATGTCATTAGATGCTGCAAATATGTTGAGACAGCGATCCAAAGATAACTTAGTAAACGGTTTACGAAATCTTAGTCATGAACAACTCGTACAGTTGATTATGGAGTTGGTATATGCGCAGGAAGATGGTACGCTGTGTGAAAACGAAAAGCTTCGTTATATTCTTTCAAAGAAAATATCAGACGGGGATATTCAACCATTTATAGAGAAATTGATTCTCTTGAAGCAGAATATTTATGCTAACCCTGTATTTTCTCCCAATTTGAATGATGAATTAGCATACAGTTGCGCTTACATGCATCTTGATGCATATCAGGTTTATATTTGTTTAAATATTTTTATTTTTCAAACATGCATATATATTTAAAAGCCTCTGTTTTTCATTTTCTATTTTGGTTATAAAAATTTAATCAGATACATTTACTTGTTTATTCAATTTAATTGATTTGTGACAGGCTAGTGACAGTTGATTAATTCTTGTCTTGCGATTTATTTATTTAGAAAGCTCTTATTGATCAAGGAAGAATACTACAAGAATCCCAGCACTGGATCTCATTGATGCATTATGTACTGGAAGCATGGAAAATCACAAGAGAATTACCCAAGTGGGAGAATCAAGATTGTAATATCACACATAAATGTTTCCAAAGTTTGTCACAGTTTTGTGCTGAAACTATAAGAAGAGGAAATTTTGATATTTCGACTCTGGAAATTTATATTGAAAGGTATGTAAAACAAAATAAGTTTCCTCTATTTCTTTCTATTATGAGATTGTATAATTGGAGTTAGTTAGAATTAATAATTAGAGAAATTTTATATCAAGCTCAATGTACACTTCAAAAATTGTTGATTTGAGCATTAATCATTTTCAGTCTTAAAATCATAGTCGAAGAATGCGAAGATTTTCAAATCTGTCTACAAATAGCAAAGGAAGCAAAACATGAGGCTTAGGCCTTTTTTTATTTGATATGATTTGCTTGATAATTTTATTTAAATATTTATTAGCTGTGGAGGAGTGTGATAATAGTTATTAATGATTAAATTAATACTGATACATCATCCCTGTACATTAATGTTCAGAGCGATATAAAATAGAGTTAACCAGTGAAAGTCATTAGGAAAACAATTTCACTTAAAACAAATAAGATGCAAAAAAGTTTTTTCTCATCCTTATAACATTAAATATATCTTGAATTATCAAATTATACATTGACGTAAACATAAATGTTTTATATTTATATATTTGTTCAATTTTTCAATGACTATGTTGCATAGACACGTACAGATATGCGGATAATATATATGTAACTAATATGTATCATCTATTATTAGACATAATGGCTGATATAAAACAAATTATATATGCCTTGATATTCTCTTTAAGCTTTGTAAGCTACAGATAGTATGTGCTTTTATTATATAATTCTTTAATAGATATTTTTTTTATGTTATTGATAACTGTTAGTTTTAAAATAAGCTCATATTTAAATTTTCCAGTGAAAACAATTAACACATATTACAAAATATGTAGCTAAAATATTAATTAACAAATAATAATTAACAAACTTAATGAAAAAACAGTAATATATTGAGATCAGTCTTTTTAAATTGATAATTAAAACTTTGATATTTGTTAGTATAAATAAGAAGAATGTAACTTTGATTTTTAAAAGTAGTTTTTATCTGGGGCGGGATAACGTTTATATAAAACTATCATAATTTTGTTAAATTATTTTTATACGCATTTTATGTAATTATATATTCTTCTCACTTGAAAAAAAAGAGAGATACATATACAAATTTAACGGTACAAACAAGATGTATATTTTGGTGTATATAAAATTAAAGGCATATTTTTATATCAAAAAGCCAAACATTGTTTTACATTTATTGTATAGCAATTATTTTATTATTTATCATAAATTGATGTATTTTAGATCCTCGTCCTTCTCAAAATCATTATATCACATAATATTTTTGTATATTGTGAGAATATTTTATTCATAACTAATGTAACATAATTATCATTATTACATATTTATATCATAGTTATAATATATTTATTGTAAATGATGCCTGAGAGGGAATGGACTAACGTGAAAAAATGTATTTTTTTAATTAAAAACAATTTATTTGTCATAATATATCGTGTGTGTGTGTGTGTGTGTGTTTTCTTATATATTTCTTATTACTTTCGAAAGGCACATATTTCACTTGAGCAATCAGAAATTTTCTAAGCGGCTCGCATATTCGCGTATATCACACACCTGTACATATCTATTACAAGAGCACAACGTAAGAAAGCTTAAAAAATTTCTGATAGCACTATACTCGGTCGAGAAATGATCATTATCTTATAGATGTTCTATTACATGACATTTTAGACATTGTCGAATCAAAATAATATAATTAAGGGTGTAATCAAAATGTATTATCTATATATATATTTCTTTAGTATATCCTATATAATTTTACGTCTTCTCATATAATTGCACATTATCGTCATTCGAAAAGCTATTTCGTATCGTTCATCGTGTATATTGGCAAGAAATTATACGTCACTTAAGAACAGTTCCAAAAAAAAAAAAGAATGAACGAAATCCGAAATATTTCGATAATCCTCCTGGATGAATAACGTAACAATATAATCTGACCTCATCTAAACTTGAGCATTTAGGTGAAGCAAATTAAAATGATAAAACTCCTATAGTGTTCGCGGATTACAGAGTAGTCGTAAATATCCGGAATCGAGAAAAAGTGGACATATAGCGCTTGTGAAATTTTGAGTCAATCGTTCTTCAGCGAAAGACGTCGCGAGATAAATTATTTTTTTACAATACTTATCAAGTTCCAACATTTACAATTCTTATAATAATAACATTTACAGTTCTTGTAATGTCCTAAATTACAATTTTGTACAAATACAAAAGTAGTATGTATATATAAAATTTACATTGAACAACGCGAGTGTTTAAAATAAACAATAAAAAAATTCCGCTATTTTTTTTAATATCTCTAAAACTTAAGTAAATAGCAAAAGAGACTTTCATTAACAAAAATCGATTCTAAATTTCACAAGATTTAATGCTATGCATGCACTTTCACTTTCACAATTACAGGATAGATTCCTGTATATAATAAAAAGATACAATTCTTTTGTTTGAAAGATATAATGCTATATAATAAGTGATTTAGTGATTTGCAATTGTGTGTGTACGCGAAATGTCTCACTAATTCTTAACTAAACTTTCAAATTAAAGAATGAGACTGTGCGCATGCGATTATGCAATAAAAACGAATAGATATCGACCAATAAAATTGTACATACAATCTATTATTAAAACGTCCCTATTCTATCGAAATAATAAGAAAAGAAAAGAGTCATATTCAAACAAATGTTGTATATACATCGTCAATAATGCGAGTATGTTTGCGCAATCGTTCAATTTACATTATGGCAAATCTTAACCGTTCGCTGATTGAGAAGTCTACGATGATGCAATCTTTGTTTTTTTAAGTCATAAAAAATTACTCTGTAAAATTAAGAAATTATTACATTTGTTAAAAGGTTTGGTAGAATCCCGCTCCGGATGGCAATGAGATGCTATTAAATAATGCTACTAATGTGCCTATGTATCGTGTGTATAACAATTAACAAGATAAAGCTGCAAATCGAATACTGTAATAATCGTCGGATATTCTGCGAGCACGAAACTCTTTAGTCAACCGTTTTTGCTGGTTGTACTCTGGGATATAACTGAAACATAATACAACATAGTTTACTTTGTACATTTTGTTAAAGTTGATGAAAATATTTTAAAATACGAAATTATATACGTAACATTTTATATTGTAAACTTAATTTTTTCTGATATATTTATATATCTCATATTTTTAAAAAATTATTTTTAGAAATATAGATTTATGTAAAAAATTTTCAATATTTTTAAGATTCTATATAAGACTTTACATTTTTGTTCTTTGGAATTTTTTATTTGAAAATATTCTTTTTCTTCATATATAAGAAACGCTGTATTTGAAAAAAATGTATTTCTTTATCTTTAAAATTAATACATTAAATATAAGTAATCGAGCAAAATAGTTTTCACAGAATTTGATTTTTTATATAATTTGTAATAAAAAGAGAATTTAACACGATATTTTGCTCAATACCGAGTAAAATTATATTGACCTCATTTAATTAATTACACTTACCCCCAATAAATTCCGAGGTACATAGCCTTCTTTATGCCCGAGTTTGCTCCACCACCATTCTCGTTCGTTATCATCGCCCTTTCGAAGTACGACTACGGAATCCCCATTCTTCAACGAAAGCTCGTCAGCATGTTGTGCCTCGTAATCAAAAACAGCGTAGACCTGACCATTGTTCATGATTCCCAATTTCTCTTGAACACCTAGGTGTCAAAAAGAAGATTAAGTTTTTGTCATATAAATGCATTTAACTATTATCGATCTTGAAATTTATGATGACGAGGATACTTACTGTATAAGTACTCTGAACATCCATCAAAGCCTTCCTCGTCCTCCTCGCACTTCTCCGCGGCAGTTTCGTGATCCGAAAGAGTGGTTGCGAAGATACAGGCTCCATGTTCGACCAAAAATCTCACCATAGATAGATTGTTACAACTAGCAGCACAATGTAATGGTGTCCTATGCGAAAAATTAGATATTTATATAAGTTTCGAAACTTCAGACATCTAGCGCTTAATTTATTAAAAATAAAATACAAAATTCTCATATTTCCTTATATTATAATATTTTAATATTTTACAAATTTTGTGAGATATCGATATGAATTTCACATCAATTAGAGTTTTGTTTATCGAAGTTCTACCAAATTCATTTTAAAATAATATCTATTTACCATCCATCACTATCCTGGGCATTAACATCGCAACCGAATTCCACGAGAAACTTGACGATCTCGAGATGACCGGCGCATATGGCGTTGTGCAGAGCAGTAATACCCTCGTCATTGGCGGAACTCGGATTGGCAACTTCCTTCGCAGTCTTCTTAACGAGTTCAAGCTCTCCCTCGAGACTAGCGTCGAGCAACAACGCTAACGGATCGAACGATACCCGCCTGGATAAATTGACTTTGCCGCTTCCGGTCCCTGTTGTGCTCGATGACTTGAGATTTCCCTTTTTCCTCCTCATCACTTCTGAAATCTTGCCTCCGTCTATTTCCACTTCGCCAGTTAGTTCCGAGTCAGTCTTCATCTTCGATGGCTTATCCTCGATGTTGATGACATTCAAAGCATCGATGATATCCGCTTCTTCTAGTTTCTCGCCGTCACCAATATCGTCGCCTATAACAGAGCTCTTACAGTTGTCCGTAGTATCGATAATTTGTTGTTGAGATTGCTGCTGCTGCTGCTGTTGTTGTTGCTCGGTCTGCATAAGATCTGCCGGGATTTCCGTTTCCGGGAACAGGAAGGCCGGGGGCATTTCAATTCGTCGATTTATCGATACGTGGACATTGGATTTGTATCTCAGCTTAGGCTGCTCCGATATCGGTGCTTTCTTCAGAGTCAGTGGCCGAGCCTTGATGATTTGATGATTTGCCAGCTGTGTCTCCGTGGGAGATTCCGGCGGCTCGGACGTGGGAATTGGCGGTATATCCTCGTCCTTATCTGACCTGTACGCGAGATTTAGAAAATCGAATATGAAAATTAAAAGCATCAGCAAGCATTACGTTATCATTACACGGATTGAAAGTGTGAGTTGTAACTAATCAAATTGATAAATAATTTTATTTTTGTCCCATTAAATACTATTAATTTCGAAAATTTAATTAAAATTGCTTTACAAAATTAATTAAATTAACTCGTGATACTTTTATTTAACGTTGTTATAAAAAGCTCAACAGAAAAAATGCAAGATAATAAAACATAAGTAATGAGAAATTGCATAATTAATTATATGTCGAGAAATACATTATCTCGGTTGAGACTTACAATTTTCTACCCACTGTGACGAAAGGGAAACCGAAAATAATTTGCAATGCTGAAATCCCATTCAAGATTTTTCGAATCCGAAACGACCGCGTCGAATCGTTGTTCGGCATATAAAACTCAAAGGGCATTAATAAAGGTCACGATCTGAATCTCTAATAGTCGCTCAATCTGTTTATTAAGAGATTGAACATCCAATAGACAGATATTACAGTTACTAATGGCCGCGTAATTGAGGATCGTTCCACGATTGATTGTACACGATTGAAATCGTTGACTGAGCGCGCGTACCGACTTCGGAGAACTCGTGAACACTGAGAGCATGGGCCATGAGCGTCGTCTCCGCGGCACACGCGGACACAGCGGTTCTATTTCGGTGTCTATTATTCGAGAGAGAAAAGAGAGGCTTCGATTCACTCGCCAAATCGATCGCGAACTAATTAACATTTATAATTAACCCGGTAATCGTTTTGTCATTCCGCAGTTTGAGTTCGCGCGAATCGCTCGATGAATTCTTCGACGACCTCGTAACTCCGCGAGACGAGATGCGAAGAGACGAAAGATGTAAGAAGTAGGATTTATGAAACTTGTCACGTGCCTAAAATGTAACATGAATGAAGCTCTTTGCACGCGTACATATATTTCATCAAATAATAAAAGAAAAATTAATAATGTTTTAATTATGATAAATGTGTGTGTGTGTGTGTGTGTGAGAAATTAAAAATGTTTTAAAAATAAATGTAAAATAAATAGTAACATTTCTTTAGCACGATGCTTTTGTGTCTAAAATTATACAATAATTTGTTTAATTCGCATATAAATTAAACATAATTCCCATATTTAAATCTATTTCAAAATCTCTTTCAAATGTGTATGTGTGTACATGTCTAATTAGATCTAAAAAAATTATTTTCTTCATCGATAATTAAAAAAAAGCATTATTACGTAATAAGTAATTGTATCTTGCATCAATACGCTTTAATTAGTTTAGTGCAAAAATAATTATAATTCCATAACTCTTAAATTTTATATATACCAATCAACAAAATTAATCTCGACGAATGTGAATAATATTATTCATTTCTTCCATTTTAATATTATTAGTCTTTTTAAAAATATAAATTTAAAACGATTTAAAAAGCTAAGTATTTTATGAAAAAATTCATTATTCTTATTTCTACACACATACATATTTAATTCAACATCGAAAGTATACAAACCTCGAATTGAGATTCGCGTTAGTCATCTTGCCCTCATTAACGCCTTCAGACGGCACATCGGCCTTCTCATGATGAGTCAGTCTTGGTGGTGGATTTGGTTTGCTTGGTTTCGGTGGTAGTGCCGGCTTTGTCTTATCATCCATTCGCGATTCATTGAAGTTTTTCCTCTCACCGTCATTATTCTTGGTCGTCGATCTGCTGTCAAACTCGTACGGCGTTTTCGCGGGAATCTCAAACTTGGCGATTACGTGATCAACTACATGTTTCGTTGTGGAATTCTGTTCATATTTGGTCGGCATCGCTTCGAATTTACTCTGACCGCTTTCATACTTGTTTGACTCCGGCTTGTATTCCGTCTTATACTGATTAGTATTCGAAGGCTCGTGCTTGAACGTCGGATCATACTTGATCGGTAATCTTCCTTCATGCTGTTGTTGTTGCTCGTGTTTGCTATACTGTTGCGAATTCTGGCAACCGGACTCGTACTTGACGTTGTGCAGATGCTGCTCGTGTTTCGCCTGAATTCCGACTGGGTCATGCTTGCCACTTTGTTGCTGAGATTCATATTTGCTCGTGAGATTCTGATCGTACCTATTTTGCTGCTGCTGTTGTTGTTCATGCTTATTACTGGATGGTAATGCATGTTCAAACTTATCTTGACTCTTGCCTGGCTCAAATTTGACCTTCTGACTGTTCAATACCTGGTTTTGGTCCTGATTCTGCACGAGATCGTTAGAACTCGATATCTGCGACGATTGATTATATTTCTGGGAAGAATTGCCAAACGTAGTCGCGACAGTACCATGAAAACCGGTGAGATTCGACGAATTCTGAGCCTGATAGACGGCTGCCGGCGAAGATGCATGAATACCAGCCTGATTGGGATACTGTTGTTGCTGCTGCTGCTGTTGTTGTTGTTGAACACCGGAGTAACCGTGTCTATAATTCGTTTCTTGATTTCCTACATTGGATTGTAGCTGCGTGGTCACTGCTGCTTGCTGCTGATTGTTGCCAATGTAGTTTTGCGCCGTATTGTTGTTGTTATTATTGTTATGCCCGCGACCCAATAGACTCAATGTTTGCGGCATCACCGGATGAATCTTGGTCGACGAGGTCTGATAGATCTGCGACTTGACGGAAAAACTCGGCGCCACGCTTGATACTGGTTTCTGATGTCCACCTACGGTCTGTTGTAGATTTCGATGAGAGTTCTGCGCGGTTTGTGTGATCGACGGAACGGTCACACCGACGACATTCGATGTCGTCGATGCGCCGCTAATGCCAGTCACGTTGTGTTGCTTTTGCTGAACGTTGCTATTCTGATGTTGCTGTGTCTGCGATTGTTGTTGATGGCTCTGATGAAGACGAAGACCTTGTGACAGATTGTCCGAGTTGAAGTTGTTACTGTTGTTGTTGTTATTATTGTTATTGTTATTATTATAGGTACTCGACTGAATCGTCGCGGGTTGATTGCCGAGATTTTGATTGTGCTGCTGTTGTTGCTGCTGATTGCTTCCTAATAATTGAGATTGCCCTAAACATTTTAAGCTCTATTAGATTCATATAAAATTGATATACTTATTGATTAAATAATTAAATATAAAGGATAAAAATTATTTACTATAATAATTTTAATTATTTAATATTTACAATATATAAAAGCTATTAATGTGTAAGCTTATGAGAGAATTAATTTTTTAATAAATAAGTCATATTTATATACATATTTAACACAATTTTAATTTTATAAATAATTGTTTAATATATGTATGTTTTCTATGTATATATTCTAAGTAAAATTTAAATAATTTTGTAGATAATGCATTATCAATGAAGAAAATGTGATGTTATATACATATATATACATATATATATATATATACATATATATATATATATATATATATATATATATATATATAGTGTTTTCAGAAAACAATTATACTTAATTAATCAAAATGATTTAAAAACTATATTTTCTTTAGACAAAAATTGACTTTAAATTTCGTAAAAAATTACAATTTCCTTTATACGCTGCAATACACTGTGCTAAAAATTAAAGTACTCACCCTGAATGTGCGATTGCGACTGACTGTGAACGATTTGGTGTCCGTATTGCTGAAAGGTCGGCCGCTGTCCCAACTGGGAGGCGCTCGCCGAGTGTTGTATCTTGTTTTTGTTAACATCGTCCTCTATGGTCTTGAAGTTCACCGTGAACTTGGTATTGTACGGCAGTGTCTGGTACTTGGGGTCGTTTTTGTTGAGATTGAAATCGTTGTCGTTCGGTATGTGCGAGTACGGCTCGATCGCGGCGATGTTGCCGGTCGGCCTCAGCTTGCCGCCGTTGTTAAAGCCATCGAGCTTCGTGTCCGGGAATCCTGCATTATTGGCGCCGCTGACGACGCCACGTCCGCCACCTCCATTAGGACCTAGTTGATGCGCCAATCGCTGATTTAACGCTCTCTTGCGCTGAAGACGACTTTGGAGCTGAGCTATTCGTGCGTCTATCGATGCCATCTCGGCCTGTCGTTGAGCTAGAGCCTGACGTTGTTGAGACACCATTTGGTTTTGCTGTTCGTTCATCTTATTGCGATACTGTGTATAAAATTGGAAAAATTATTTTTATTGATATCAATTCTCTCTTGTCCTAAATATGCTCGAGATGTACACGTGGAAATGTCTCATGTCATGTGCTCCATTTTCAATCATCAATATATATTCATAAATATAAAATCAATAATTACAATTATAAATGATAAGGAAGAGACACGTCTTTATATTTTTCTTTAAAATTGAATAGCTACCCCTTGATTCATTTTATAACACCTTTAATATAATAAATGTTTATTAAGAAAACCATATTTATATTTCATAAAACAATCATAAGGAAATACCTTATACAGAATGCGTCAACAACTTAGATATTTTATTCAAATATTCAATGTGAATATGCATAATGCAAAAATAAAATAATATTTTCTCTTAACACTCAACATTTACGTTTTCCCAATTAGAAAAAACTTCTATATTCATTCTTCGAGAATTCTGAGTCATCCCATGATAAAACATACTTTATGGTTGAATAACATATAATATAATTGAAAATGGGACAAGTAGCATATAATATAATTGAAAATGGGACAAGTAATATTAAAAATCAATAGTTACAATTATAAATGACAAGAAAGAGATACGATCACTTTATAATGTCTTTGATATAATGAATGTGTATTTAAAAAAATCATCTTTATATTTCGTAAAATGATAATAGGGATATTGAAACGCGTCAACAGATTAGATATTTCATTCAGATATTCCGTGAGTGTTTTCTACATAATAGAAAAATAAAATAGGATTTTCCTTTTTAATGTTCGACACACTAACACATTTTTCCAATTAAAAAACTTCTATATTTATTCTTTAGCAATTCTAAGACATCCTATGATAAAACGTGTATTTTATGGTTGATTAGCATATGGCTGAAAATGGGACAAATACGGTGATATTCCCGTGCGAGCGCGGTCGGCTCTCTCGAGACGGAGAATCGATGGCACGAGCTTACCATAAGCTCTCTCCTAAGTTTCTCCAGTTCGGCGCTAGCCGGGGTGGCCAGGTGTCCGTTGCCGGTGGCACCCGCGAGACCACCCCCGACGTTGCCGGCGCTTCCACCGCCGGCGGGGGCATTTTGACGACCCCGGAGTTCCTCCAGCTGGCGCGTCAACTCCTCGACCTTCGCCACCGCCAGCGAAAGCTCCTTCTCCTTCTCATTGAACAGGGCTCTGATACAGTCCAGATCGGAAGCTGTGGAAGAACGGGATAAAATTAATGAAAATCAGAATCGTGAAAATAAATTGCAATAGAATAAGAATGCAAAAGAGAGAACAAGGATGAAGGATATATCGTGTATATTTGAAGAAATATTATCTCGATTCTATATTTTATGTTTAATATTTAATATATTCCGGTGCATTAAATAATCGTCTCATGTATTTAATTTATTTTACGCGTTTAAATATCATTGGATCATTGAAAATTTTTATAAAATAGACAGTATTGACGTAGAATGATTACGAGATATAAATCGAATATTGTGCGGAAATGTTAAAATGTACGAGATAGCCTTTTACGCGTTTAGCCTTTGACATTCAATATCATAAATTGACGTCCCCGGGGTATACACCCTGCGCCGAACACCAACCAACGCGTCAGGAGGATGACGTCGTATTAACAGGAGCATTAATCATCGTCGGGTGACCTCCCCGAAAGCGATATACTTTCGTGAATTCCGTCGATCTTGAACGTCGTGGATGTAGCATCTCCTCGTAGTTCGTATCAGATTAGAAAGTTATTATACGCGCGCGATGAACCGCTAAACCAACCACATATTGCTACACGGAACTCCGTATTGGCCGTGCAGAGCGATCTGCTCTGACCTAGAATTCCATTATCGAATTCTGAATTGATACCCGATCGTATCTCCGAGTCTAATCTATCAAGAACAACACCCTTTATGGTCTTTCATTATCTTTCAACCGCGCGAATCCGCTGTCGAGAAACTGTCAACGTAATTTAATTTATACGAAAATCTTATACGAGTATCTCTATACGTTTAATTCCTCAAATTGATAGATTTCTGCCACATGATTGGCATATTTAATACTACGTATGACTCTAGTTCTTTGAAAATATAAATATTCATGAAAATGATTAATGCTAGGTGACTCATTGATTAATATGAATTAATAGAATAAGATATTTTGTTGCAACAGTAAGTAATTAATTGAGAAGAATAGATATTTAAAGAAAAAAAATTCGCTATAGTTTTTCTTTTTTTTTTTCAAATTTTGTTTGCTTCAAATTATTTCTATCAAAAAAAAAATAGTTAACGGTATGAATTTCCAATCCTCTCAAAAACGTATTGTCTGCACTAACCGCGAAGATTAAACGGTTATTCGTGATTGAAAAATTTTACAAAAATTAGAAAAAAAACTTGATTAAAATATAATAAACTTTTTTTATCAATACTTATTCATGATTGAAAAATTTTCCAAAGATTAGAACAAAAACTTAAAATGTAAACTTTTTTTTTACTGATACTATGATGAAAATCAATTTGAAATTTCAGGCGATATATTAAAGAATCAATTGATTTTTGCGCGTCGAATAAATGATTCGGCTTCTTTTGTGTTATTTATCGATTGCAGTGCGTTAAAATCATCGGTATGCAGATCGGCACTTTTGCCAATTGGCATGAATTAACCTGCACGTGTCCATTTATATGGCAATAAATTTGCCATATTGATTAACACGTGGCGTTAAAGGAAGAAGCGAAACGAAAAAAAATCTCTCAACACATCCATAGAATCTGTAAACTATTATATAAAACTATTATATATAAAAAATATAGTTTACCATCAACTGAGTTATTAAATTTTATAACTTCAGTGAAAAATGCCATCAATCTCTGAATAACATTACATGTAGTCAGAGTTTTTTTCAATTTTAATTAAAGGAAGAAATACAGGATCGATATATGAATGCGGTTGCGCTAGAATGTCTACGTGACTGGTGGGCGATTTTGTAGGTATTTTGCATATAAAAGGATATAAAAGGGTCAAGGGTTGATTCCTTCCGCGTAGTTTAACTTTGACCGTAGTTGAATTAAATTTAGAACCAATTTCACCAACACCGATTAACTTTAACAGTCTATTTCGTGTCAGTCTTTCTTCCAGGGAAAATCCGAAAAGTAATAAAATAATAGAGAACTACAATTAAACTTAGTGAATGTCGGTGAAAATTAATGTTAAATTAACGGCATCCTAAAAGTCTTCGTCAATTAATTGTCATTTATTATTCGCGTCTATCTTTTAAAGAAAAAGCGGAGAACTGCTTTCTCGATTTGCTTAAATATTGATCATTTGTCATGTATTTTCACATAGAAATGTAACAACACAAGTATATCTCCACAAAGATTTATTATTAATAACAGAATAAGTATTTCATTATTAATAACAGAATAAATTAAACAATAAAGAGAATCAGAGCCGCTCAGTTTCCAGCAAAAACACTCGACGGAGAAGTGATTTAAATTATGTATTAGTTTTATATATAATGTATGCGATGTTATGTGTGTGTGTGTGAGAAAGAGGGAAAGGCAATGGAGAAATACGATGGAGCTTTCGTATGAAAGCCAATCGTTGCCGGTCTCTCCAACAAACTCAAATATCCCTCATTATGCATGCCACTTGAGCATATACACATATAAAGTTCGCCCAGGCGAATATATTCGTGAAAGTATCGAAGAGCATTCAACTTTTTGGGCAAATGTACCTTGAATTCGTTTCGCGGAAGAACGTCAAGTTGTAAGTCTATTCAGAGGCAATTTTGCGGTCCAACCAAATGCTTTCTGAATATTCCCTTTATTCGGAAAACTGCTCTTGTTCTCGTTCATTTTTATCCTTTTCTTCTCTTTTACGCACGCCTCCTTTCACATACACAATCTTAATTTTAATAACAGACTCTCCAATCTAAAATCGACTTTTACTAAGTGAAAAATGTCGAGGTAGATAAGCTATAAAAAAGCTATTGTACTTTCTTTCGCGCACGTCCGCTATATCCGTTTTTTATTTTCGAATATCACTGCACGTTTTATCCGTTCTCATTAAAGTTTCATTAGGTGAATATACATAATGAAGTGCAAATTGTACACTTTGTCCTCTTTCTTTCTTGTCTTATTTGTAATGCAAATACGCGAATAAATGTAAGGATGAAAATAGCAACGTAAATCAAAACAAAAATGCTTCCAGTTTTGCGTTTCTGAGAAATTATCATCATTTTTCACTATTATAAAATATAACTCAATTAAGGACCCGCTTGTTTCCCACATATATCTGCGATATAAATACAAAGGTACTGAAGAGTAAAAATATTAACGTGCAAAAATTGCAATCATTGCAACCGCTAAAACGTAATTATAAAGAAACGATATTAAATAGCGAAGTGAATTACTGTCTGATTTCGACATTAATATCCCGAATGATATCACCGCAACAATAGCAGCGGATTTGAAAATCAGCAAAAGATTTCCATTTTCAAGCCGAACGAATTTTACGCGTATTCGCGGAAGAAATTTCGTGAGTTTTTTTTTACTTTTACACTTTGTACAATCGCTCGCCAAAGTATCGAGCTTTTTCCGCTCAAGAGCAGCAATATACGCGCATTTTCCATCGATCGACATCATACGATCGCACGCATCCGTCGTTTTGCACGCGCGAATACACGTATGTGTGTGTGGGATAAAGAGAGCGACGTTAAACAATAGATGCATCCACGTCGCTGCTATAAATGCACGGCAAATGACATGTCGCGTCGTCGCTTCAGAATTTCATCCGCCATTCGCGTCGGCATTCGCGATAATATTTAATTTCTCCGCGTCAATCCTATCCGTATGAATATTAAAATGTAACGTTGCGCGTCATGAGAGAAGTTTCTTAAATATATCGAGCGAATAAACCTTTAAAGATGCAATGCTGAGCTTTCAACCGATAGTTTTTGACACAAGAGAACGCATAATTAAAAATTTTAATGTGCGTATCTAAATGCAAACGCAACGTTAATTCATTTGTACAGTCGTACGATTTCGGACGTGGAAATGTGATTCTCTGCAATCAAAACTTGCAAGTTCATATTTGAGATTTTTTTTTGTAGAGAGTTTTTTCTATCTACGAGTTCCCGCAACGCCAGAACCCCTCGTGGTCTAAATGGATACATTCCATTTTTTGCAATAATAGGATTTTTTGTTCATCTATATTTGTAGGAAGATCTACATTTGTTTCTGTTTTTAAATCAATTTTTCTTCTCTTCTTTTTCGAAAAAGTTTTACAGGAATCTTTCTAAATATATTGTATTGTTTCTCAATAAAAGTTATAAAAGTTATATCCTTTATTCCGATATAGTTGTGTTATATATATATGTACATTTCATATACTAATTTAATAATTATTAAATTAATAAGCGAAATATCACATATTTATAAATAAAATATAATAAGCTGCAAATTGCAAGAACAAAATTTATTTCAAAATAATTTTTATGATTTAATATTAATCATCATCAGAAGCTCGATTTTTTAATTCAGATAATTTTATTAAAAACAAAGATTGATCGAAAAATGTGTCAAGTTGTCGTTTTATCTCTTTCGCAATATATATAATTCTAATCGTTTTCAGAGAATGCTGACAGAGCTTGCAGTACCTCGGGACGCGAGTATGCAAAACTGATCAAATTTACCAACACCGATAAATGCATGCAAAACGCAACGTCAAACGATGAGAAAATCCGCTATGAAAATGCATATACGCGGACTTGTCATACGTCCGGAACTGTCCCGGACTAACTGTCCGGGATTTCAATATACCTGTGTGCCTGATATTTTACCTACGATTTAAAATGTTCAAAATGTGTAAAATTTTCTTTACTCAAATATTAGGTATTCTCGCCTATATAGTTTGTAACTATTCGATATTAGTTTTTTGCCTCTTTAATTCCGTCGAATATTTCTACCGAAAACTCACTGTAAAATGTCAGATATTTTTGTCTCACTTTATATTTTTATTTTAATAAATAAAAGATACTTGCAATATATATATTTATGCAAAAATATATATTTACTCATTATTTTCTACTTTTTTTATTTTAATATTTTACACTAAAAATATAAAACATTCGAGTGTGTATTTTAAATTAGAGAAATAATTGTAAGAATCTTTTCACGCTGCTATTAATATTGGAATATTGAATAAATATTAATTAAAAAGATATTTTTTACATTATATTGAAGTATAATATAAATTTAAAATTACATTTATATTTTTTATTTCTTGAAAGTTTCTCATGAAATAACAAATATTGCACTATTGCTACTATTTTGTGACCCTTACTATTGAGTAAATTTATATTTGACAATATATAAAAAAAGAGACTCCCGGTCTATCTCTCGACAAGCGTTCCGGGGGATTGGGTCATAAAAATTACGACAAGCCTACGTATGCGTGTGTTCCGCTGGGTGTGGTCACACACGTGTTGCGTGTCAGGGCCAATATCGCGCAATATATATGTACGTGTACACATACAAAAGGTAAAAGGGAGCGTCCGCGACAGCGTTTCGATCAGTGCGCGAATTCCGCGCTGACGAAAACGAAAAAAAAAAAAAAGAAAAAAGAAGAAAAAAAAAGTTGCCCGGAGTTGAACAGAGGAGAATGGCGCACGAAACTCGTTCGAACAGATACCAAGACGATCAAACAAATCGCTCGATCGCTCGATGCGCAACCAGTTGATTCAATCGCGATTGTTATTATTGCGACATATAATTGATCGCCGCATCAACACGTAATTTGCTCAGCGAAATTGATATTTGTTCAAGCGAGGGCGACCACCAGCGCGATTTTGTTCAAGCAATTTCTCTTCCTCTCCGTCTCCTCTTCCTCCTCCTCCTCCTCCCTTCCCTGGTGAAATTGAACGATTTATTTTTTCTATTGATATTTACTCTTCTATATGTGTACATAAGTAGTTGGCCAACGCAACTCACTTTCTCGCGATATGAATCACTTCATTCCGACGACAAATAAAACGTGCCGGAAGACCAGATCGATTTCGCGCACAGCTCGACAAATAAATTACGTTAACGAATTAAGGAGGAAGTATTTTCCGTTTTCCCAATTTCTTCGGTTCGACGTCCCGAATATTTCGACGCTGGTCCGAGAATGATTTATCGGTACCGATGTGATGCGACCGCGAATGAGTTCTACGCGATTGCATTTCTATAAAAGTGAAGCGCGCGACGGGCCGTCTCGGGCTCGGGATCCTTCCAATTTATTTTCCGAGGGATGATTCTCGGCCGTGAATAGCAAGCACGCGAGAGAGAAAACCGTTTTCAAGCCATCGGTTTGTATTTGGATTTCATTTATACACCGGTAAAGTATGCTCGATGTCGTCGGCTCGGTGGCTGTGCCGAAGATTAATTGTACTTTCCGATGAAGACAAGATAAATCTCCCTTATCGCGTTCACTGAAAATCAGATGGATTGCCGCCGAAATATCGCCGATCTACGAAAATGAATCGACGGAGCTCGAACGAAAATGGTCATCTTTATCTTTGCGTCCCTACATTCGATCGCTTGGCATAATTAAAGAACGCTTTAATATCTCAAATTCTAATATTTCTCACACTTCATTTAGATATTCGTTGGATTCTCTTGCGTTTATACATATTCCACTTTAATCAATCATCCCTCCAAAACTTTTTGTCTATAATTTAAAAAAAAAATGTTTCAGATGAAAAGTTTTCAAGAGGAGCAGAATTTTAAGAGCGACATAAAATGAATCAAATGAAATTTTCCTAGATAAAGACATTTCACAGGTTTGGAAGGTAGCGTAATTTTTTTAAATAGAACTCGAATTGTTTTATAAATAAATTTTTTAATAGTCTGCATAAAAAAAGTAAAATAGATAAAAATTGAACGAGATATTTTATATTTCAATGTGACATATAGATACACATTTTGATATAAAAGGTAAAATATCTCGTAAAATATTTAGTTTTCGATAATCTTAGCGTATAATTTATCGTAATTTTACATAAAAATATTTTTATGTAAAATATTTTTATGTAAAATTACGATAAATTTATTTATATAAAATAATTACAATAAACACTTTCATTTAAAAAAATTAAATTGTCTTCCAAATTTGCGAAATGTTTTTATCTAGGAAAATTTCGTTTGATCTATGTTCTTCTTAAACCCTGTAACTTTTGTTTGACGTAAAATATTTTTTCTAAAATAAAAAAAATTTTGGGGGAGTGATTAATTAAAATGAGACACTCTGTATATCAAACTTAATACTTTATATACATGCAAATATATTAACGGAAATTAATGGGGAGAGTTTCGCAAGCGCACTCAATCATCGAAAAAGCCCCGAATATGATTAACCCTTGCATTATAAAGTAAATTAGTTCAAGTCCTGCGGGAAATCGTACGTTTAGTTTACGCGAAGAGCTTCCTTATTCTAGCCAAATCATTTCTTATCAAACTATTTGAGCTTATAGCAAATTGTAACGAGTTTGGCTATTGAAACTTTCAAAATCCTCGAAAGACAATATAACATTGGTCAAACATCGTGATAACAAATTAAAAAGGTCAAAAGTTAGAAGTGAAAAGTTTCTTATGGCTTCGAAATATGAAAGCGATAAATCTTGCGCGATTATTGAAGGAAGTTTTACGGATTCTTGCCAAAAAGGCGAGATGTACATCGCTGATTCGGCGAAAATTCAGAAACAAAATAAAGAGAATTTATGTTACAGATGCAAAAATTTCGCATACTCGCTTTCCATTTATAATAATGTTGAAAAAAGTCTTATAAAAAAATTTGGATTAATTTGAACATAATTTTCAATTTTTTTTCATTTAAAAATTTGACTATATAGAAACGATAATTTTATTACGGACTAAATTTTCTCATTACATGCTTTTTAAATAAAGCATGGACAGTAAAATATTGAACAAAATTGCACTCTATTATTATCAAATAAATCGTAATATTTTTAAAATATAATAATTTTATAAAATAACAAATATTGTAAAACCCTCATCGAATTCTCGTTATTTAATAAATAATTAAAAATTACAAGAAAAAAAGCAAATATTTTGTTGTATCACATTAACTAAAAAAATAACTCTGAATCTTCCACTTGTAGAAATTACATCATTTCGCAGTTATTTAAACATCAACATCAAAACATTTGAGAATGAATATTTTTCTGGAGAATGTTTTTGACGGGGCAATCTCCTCTATTATTCGCCAGACATACTCGTAATGCATTCGTCTATTAAACGTTGAAATGCGAATTGTTGAACCGTACAGATTCCGAATCATTATAGATCCCGAATCTTTTTTTTAGTTTAGGAGATTGCTGTGAAGCGTAGAATCTACGTGTTCACTGTCGTGTCGACTCGTCATAGAAATTTTCTAACAAGTCGTCATATATACATACATTATATATATATATATATATATATATATATATATATAGAGAGAGAGAGAGAGAGAGAGAGAGAGAGAGAAAGTGAGCGAGTTTCGCTCTTAGCTTTGAAACTATTATCGCAGCTACGTGTCGCATTGCAAACCGCAGTTATCGTTTTTCAGCACGCCGTATAGATGTAACGATCCGAACAATATACAATTAACAAGGTATGCACATGTGAACCAAGCTTCATGCGTAGCTTTTTCACGAATTGAAATACAACGTGATGCGGCGCGCGATAGCATATGTATCAATTCGCCACAAACGCGGGATAGATACGCGATAAATTCGAAAAAGTCGATCAATTTGAAAAATAAATGTAAAAGGAAATAAATTTTTTCTTCTATCGTTAAATTTAAATTTAATGCTAAAGTAAATGTGAGAATTGATTATCTAGAAAAAATAATTTTCAATTTTATGTATGAAAGAGAAATAATAACTATAATTTTCAGCGTAGAGATTTTCCCTCGTCATTTTTCGTAACATTGATTACATATCTATCAAGAAATACTACTAAAAAATATCGAGCAAACTTATCGTTATCGTGTTGGTGCCAATCCTTTGGTGTTTATCGATTTTATGTAATTTTTTGCCGGTCGACGTTCAAAGATCATTTTTCGTTTATTAAAAAAAAAAATAAATAAATAAATAAACATGAACGAAAGAGTAAATTCCAATAAATGCAAATTTATGTAACTTTGTTGCAATAAAGAGCTTTAAAAATGTCTGTATAAATTTCTATATTTTTTTATAAAATACCAGATAAATCGTATGGATTAGATATGAGAAAAATAGTGAATTTACTCAATGTCGCATTGTTGACACGTGATTGATCCGTCTGCGATCTGAGTAATCGCAGTCGATTCAGCTTGCTCTGTTGTTGGTCCAGTTTGTGCCTCAATCTAGCGAGTCTGTCCTGCTGTGCTGGCTCCTGAAACGGTAAACAATGCGTGAATACGACTATTGTGGATAGACGATGAATATCCGCCTAATATGATGAATGATGGATTAAAAGAGGGGATTATCACAAGAGAGTGAAATTATCACAAACATTTCCATGTTTGAAAATCTCTCCATCACCGACAAGAGAATTTCCAGAAATACAACATAGGCAATTTGGAGCTGGAAATTTCAATGATACATATTCATATTTATTAATTTTTTACAGACTGATTCTCTCGTAAATGCTTGCCAATATTTTCAAAAATCAAGGTATTAAAAAAGCGAGTATTTTATAATTACTTATTCGCACATCTAATTTTTGTGTCGATAGGATTTGATGAAATCGCGAAATTATGGTTCCAAAAAATAAGCTCACCGGGATCATACATCAGGGATCATCATGTCTTATTGTTAGAGATCAAGGCTATTCAATCGTAAAGGTCATCGTAATCATACCGTCGAGAACCCTCGCCATAATTTTTGAAGGAAAGACAACGCGCAATCATTCGAATCATCGCACAAGTGACCAATGATGATTTGAAGGGAAATAATTTTTATTTTGTTAAATAAATATTTAATTAATACGTAATAATTTATAATTAATAATAACATAATTTTATAATTATTAATTATTATTAAGTAACTAAAGCTTCTGTATTATATAATAAATGTGTTTTCATATGTATTATATATTAATACATTATAATATATGCATAACATATTAATTTGATTAAGATACTATAAATTGTTAATTACTAAGTAACAAATTTCTATGTAATCAAGTATGGATACAATTTTATTACATTAATAATACTGTAAAAGTGTTTTTTGACATTTTAATACAATGCAATTGTTAAAAATAATTTTTTGATTTTTAATAATATAATTTTTAATAATATAATTTTATTTACATATCACAATTAAAAATTTATATTATATAATGAAAAAAACCATGTAAAAGTACATTATAACTTTTAAAATAGTAACAGATTTATTCTATATATATGTATATATATTTTGCAAGGTTTTTAAATAATATATCAATTTTAATGGGAATAAAAAAGAACAGCCACGTTTATCCCATTTTAATATTTTATAATTATTATCTTTTATAATCTATGATTTTTATTTTAAAAGCTCGACTGTCTTGACTCGATATTAAACTTGGATTATATTTTCAGGTGTAATAAACAACATTAATTTCGCGAAAAAAATTTGAAATATAGACAAAAATAATTCTAAATTCTTATGCAATAAAATCTTGTAACTGATTTTATAATATATTTTATTGTATTATAATATGGTATTTTTAGATACATAATAAAATAATTACCGGTATCTCAAAAAAATTATTAATTATTATTGTAATGTAAAAACTAATTAAAAGTTAGGAACGTTAACCACACACATATGGTTGTAATGAAAATTGGAAAAGAAAATAACAAATCGATAAAAATATATATATTTACAGGCAAATATATATATTTTTATCGATTTGTTATTTTCTTTTTCAATTTTCATTACAACTATATGTGTGTGGTTAACGTTCCTAACTTTTCTCGAATCAGGCTTTAGTGCTTTGCTTTAGCACAACAGCAGCATGATTTTCACATATCAATAAGGGGAGAATGGGACTCACCTGTGCGCCTCGAAGCACGGCTAAGCGGGCCTCTTTCTGCTCCAGGAGGCGCCTTTGCTGAGCGATTTCCCGCTGTTGCCTGGCTGCCATGCTTTCAAGCTCGCTGAGCACCAGCACAGCACCACCCCCGCCCACTGCTAACTGAAACAACAAGATAAATGCACGTAAGCATACAAATGTGTTGATGTATGTTAAGGTAAAACGATAACGACGGCGTGAAAGGTGGAACCAGGTAGACGCAATAGAAGGCGCCGAATCAACGATTAATTATGTCGCACTTTAATATCGGCTTTTCGATCAACGTCTCTCGTTGTTTTCCTGACCTTTCATAATATTACACTCAGCTTTCGCATGTGTCGTGTGCAGGTAAAAGATTAGAAAGATATTATCATTTTTTCAGAAAAAAATTTTTCGATGGAAATGTTTAAAAAAACATATCGCAAAACTCATGTGGAGCTTGAAAAATTTAAAAACTAAATAGAAAGCTTGAAAAAAAATCTCTCGCATATAATCTGTCAAATACATCGAAATTTTCTCGTCAACAGGAAATTTCGATGTACTTGACAGATTATAAATTATACAAAACATTTCCAAACCACGTAGAAATAAAGGTCTCTCATATCTCTTTTGCAGAGAAAAAATATAAAGAATTTCAGGTGATATAAAGAGTTTTTCAGGTAATCTGAGCACCTAATGAATAATACGCTCCTTCTTATTCATCTTCCATTGAAATTCTAATTTAAATATTATTTATAAATGACGTATTATTTTCTCAGAATTTGTCGATGAAAGTATTTTAAAATCACAATCTAATATATCTATAATCTATCGATATAATATCTATATATCTATAATATCTATATCTATCGATATATCTATAATGTATCGATATAATATAAAATAATCTTCGTTCACGACGAACGAAGATTATTAAGTCACTTGCATCGAAAGCAAAAATCCAACTCGAACAAGATTGATTTTTCGTTGATTAAGCATTTTCCAGGCGTTAATTTAATTGGAATATATAACATTCGCTTGTTTCGAGTCTCGGATTTCCCCGACACTTGGCAATAGAGAAAAAGCAGGATATGAGCAGCGCGAAGAACGTGTTCCACGTGTGGAGAGCGCTGGACCGAATGATGCGCAGTGGCTCTTTTTGTTTCATCTTATGCCACCACCACCTGGATAGGACCGGCCGGCGTGGCCCGCGATACCAGGTAGAATCCCAAGGCCGGCCCTTCGAATTCCACCGGTTACAAGGACTCCGTGTAACCTTCGTACGTGAATGAAAGTGCGGTCAACGGCGCAAAATAAACGGCATGTCACAAACGAAGGCGAGCGATGAAAATTTCGCGATCAGCTGCGGTCGCGCAAACTGTCCGATCAACTGTCAAGATATTTCTTTCGCCTCATTTAATTTTGTTCCATTTGTTAATATCGATTGAATTAATATGGATTGAAATGAAATGCATTTTTTTCATAGAGAAATAAACTCCCACGTACGTATTTCTTCCTCTCTTTCTCTCTCTCTCTCTCTCTCTTTCTCTCTTTTGACACATATTTTTTATCGCGTTTTTGTATTTTTACAAAGCATAAAATAAAAATGCAAGGAACAAAATGAAAAAAACTTTTGACGCGAGCAGTTTCAGATGAATTATTCGTCTCTCTCATTCAAAAATTAGATTAGCAACGCGTCGAGAATATTTTTAGTTTGCCTTGCTTCACTTTTATCTGGAAGTAACATACATAGTAAGATACACAAAATATAAAATACAGCATTCCTATAACCTAAAGTAAGAAATAAATAAGGGATTACGAATTTTGCCAGAATCATTTGCAACATTAATTGATTTTTCGTTTGTCTTTGTAGTTTGGTTCAAGTATGTAATACCCGCTTCTTCCAAGTTTTAAATTGTTTTTCTAAAATCATCTTTTATAGAGGAAAAGGATCTGTTTAAAAATAAAGAGGAAAAGGATCTGTTTAAAAATATAGAGGAAAAGGATCTGTTTAAAACCTATACAAAATTTTTCTCAGACGTCACTTGCATAATTCAAGTAATGAAATAGCCACAAAGTAATCGCGAAAATCGGAAATTGGGCAAGGAATATATCTACGTATTCGCTTGTAATTCTTATATTGAAACATAAAAAGATATATATATATATATATATATATATATATATATATAAAATTCTTTCTCTCTGAGAAAAAAAAATTGTAACTTGACTAATATTTTCCACTAATTATTTTTTAATTAAAATATTTAAGTACTTAAATTAAAAATATTAAATCTAACATACCTATTTAACTCAAATACTTAAATATTCCAATTAAAAAAATAATAAAACAATATATAGTCAAGCTTAAAATTTTTTTCTCAGCGCGGGCAATATACGTGTTAAAGTGAATCTTCATCATGACACAATCCTCGGTGCAATCACGTTCCCCGGTGAACGGAGCGCGAATCAAGCGGTTTCGAAGCGGCAGTCTACAACGAAAGAGTATCGCGTTACTCGCGAGACAATAACAATCGTGCCGTGAAACGAGGAAGATAATACAACCGCCTACGGCGTCCGCCGTTCCAGCTTCTGCCCCTTTTCATTCCGCGCGCGTACGCTCCACTCGCGTGACAGTTAATTGTTTCGAAGCGGCTGCGAACGCATGGAGGAGAATGTTAACGAAATAGCGAACAGTGCTAAATGTCGCGCTCGACGTATCTGCGATCGCCGAGAGAAAGAGAGAGAGAAAGAGAAAGAGAGAAATGAAAAGAGTCATTTTCCGACAGCTCTCGGAAGGAGATGCGACTCGCGCCCCCGCAAATCCCATTCAGTTTCATTATCCTGGCGTATCCTGGTTATGATACAGAGGAACGCGAGGCATCTCCATTATATTTTATACGGTTTCCTTTTGAATCGTAAAAATAAACATTTAGTTTTCTGGGTTACGTCATTCGTATCCGGATATACTTTTTGATATGCGTATACCTCGATAAACAATTCTTTTGAGTAAATATCACGTGGGCTTCGTCAATTGCGCTTTTACACATTCAGATTTAATTACAGTTCAATATTTTTTGTTTGTCGGTAAAATATTGAAATATTGGTACAAAAATTGATTTACAAACTTTCAAAGTAAAAATGTTACAAAAATGTCACTTCCCTCCTGAGAATATTTTTTATATAATGTGTATTTTCTTTATAATAAATAATAATAAATTACATAATAATAAATACAATCTTTTTTACGGCATTATTATTTACTCTTTCAGGAATGATACCTTTTGTTAAAAAAGATAATTACAAGAATACGGAGTGCAATCCTTTATAATGCCTTGATTGATCTAACCAGTTGCTCGAAAATAACATTAGGAGGAAAAAGAGTCGTAATCTCAGGCATAAAATCGAATACGTTTTCTTGCGTGAATGGGCGAAAAGGAAAAGTTGCGAAAAAGATGCTCCTCCGAGGAAACACGTAAACGAAAAAGAAATTTCCCATAGAAACGGATTCTTGTAGAAGCGGATAATCCCCCGGGGATGATCCGCGCGGGCGATCCCCCTGCGAAATTAATTTCAAGAGTCTGAGAACAGGTAGCGTGGAAGAAGAGGAAGAAGAAGAAGAAGAAGCCGTAATCGGCAGTTTGTTCGCCTCAGCACGAAACAGGCTCGTGCGTTAAAACGAAATCTCTCCTTTTTCGGACGCGTTCGCTCGCAAAATTAATGAAAGCGTGTATAATTTCGCCATTTCTATATTTCCTGATTATGACGTAATTTATGTACGCGGTGCGCGAATATATATCTCGATTCGAAATGAGAAATTTTTCACATCTTTTTTATTACTTTATACATAATAGATGACGAAAAAGATTGACATTTTTTGCGCCAACATTTACAATGCATTGGAGAATCGACAAAATGAAAGGAAAATATAATAACTATTATTATGTAAAACAAGGGCTGGTTTTTTTAGCCGTACCTTTTTGTACTTCCTGCAATTAAAATAAAACGCGCGCTGACGCTTTACAAAGGGAAGTAAGAAAAAATAAGTGTAGAAAATTAGACTCGAGCATAGAAAGGACGAGCTCGTGCAATTACACAGATTATACACAGTTTTATGCGATATGTAGTACACTGATGAAAGTGTAAATACGAGAGAGAGAGAGAGAGAGAGAGAGAGAGAGAGAGAGAAAGAGACAGAGAGAGAAAGAGACTCGCTGAGAGATAATTACGAGAGATTTAAATGATCGCTCCAATAAAAAGTGGAATATTTTAAGTGCACGCATGTACACCTTAATTAAGCATAGAATAAATACAATTTTTTTTCAAACGCTTTCTTTCTCCTCTCCAACAATATGCAAACTGATACACGTACACATAATGCACAATAACCGATGCACATACGCTTGAAATGTAAATATGGCTTTAAACAAATTTCGCAGCGTTATTTCTGACTTAATTGTAACAATGTTGAAAACATTCTTGGCACATCTAATTAGGTTTCTAGCGCGTTTTCACAACGCTCATCGTCGAAGCAGTCGACGCGTCGTGTTTACGAACCTATATATTTATTCATAACTTGCGTAAACCTCTCTTGGGTGCCGGCAGAGCGAAAAGCGAGACGGCGAAGTGCATCGAGTAGAACCTTACTCGAGTAGAACCTTACCTCGTGTCCCACCCGCTCGCCATTGCTGCATCCTGTGGACTCCGTGGTGGCCGTGGCAACTTTTTCCCTTACCACGACGGACTTGGGTTTTCTCCTGGATTTTCCATGATGAAGCTTTACAGCCACGGTTTTCACCTCGAAGTTCTCCCGCGGATAGACGCACGCCAGCATCCTCGTGACATGAACCGGCCAGCGGAACCGCGAGAAGCCCGTCCGTTTCGCTCTCACGCGATTTATACAACGTGCGACACGCGTAAAAACTGTTCACGTTCACGTAAAAACGATACGACAGCTTTGAGAAGGAAAACCCGGCGTCGGGTTGACGAAAAACACCGCAGAATTGCGTCGCTTTGCCAATCTAGAGAATTTTTTTTAATTTTGAAGGGTCTTCTAAAAAAAATATTGATTTTTCAAAATTTTTTCTAAACAAGAGTAAAAGAGGAGAAGAAATCTCTCTTGTTTTTGAAGATACTTGGAAGTGTCATTTCTTTAAAAAAATATAGATTTTTATCATCGTACCTCTCTTTTTCAAGTAAAATAATATCTGTATTAATGTGAAATAAAAAAATATTCTCTGCGAGATAAAAATAATCAGATGCAGATTATTTTGTCATTGACCTTGTTATCTTCCGACGCTTCTAAGAAAATCGTTTGCCGATTATTTGAACCCAATAATTTAATCTTATAATCAAAAGTTTATTCTTTGTGTAGTTATCGATTCGCGAGTGGCACATCAGATAATGCAATATTCATTCAAAGCAAATGCGAATATTGCCTGCTATTTTACCCGTATACCCAATATACATAATACTATCATAATAATTTATCGTGATATAATTAAAGCGTTAATTGAAAAAGGAAAATTATTTAAGAGATGATATTTCGTGTTATATAATAATGTCTTTATGCGATGATTCTTTTATGAAACCTCGTTAGATTAAATTCCATGTATTTTGATGTGAATTTTGAAATTTGAGGGAGATTAATAATATTTTGATTAATAATTTAATTTGCGCCTTTTTCTCAAAATTAAATAATTGAATAGCAAATGAATCCTGTTGAATTCCATCGAATATTGAATCAATTTTCTCCCAGCCAAAATGTCATCCTATGGAACAATTGTAAATTCGCAGAATGATTTGTGAATGCCCCTTGAGAGTTAAGGGCCCTAAGCGACCGCCTATCGATAAATCTGCCATTGAGCGGTGCGAATGTATAGTATGCGCGTTGCTTTCCATTTATAAGCCACTTGACACAAATCGACATGTAACGCTTTAAAGATTCAGGACGACAGCGAATCGAATCGTCTGTAATATAGGTAACGTGCGAAACCACATTGATAAAGGTAGATACGGAAATCTCGCTGCCATTGTGATCACGTTGAACGATTTTTTTTTAGATTTTTCTTTCGCACGCACAATTTGCTTCTACCTCGGTATAAATATTTTTCCGGTAACGTTGTCATTTGTATCATGATGTTCCAATATTCGACTACTCGTAATCATCAGCTGTTTCGAAAATGAAACAACTAAATAGCGACAAAATAAAGAAATGTATCAGTTTTTCATGACTGTATTAATTTAAATTTAAACTGGTACAATCATCACTTTTAATGAGAAGCGAACTTTTCACCGAATGAAATTTTAATAACATTGAAACAAATTTGATATTGATTCTCTCTTAACGAAACTGTCGAAGCGGGTCATCGGTATCTTCTCTTTTACAGAACTTTCCCAATTTTTTAAGTTTCGATATTACGTATCTTTTAGTAACTAATAATTCTTATCTTAAAATCTCTTCGTCGAAACATACTTGAGAATCAACTTGAAAAATAATTTAGGAAGTAATATCATTTATAATTAAAAAATAATATTTAATAAAAGCTTCTTAACTTTTGACTAAAAAGTCATCTCGACATTTTCATTAAGGAAAGATTGAATTCAAGATGTTCAGAGAACACCTGTCACTCAATTGTCATCTGATAGAAAAGTAGGGCACCTTTTATAACTGGAAGATATCTATGAGAAACTCGCAGTTATTTCGGTCGCTTAACACTAAACCTCTATAGTCCGAGCTTGATGTGTCTCTCGTTTTCGCGATATTTATTCTTCTCGATATTCAACGTCAAATAATCCATAACTTTCCCATTTTCTTGGTAAAAAGAGTAAACGTGACGTGGCATAGAATCGATATGAGGTCGGATTTATAGACTTTCCGCAAAAGATGCGGGATGAAAAATGAGCCACGAGGAACGTCCCACTGTGCACCAAAAAGTCCGAAATCTTTTCGATATTGCGATTCTGCATCTCGTCAAGATTGACATTAAAAGAGGAAGAGAGACGTCTCTTTGCCGCATCTTGCCGTGATCCGGTAATTCCCTATCTTTGTCTATAAAGTGGGAATATAAGGTGCGATAATGAGCTCTATCTTAGAAGCCGAAGAACGAAGTTATGCTGATACCTCTCCGTTGAAAGTCGCAGGCAAAATTTCGCGATAAATGCTGTTAAAATTTCATCAAAATTCTTGTTAAAATTTTACCTTCCAAATGTATCCCTTTCAAATATAAATTTGATGGATCTCTCAAAGAGATTTAATACAATCATATTTATAATTGGATTAAAATATAGGCGTGCATCTCTTCTTTCGTTTTTCATCTTTTTATTATATTTTATTAATTTTTTTTTAATTATACATTCTTCACATTACATCGAAATAATTTGGATGTACGAATATTATAGACTCACACAGAAATTTTTCAGGGCAATTTCGCTCATGTAAAATTTAATTATATCTAATAAAAACAAACGAATTATATTTAATAAGCAAATAACTTTAACGAATAACTTTATTTATTAAATATATATATATCTATTTTTTCATTATATGATTTTAATTCAAATGCTGTAAAAAAATATAAATTTTTCAGCAATAATCGGATCAAAAAAAACTCGATTCGCGATTCGAGAATTATATAACAATGATATAATAAAGCGGGTCAAAAAATAACCTCGTTCTGTCGGATTAAGAATCGCGAATATTCTTATTCCACTCCGTAGCTAAGAATAATACACGAGATGAGAGTCACTTTTAATTACTTACATTCTAAACTCGTGCTTCGCGATATTGAATGTGCAATTATACCGATATGAAAATTTCACGTGTATAAATTTTAATCTTAGAATTAACTGTAAAATTTAAAAAACCGTCCAACATGTAGTTTAAAAAATATCCGAATACATATAGAAAATATTTGATACTAAAAAAAAATTTTTTTTTAATTTTTATCTCCGGAAAATGTGTTTGACGTATATAAAGATCGTATTTTAACCACGTGCGGAGCATTTTATGTAAATTATTAACAAAGCCGGGAGCCCCACGTTGTCTCCCTCGTGTGAGAAAAAAAATTTATTAAAGTGACAAAATATATTCCTCAAATATAAACGCCATACAACGCACGCTTCGCACAGGACGGTTAAACGAGTCGCCGCGTTTACGGCACAACCGGGGGCACGACATACGAGGCGGCCAGAAGTGCATATCAATTTATGGAAATAAGAGAACACGCCTCGCGCACACGGCGCGTGGCCGCGTCTCTCGCGCTAGACGGTTTTGCGCGTTGATGGCTATCTAATTTGGCATGCAAAGCTCGGGAATAGCGTCACGCGCAAATTAGGTTTTAGCCTAATTCGCGAAAACCAAGTCGGCCAAGTCGGTTAGGTTTCCCCGGGAGAGGTAACGAGATCCGACGAGAGTCGAAATTTAGATATGTGTGTAGGGTCCGATCTGCGCGAGCGGCCTGAATCGTCTTAAAAAAGGGAGCGAGAATTGCATTTAGGGGCTCCTCGCCGAATTATCGAGCCAGTTTTCGTCCGTGGATTTTTCTCTGACCCACTTTGAATCGATTCTTTCTTAGTAAAAATTTCACGAAACTCCAATCTCTTTCCTCTCCCTATCGCGGATTCTTCCTGCACGTATATGAAAATTGCACGAGCATTTTCATGGAATCGGATCATCGAATTCAACAGGTTTTTATCGAGCTCGATTATTATGCGGTACAGATGCAGCTTACTACGTCGTAATCCGTCAATTTCCATGCTACGCTAACGGCATGGCGAATAAGATTAAAGCTAAGGACACCCCGGGGAAAAGTGCAGAGCACGTAATGTTATGAGTGATGCGAAGTCGATAGTAAGTACGTACATAAGCGAGCCAGGTATATAAGCGCACCACTTCTTGTTTATAAGAAATTCTGTCATTTTTCTCAAATTTCCGAGCCTTGCCTTCCTACCTTTGATCAAAGTAACATTACTGTAAAACTAGTACAGCGAGACTAGTTTCTCTCAACAAGAATATAACTGGATTTTCAATTAAGCCTATCTTCTTCTAGATTACGAATACAGGTTTACGAGAATCACCGATTTACATCGTGGTCTTGTGACCAACATGTTTCATATGCAACGTCTCAATACCTTGACATTCTGCCGGGACAAACCCGTAACGTAAGTTAGTAGAGCGCGTTAGTAGAGCGAGTTAACGAGCGAGTTGGTAAACGAGTTTTTAAGTGAAAATGCAATTCGCGGTATTCGCGCCCTGTCGTCGCTACTGCGTGTCGACCACGTCGACTCGGAATGAATTAGACCGGAGCGGAGCGGACGGAGCGGGTCTTTCGAGCGGCTCCGGCTGTCGACAGTGGAATTTACGATTCGTCTGTTGCACGTGGAAGCCACGAGAGAGGATGAACGGTAATTTCGCGGCAGCGGGATACTTCCAAGGACATTCCCTGTAGCGATCGACACGGCAAAAGACACACTAAACAGGAAAATCAGATTCAACGAACGCTAGTGTCCGCCATCGCTTCGGTCATTCTTCTTCCCGTGAAAATAATAATTACGTGTTCTTTGTCATCTTTCAAAATGCAAACATTTTTCTTCGTTTTCTTCTACGAAAAAAAATTATTGTTAAATTCAATTTTGTACGACACTGACAGAGTTTTCTCTCGAATAATATATAATATGTGTGTATTCGGTGAATATTCTAAACGCTCTTTCTAAATCACATCAAGTTTGTAAAAATAAGTCTGAAAAAGGGGTCAAAGCGTTTACACTACACGTGATGTAGTTTTCAAAAATTTGTCCCTGTTCAAGTCTTGAAATATTAAAATCATAGTATGTATTACATAAAAGGATCGAAAACTTTTTCTCTCTATTTCTATTCTTATTATTGTGTCATTTAAAAACTTTTCTACTCGACTATTATATTTTTATTATATATAATTCATACTGTTATATATTGCTATTATTATTCTCATACACAATTTTATATTAGAATATTTTTCCCCCCATTCATATCATTATTATTTTTAGTATTACTGGAATTTTTTTTAAATGTATATATATATTTTTAATTTTTAAATCATATGCAAAGATAAAAAGATTCAAAATCGACTATTTGAAAAATATCAAGCACGCATATATTTTCGAATCGAAGAATTTTCTTTTTTAGAGTGCCAAACGTACAGGAAGAACTTAAACTTTCGCGAATGGAAGCTGATCAATTTTGTATCGCGCAAAATTATCCGGCACGATGTATCCACACAGGTAGCATACTCCTCGCGGGGAGGACTAATATGTCTCATCTCTACTTTCTGGCTCATCAAAGTTGCACGTATCGCGATTCACGATGCATCCCTCGTACAGACTCTGGAAATATAATTCTGAATAACGGTTGTTTCAGTTTTGTTCCCGCAAACGCTAGTTTGACTTCAAATCCCAACAAGAATATAATTTTGTAAGCTTATATCAAATGATAGAATTATACAAAAGTTCCGAAAATTCCGAAATTTCCCAACTTTTCTAATTATCCAAATTTGACTTCCTTCTCTCTCTTTTCCTCGGATAAATTTTACTACAATCCATTAATGAATTATTTAAAATCTCTATCTCATTGCAACTACGTTAAATAAACATACGATTTTATTTTATATTATAAATAAAAAAATATACGATTTTTTATTTAGAATATAAAATAAAATAGAAATTAATACTCGCGTATAAATATATAAAATATGCCTAGAATTTATTTAGTAAATAGGCAATACTTTTTAAAAACTCATCGTGGGATTCTCTCTCAAAGAGACTTGGTTTTAAATAAATAGATTTATGTAGACACTCTTTTAATTCACTTTGAGAAATTTGATTCCATAAAGAATATCGTTCAAAGGAGCGCTTCCTTAATTGCCTCGAGTGATGTAATAACAGTCTATCCGCACTTGATACTTATACATATAATGATAAGTATCATTATACGACGCGGCGTAGGTAAGAGATGCGCTTTGCAAAATCGTAACTCTATCGAACTTGATAAAGCTATTTCGATGATATAATTTCAAGTTCTGCATCAGGCTCGGGAGAGCTGTCTACCGCATGATAACGTAATTTGAAGTAGTGTAAATCCAAGTTAAGCCTCTGCGCGTATGAGATAGTAATTTACATCTACATCTAGTTATACGCGTAAAATGTACTGATGAATAATTTATGTAAACAACATCTGCATCTCTGTTCAACGTGTAACAGCGATTTGTTTTTGAAGTATTCATGTGTATATGTGTGAATAAATTGACCTAAAAATTAAGAGTGAATTAAATAATAAAGTAAAATATATAAAAATTAAAATTATTAAAAATCAATGTAATATCTTCTATAAAAGTTTAATTTTTAAACATAATTTTCACAAGTCCTTAAAAAGAAGCCGATGTTGAATCTTTCAATTGAGCAAAAAAAGTGTTGCTTTTTTTCTTTTAAATTAAAGTTTATATTCCAAAGAAATGAATAAAATTTAGAAACTGCAATATATTATTATATGTTGAAATACAATTGGTTACAACGATGCTCTTTCATTGGAACGACTTTATGATATTTCAAAAGATAACAAGGTTACTTTCTTCACTAGTTGCGAAAATACTGTAGTTTCAAAGTTTTTCAGATTCGTTTCACGTGGAAACGAACAGTGAAGAGGTTCAAATAATGTTAAGAAAATTGAATTATGTCGTAGTTAAAGAAACACTAGCTGCTATATATAAAATATAGTCTACATTTAAAAATTTGACATTTAAAAATAATCTAAAGATGATATCAATGATTTAAACATAATTTAAGCATCACATCAAATATTTAAAAATTTCTATCTTCTTAAATCTTTCTACATCAGAGTTTGGAATTTTAATTCATTTAAATGCCAGAAATACAGAATTTACAATTATATCGTTAAAAGTAAATCTCATACATTTCATTATAATATCAATAGAAAGCAAATTACAAAGAGCTTTCTCTTCTCCTCTTTTACTAGTTCTACTCTACTTTCCCTCCTTTACTTTAGATGAAATTCTGTATTGCAAACGATAAGAGCTATACTTCGTTACTCACTCAGTAATGCGCTCATACGAGGTCTGCGCGGAGTCGACGAACTTGAAATTCTAAAGATAAATTCATTGCTAAAAACGACGACGCGCGCCCTCGCGAAAGTCGCGAAGACGACGTTCGCTCGCTCGCTGGATTTGCCGGAAGCTCGATCAGCCGCGACGATTCAATAAAAAATTCGCGACATCGAGAGACCGAAGGGTGATCTCTTCTTGTCTCGGAATTTCGAGATAGCGCCGTGATTTAAGATCTGATTTTTTTTTGACAGCGCGCGAAAAAATCGCGAAAAAATCGAGTCGAAGCTCGCGATCGCGCGCCAAAAGAGTCGCGCCGATCAATCGGCGAACTGTCAACGCGCGAACTGTCAACTTTCGCGGTGACAAGACGGCGACGAAGAGCAGAGACGTCGTGAATACACCGCGTCGCGCTCGTCGACGAACTGCGTGGCCGAGGTGGCCGCATCGCCTCGCGTCACGTCGCGCGCATCGCGCAGCGCGCACCACCCCTGCCACTGGCCCTAAATCCGCTTTTACCCCTTTGCGCCGCGTTGTAGAATGCGCGCAGTGTGTGGGAGACCGAGAAGTATTCTGACAAAATTAGACTTCTTTTCATCATTTCTTTTGAATCTTGTAAATGCATGAAATCCAGAAATATACGTACAATCAAGATACATAATTAGTTCGCATGTTAGCTCGATTATCATGAGATGTCTAATTTTGAAAACAACTAAATTTATCATCTTTAATTAAAATCTTAAATTTATAATTTTATATATATATATATATATATATATATATATATAATTATTAATATATAATTTATATTTATGATTAAAAGCTTAATCTTAAATCTCAAACTTCTATCGATAAGGTATTTACTAAAGTACGATACTAGAAAAATTTTTTTCAAAATGTGAGACTTTTCTCGAAATATGTATCTATAAATATTTTAAAAGTACTCGTATTTCGAATAAAATCTCAAATATATCAAATTTTTTAGAAATAAACTTAATTTATCGTCTTTTAAACTAAATACTGTCTCATTTATTCATTTAATTATAAATTAAATAATTATTAAATATATATCTATTAATCTTTTTCTTGTATATACAACTAAATTATTATCATTTTAATTTTCAATTTATAATCGTTATGATAATTTCGTAATCATCGTTGTCATTATCATTGATCGTCATTTATAATATTCATTACTACATTCTTCTTCACCCTCTTTTCTACTTTTTGCTCCACTTTCCTTAAATATCTGAAGTTCCTTAAGTAAATATCGTATCTCTTGGGAGATAACTTTTTTTCCCTTTTGTGAGAAAAGATGCATACTTGATATTGCTGGGTCTGATCTTATAAAAAAAAAGTTTTAAATCTTTCAGTATCGCATTCTACATTTTTTTTTGCGTTTTACATTTCGGAATTTTAAATTATACAAGAAATATTACGAGATTACATTGAGACATTTTTCTTTTCGAATGTAAAATATTTTTATGATAATTTTTTATTATTACGATCATAAATATACATGCAAATCTTTTCATATCTTATTTTATTTTTGAAGAGAATCGTGTAATCATCAATATATCTTTTAAAATTGATGCAACCTAAACAGTAATATTTCGCATTGTGAATTATAATCCGTCATTTTTGTATTGTAAATTTCATTATATTTCTCTACTTCGCAAACGTGGAAATATATTGAAATCAAAAAATAAAATAAAAATAAAAATTAATATCTCATAAATCCTTAAAATTCGACGGGATCGCAGTAAAAATTATAAAAAGCACTTGCAGGTGCGAGTCGCGCGAACGAGAAAAAAATACATCGTCGAACAAAAGGATTAAGCCTTTAAAAATGATATAATCTGAGCGAATATCGGCGAATTTCCTCGCGACGAAAACGCCGGAAGCGAACACCTATTTCCCGTTTTCGCGCACACGTTAATTGCACACCTTTGTTAGTTTCCAATCGCACATGCAACATGGATATTTTTTCTCATGCGAAAGATGGATAATATGCACGTGCTGGGCAAAAGTACGAACTGTGTCCGAATAAGCGATGCGGATTAATTATCTAACGCGGAGCGCGATTTCCTGTCCTCTCGAAACGGTATTTCGCTAATATTCGCCGATGACAATTTTTCACTGTATTCTGAGTTCACCGTATATTAATCATTAATGCTATATCGGATCGGTTCAATAATTGGCATGATTAATTATTGTTATATGATATAATTGTTATGCAATATGTTAACGATATTCAATTAATCAACATATACATTATTCTTGATATGACATTATTTTTGACATAGACATTCATTTTAATGTCTATGTCGCTATCAAACATTTTCGAGCAACGGTGCATTTTTAGAGATTAAATAAAAGATGGAAATTTGCCGATTTTTCTACACATTGTTTGATTTGAAGCGACACACACTAAGATACAGAATAATATCGAATAAGAATCTGGCTATTTCGAGGCGGAATTTCAAACTGTGTGCAATTCAGACGTTGATTCGGAAGAAAGGCCAGGTACGGGGGACTAAAAGCAGGCGGACGTTTGCCAGGAGTTTGTTAATTATGCGCTCTTTACTTTCTCATGGCGGCAATTGGAGAGCTGCCGCCGACGAGTGTCGCGGACGACGGAAAGTTCAAACGAAGAGTCAGGGGATAGTATAGCGCAGGACAGAACTAGAGAACTTCCGAGTCCTCTCCAATTATGTTGGTTGTAACCAGTGAACTCGACAAATGCCCGAGAGAGAGTAAAAGATCGCTAGTTAAAACGTCTTTTAAATTGCGATCATTACGCGAGAAATGATCGTTACGTGTCATTTTATTTATATAATTACTACACAGAGAAAAATGTATACTGTATTCAAGTAAATATTATTTATTTTAAGTATATACCATCAGTTTGTATATCCGCAAATATATCATAAGTTCACCACAAGCATTACATTTAATTGAATATATTCTGAATTTTAGTAAGTGCAGTATTTTAGTCAAGAATATTAAATTAAAACAAAAATTTGGTTTGCTTACTACAAGAGTTTTGACGTAAAATAAGTTTGATTTCCCTTTGATACAACTTTACAATATTCTTGAAGAGAAAATAAATTCTTCGAGTACATGATAATGAGATTTTCTAACACTTGTAATGAGTATATTTTAAGACTATTATCAAGAATATATTCTTTGTTGAAGAAAACTATTACTTAAAAAAAAAATAAATAAACTGAGTAATCGCTTTTCTTGACAGTAGAATGATATTTTTCTCTGTGTATAAATAACTGGAGAAACTGTACTTGTACAAAATATATAATTATTACGCGACAATAAAACAAAAATATAAAAATAGAAATAAATACAATATATATGCATATATACATGTATGCATATAAGGATAGTATTTTTAACAGTGACCTTTTTACGTCGCGTTTTTTTTTTTGAGAATAACTTTTTTCATCTCGAGTGCTTAAAATGCGCACCCATCGCAAAATCTACTATTGCATCTGACTTCGATATATTCGTTTTCATCCATTTTGCCGATATTCCACTGGTTTAAGTCTACGAAATAAATGTATCGTAAAATCAATCACGATCCGCAGTAAATATCTCTTTGAGTGATACGTGGAATAATATACTTCCGCTGTCCTTTTTTAAAAAAATATATAGAGATTAAACTCGAAAACTCTTATTCACTTTATTCCATTATATCATACACAGTAAAAAATTTTGTGTTAAATTTAACATATTTCACACGTCCCAATTTATTCGCTCTAATTTTAATGATGTTAATTTAACAGAAGGCAAGTATGTAAATAAATAACACAGGTTATATGTTTAAAAATTAACACAAAAGTGTAACACTTAAACTTTATCTGTAAATAAAGTTTATGTTAAATTAACATATTTATAATGTTAAATTTAATTAAAAGAAAATGTTATTCTTACATTTTTATGATAAATAATAGAAGAGATATGTCGATTTAACATATGGAAACTGTTATGGAGAGAAAAATAACACAACTTATCTGTTCATTTTAACATATAACATATTTCATCGAAAATTCGTGCATTTACATATTAATTGTGTTGTTTTAATTCTTAGAAACGGTGAATATTAACTCAACGCAGAAATATTAAAATAACGCAATGATAATATGTTACATTAACATAAGAGTATGTTAAAAATTTAACACAAAAATTTGTACACAAGAAAATTTTAACAGAAATACAAAATGTTTTTTACCGTGTATATATAAAAATATTACAATATTATTGTTTACGAAGAAGAGAACTTTTCCGCAATAACAAATAAACAATAGGTTATAACATTTACATATATATATATATATATATATATATATATATATATATATGTATATGTATATAACGTAAAGAAATAAAAATTTTCGTTACTTTTATTCTTTTAAAAAAATATTCATGATATTTTTATTTCATTCATTCAAATATTTATTCAAAAACCTTTATAAATTAAAAAAGTATGCATTAAAATGTTAATATTAAATAACGATCATCACATATATTTGACAAAGATCAATCGAATCAAAAATGAAATAACTTTAAAGTTCAATAAATTATTTTTTCATACGTGAAAATTCTGTAAAATATACTCTGCTATCGGTTAGTTAGAATCAATATGATATTCTATTATTCTCTAACAACGCTGTGAAATATTCTGAAAGTTTTCGTGGCGGTCGAATATACAAAATATGCTGCCGATAAATCACAATTATGTATGAAGAGCGAGATCTATCTCATTAACGTCGAGATGATTTATCGATCTAGTATATCTTTTTCCCAGGAAAGTAATCCGCATAAAAAAGATACTTCCACTCGCCGGAATATGTATGATCCTGTTTTCTCAAATTTATAATCCAACATTTGCATGCGACGCTCTCTCTCTTCCCCTAGTAACGAATGCGCTTTTTGCACCTGCGTGAGACCACAAGGATGCGGTAAAATCGAAATATCGTAGCTGGATTACGTTCCCCTGCGGTTCCTATATTTCAACCACGCGGTCCGCTCGGTTCCTATCGGAAAATAGCTCTCGTCGCCGAATATACCTTCTGAATTGAAAATGTGCTGCTTGATATTGCTTATGCATATCTAGAGAGCATTAATTTATCGCGATGATTAAAATTTTATCTCGGTTTTATTCAGATCAATGTTTTATTTATGAGCGTTATCTTAGGGATTGAAGCAGAGGAATATGATAAAGAGACTTTATGCGCTACTATTTCGTCAAACATTTTTTTATTGGAAAAAAAAATTATAGTCGAAAGATATCATAAATATATTGTATTACATTCCGTGACTCGCGCACAAATAATGCTTTAATAGAAGGAGACGTTACAAATTCATTAAAAAATGGACGAGATATGTAAAG